AAGTTAGTCTGGATGAGCCCATAGTTGGAAGTTTGTCTTAGCATCCGCTGGGTGGTTTGAACACTAGCATGCCTCCACAGCCTTTGGCTAGCTCTGAGCTCCAGGGGGACAATGGATACACTGGCTTGCTCCTGCATCTGCTAGGCAGTTAGATTCCACCAACAAAGTAGGCCCAGAAAGCCAGTTTGAAGGAGAGGGCAGAGGTGCTTCGGTGCGGCTCTGACCCTTTGTTGCATTTTTAAAATGTAGTGCAAAGTCAGGGACAAGAGCATGTGCTAGTGGTTAAGAGTCTTGCTTGGCCACTCAAAATTATTTGACCCCAGCCATGCACAAGTATACTAACCATTTCCAAGAGCGTTATTGTATAGTGCATGTATTCCTCACAGCACCAAAGTGTTGCCATATTCTAACAAACAGTGCTTGGACACAAGGCACAGGAAAGGATGATCAGTGAAGAATGCATGCTAGTAAAAGACGTTTTCCAAAAAGTATCCTCATAAGCAAATAAAGTAAATGCCAGGCAATGGGTTAGCTAAACCCAAGCCAGTACAGCTTTCTCATTTTAGGACTCCGTTACCTTAAATACAGCTTCACACAGGATGAACGTAAGCAAATATGGACCTCCAAGTAAGTCACACATAATGTATTGGGAACCATTGCCTGGTATATGTGCATGGAACAGGAGAGGGCCATTTGTTTGTCATATGTCATGACTTTTGAATTATGGTGCTGGAGGAGACTCTTGAGAGTCCCATGGACTGCAAGAAGATCAAACCTATCCATTCTTAAGGAAATCAGCCCTGAGTGCTCACTGGAAGGACAGATCGTGAAGCTGAGGCTCCAATACTTTGGCCACCTCATGAGAAGAGAAGACTCCCTGGAAAAGACCCTGATGTTGGGAAAGGTTGAGGGCACAAGGAGAAGGGGACGACAGAGGACGAGATGGTTTGACAGTGTTTTTGAAGCTACGAACATGAGTTTGACCAAACTGCGGGAGGCAGTGGAAGACAGGAGTGCCTGGCGTGCTCTGGTCCAAGGGGTCATGAAGAGTCGGACACGACTAAACGACTAAACAACAACAACATGTCATGACAGTGCATGAAATTGGAACAAACACTGAAGTAATTATCTATCATGGAAACGCCCCCCTTGCTTACAGCACCAAGACTAAATTAAAGCTCAACCACAAGACTCTTCTCCACGTGAATTATTCACAGGCAGAGAAAGAGACATCTTCTAAGGCTACTGGATTGTGTTGCTGCAGTAACAGACTCTCCTGAGGTAATGTCAACATCTATTACTGTGTCCAGGAAATTAGATTTTGCTTGGTCATCATTGTAAGCAATTTCCTATCATGGCTGGCAAGGGAAAAGTTTTACAGTCACCTAGTTTTTACACCTACCCTTCAGGAATGTCCTTGTGGTGAGTTTCATGCAGCCAAACTCGTATTCGTGTACTGACAGTGACAACCGAAAGGTGCAACACTGCAGTACAAATCATATTCAGAGAGCTAACAGAGTCAAATCAGCCAATAGAATTAGGCAGTGGAAGAGGCCAAGCCATTCAAGGATTTTCCTTGAACCCAGAATCTTTAGGCCATTATAACCCCTTGGTGGCAGAGTGTAATTGCCAAATATAGCAAAGACATGCCGATTCGCAACATCCTGTTACAGCTTTGATGCCTTAAATTAAATTAAAACTGTTGACTGTCCCCAAGTAAATCCAGATGACTTTGGAATAATTTGAAGTGACCTAAAAAAGAAAGAAAAGGAACCAAGCAAAAGGCAGCTAGATTTAAAGATGCCAGTCATGTTGTATGAAACAAGGATCTATTTGCACAGCACAAACCATCAGTCTAAAGATTGTGAATCAATGGATGTTACAGTTATTGGCTTGAATCATAAGACAAGGAAATTTCACGTGCCATTCTTTCCCTTATGATCCCTGAAAAGCCTTTCCAGGGGGCGGCTCCTGAACAATGAGCATGGGAGGAGAGATGGGGCAGGAAATTGTCCTCCTGTGACCTTCCGAAGTTAACTTTCTTTCCCAACCTGGCTGTGCTGGCTGGGAGATGTAGTGTAAAACTTCTGGAAGGCACCAGGTTAGATTAACAAACTTTAGATCAAATTGTCAAACTTTAGGGTCCAATCCACTGAGGCTTGGGTACATGTTTTTGCTGGAGCATATAGGTCGAGAGACAAAGATGAATCAGAGAGACCTTGGTTCAAGCCTCACTTTGCAATGAACTGATAATGTGGTGCATCAGTCTCTTTCACCCTTATCCCTCCACCTGCATTATGGAGATAATAATACGGTTGAACCTTACGAAGGTTGTTGTGAGGCTCATGTGAAGTGCTTTGAACATGTAAATGGTGCTATTGTCTTTACTACCACCAGGCTGGATTAGATCACAAGCCATCTACCACAGCACTTTTTTCTTCCAACCATCATCAGCACAGATTTTACTCACAGGCCTGTTTTGCACATAATGCTAAGCCATGGTTTGTTTAGCTTAGCCATGGTGTAGACCCAGCTCCAGAGACTAACCTTGGTTTGTTTCCTGGAAAACCACAGGATGAAGCCCATGGTTTGCTGCTGCCTTACAAACCTTGGCTTGGTGTTATATCCAACCCCAACAGCCTTGCCTAACCAATAGTCTGCTTGGCTATCCCACCTCCAACGTTTGCCAAGTCATAAAGGCACACGGAAAGAGCAGCTGGAAAACAAACCAAACTTTAAAGCCAACCTAAGTGCAAAGTTATATTATCTAACTATCTTGGCTAACAAAATTTGGTTTTGGTTGTACAAACATCTGGCTTGCGGACTATGCGGTTGCCAAGGCAGTTAGTGGTATATTTGCTGTCATTAGAATCTTGAAAATCTGCTTTTGGGGATGGGAAGAATTTTTTTGTTGTTGTAATGATCATGATTGCAGTGGGGGGAAGAGTTTAAAAACATGGTAATAGGACTGAAAGGCCCGGAAGACAGATGGCAAGCAATTGTCTTTTGAGATTTCGTTTCTAAATCCACCATGCAGTTTTCTGGAATCATGACAGTTATTTGTGGCTAGCAGTGGTTTAACTCTTTGGTCCCTCTTGCTTAAGGTTACCAGATTTTTTTTCAATGAATCCGGGGACACTTTTCAACTTCCTACTAAATACTGTAGATGGATTTTGTCAGGGGACTGATTTGTAAATGCAGGGACTGTACCCAGGAAAAGGGGACGTCTGGTAACCTTACTCTTGCTGGCTAGCACACTCAGCTGGCTGGACGACAGCCCTTTAGTGCAAAGGAGCAGGTCCGAAGTTGGTGCTTGCAAGTTGCAACCAATTATGCGCAGATTGGTCAGAATGCATTTGGTTCAGTGTTTTCCTCAAGGGCAGTGTCATTAGGTGCTTCCAGATGGGTGCTGAGTGTGGGCTGAAGGCACATCATGCTTGCAATTTTCCGCAGTATCCACATGGCATCACAGGCATAAAAGTATCTGTCCATCTGTCCATATTTAATCTGGATTTACTCAAAGAGGAGTTAAAAAACAACTATCGTAAACTACTCCTTTACATTATCAAGCCATGTGTCTGGAAGTACCTATCATGTATTTTTCTGGTATTATCAGTCGATGCTCATTTATTTATTATTATTATTATTATTACAAAATTTATCACTCATCCTTCACCATGGGCAGGTTACAACAATGCAATATACAATTATATAAACAAGAATACATTTTCAAGGCAGCACACCAAAATAAGACACATTAAAAACATGTATCTAAAACAAACCACTGGTCCATCCTATCTGAAGACACTATCTTGAGGCTCCTACCCCACCCCCACCCTCCACTTTCACTTCTTTGGTGGTTTTGAGGTGCCTCCTATCACTGGGATCTCATCCCCACCATGCTATCCTGTTATATGGCATTTACTATATAATCCCATAGCCAAGATTGTCATGTGAAAGTCAAAGTGATGAAGAAAAATGGATGGGCTTTGGGAAACCCGCCAGTGCACTAATACTAAGCCTATTTATATATGTTTTGATGGGCTATTTCGAGTACATATCCGCAGAATGGCAGCAAACACATTCTAACAGGTGTGCAGAAAGCACAGTTCTTCACGTGGCAGATGTTTCTTATCAATAGTTTGCAGAAATCAGATTTAAAGTGGCTACCATGCCACCTGTGGTCCCCCATGAGCTCCAGAAAGTAGATATGGGGAGCATATAACCCTTCAGATGTTGTTGCGACTCAAGCTCCCATCAGCCCCAGACAGTTTGGGCAATGGTCAGGGGTGGCGAGATGTGTGGTCCCTCATCCCTGACATAGGCTACTGAATATGTGAATCGAACAGAATCCATGTGAACATAGTCTAAGAAACCAAGTTTTCCAAAATAACCCACCACCTTTACCTGGCTTCAGTACAAGGCAGGGGTTTTGCACCACACTCATCCCTAGGAATGAGAAAGCCAGTGAAAGATCCCCGCTTGCCTTTGGCCCAGTTCAGATGCTATAAGCTTTAAAGCAGAGCTGGCTAACCTGAGGCACTCCTCCAGACATCCTCGCGCTGCTGCTTCAACTCCTAGCCTATGGCCAGGAGTCTCAACAACACCTGAAGCGCCACGGATTAGCCAAGCCTGCTTTAGGGTCTCCGGCTGCAGCCCGGAGCGCTTATTCCCAGGGAGAGAGAGAGAGAGATTCACCCAACTTCCGTGGGACCTGCTTCAGCGAAAGCACGCCTGGCGTGGCATTGCAAAGCTCAACGCAGAGCATCCCGGTGGGTGGAAGCAAGCGCGCTCTGTGGAGAAAAGCCTCTCACGCCGTGAGCCCGGTAGGGTTTCCCTCCCCGCCCCAGTCTCCCTTTTATTACGAGGACCAAGTATGCTGGGTGAGGTATTTCAGAGCGGCCCTCAGGCACAGAGCATTCCGGGGTAACTACTCCGCGGTAGGCAACCTCGGGGCTGAGGGGGGGAAAGGGGGTGTCTCTCTCAGGCAGACTACTCACGTAGAGCGCCATGTGAGCCGCGCCGAAGAAGGGGAACTTCACGGCGATGGGCCGGAGCCCCGAGCCGCCGTCGTCCTGCTGCGGGGTGGCCGTGTCCCCCTGCGCCGGCCCGAAGGGGTAGAAGTCAGCCAGGGGCACGGCGCCCTTCGCCCGCAGCCGGAGCCAGCTGCCGAGCGCCAGCAGCACCACCCAGCCGGACAGGCCCCGCATTTCCCCGGCGGGCGCCGAAGGACGGGCGGGCAGAGCCGAGCTGAGGCGACGGGGTTGGCACGGAGGCGCACACGGGGCGCTGAGGCGAGGAAGGGAGGGAGCGCGTAGACGGCGCGGGCCGGGAGGGAGGAAGGGAGACCGTGGCGCCAAAGGGACAAGGAGCTGCCTCTGGCTCGGCGGCGGCAGGACAGCGCCGGCTCCCGGGACGCGAGAAGGGCTCTGCTCAGGACGGCGGCTGCTGCAGCTGCTGAGCGACCGCGCGCACACTGAGCCTCTCTGTGCAGCGTCGAGGGAGGGGACAGCGGCTCATTCACACAGCTCGGAGGTATACATATTCATACCCTGGGCAGCCAATTAGGACGCGACCTGGAGGAGGCGGCCGCCGAGGTTAGGGGCGGGGTTAGAAGGATCGCGTCTTCTCTTAAAGCGCTAAGGGCAGCTGGCCGGCGAAAGCGCGGCGCTACAGCTCGGGGTAGCGCGTGGCAGGCGAGCGGAGGAGCCGCGGGCGCGTCCAGGCTGCGGTTCTCAGCGCGCTCGGTAGGGAGTTAGGACCTCAGTGTGCGGGGAAGCACTGGGACCGCCAGGGGGTCAGAGGTCCGTCCGGGGCCCCTCGCTCCGCAGGATGAGCGGAAAGGCCCCAAGCGCAGCATCGCCAACTCTGAAGTGGCAAATAACTCATTGCCCTGTGAAGTCGAGCTCCGGCGAGACCATTAAAGCCAGCGTCTTAAAATTACCCAACTGCCTGCATGCATTGGGTGATAGAGTTACTTCTGAGTAAGCACGCATAGGATCGGTTTGCAAGCCACATCACCCCCCCCCCCTTTTCCGAGTTAAGGATGCAGTCCTAAATCCACTTACTTGGGAGTAAGCCCCATTCAATGGTATTTACTTGTGAGTGGTTAGGATTGCCACCCACTCCAGGCCATCGCCTCAATCCCAGTTATGTGCTGGCCTGAGAGGATTCACAGAGTGCTCTGGGTCTAGACAAAGATGCCCTCTTCCTAATTGGTATTCCTTTAGGGGGCTGCGTCTGCATGCGAAGGAGTCCAGGCTTAGTTCCCCACCTGCAAATCTGCAGCCAGCCATTGTCACAACAGCTCCTTTTATTCCTAGCAGAGATTTGGGGTGTGAACACTGCAAAAGAGATCTGAGTGATTGCAGAACAACATTGAATTCAGAGTATCATAAAATAATAGTGGTGTCCCTGCAAAAAATAAATAAACTTCCTTTCTTTCATCATTTCCTGCATCAGAAATGAATTGGACTAAATACCGGTAATTCTAAGGTCCCTTATCAATTTTATAGGTGCTTGGATGGGAGTCTTGTATTGCAAATGGGTCAATCTCATTTTTCTCTGTGCAGGTTTAGTACATGAGCTGCCCACATTCTCCCCCCTCCACCAGTCACTTTTGGCAGAATGCCAAAATAGAGTTATTGACTGGCCTGAATCACCTGGGCTGAATGGGATTTGGGCTTAGATCTCACAAATCCTAGACCAGCGCTTCAGCTACTACTTCCCCTATCTTGTGCCCTAGATGTTTTAGACTACAACTCCCATCAGCCACAGCCAGCAAGACCAAGCTTGACTTTATCCTCAACTCCCTTGGTAGCGTAATCTGAATGCTGCAATGAGGAATTGATGTTAGTTAAAACAATGCTTGTCAAGTGAGCTCAGGCCTGCTTGGGAGTGAAAAGGTTACAGAGATACAATCTAATTTTGGGAGCAGAACTAGGACATATTCTTACAAATTTACACCAGCTGCTTGTTGGAAGTGCTGCACGCTGAAACCTCTAAAGGCCTTTTTAGCAGAACAAATCTGGGAGAGCGCCAGAAAACAACAGCGATAGTATAACTTATGGCCAAATTCAGCAAATGTGCAAAGCAAAACTAGTAGCTGAGCTGAGCTTTGTAACTTTTAAATCTTCTGCCTCAGCACCTTTTGATGTGCAGGCATGTATGTGCATATGTGCACCTGCACATGAGCTCTGCCCCTCATGTCACCATGCATGCATACAAATTTGACAGAAGTTATCAAGTAAGAAAATGGTAGGCAAACTTCCCTATGGAAAGCACATCTACAATTTGTGTGTGTCTCTGTGTATGTGCTTGATGTGGTTGATGGCAGTGAACACTTCCTCAACTTTTCTTGAGGAGCTCTGATTTGTTCTTGTTTGTTCCTCTTCCCACATCCCTCCTGATGCTCCTTGTATACACTGAACTCAGTATGAGGGTGAATTGCCCATCACTGAAAGTTAAGTCTTCAATCTTATAATAAGATAAGTTTTGTTAATTGTGAAGAGGTCTAGCTTCACTCTGTCTCTGCCTGCTGATTTACCAGATTCATGGAAAAAGCAAATCAAAAGAATGATGGGCAGCTGGGGCTGTAGTGGTTTGTGACACCGAATTAAAACTGAGCACCTTCAAAGCAATTGGGTATTATTCAGCTGATGTTTTATTCAGAGTAGAACCACCGAAATAAATGAATATGACTAAGTTTAAGTTCATTAATTTCAGTGTGTAAAACTCAATACCACCCTTTAGCAATTTCCTGATGGGAACCATTGATTAATTACAAATATAGTCTAGCTTCTCTGTCTCACCAGCAAATTCAACTTTCTGTCTTTCTTCTGCATATTCTTATTGAAAATTACTATAAAACATTCCCAGACTAATTAATACTGGTAGTAAAACCAATCAAAATCACAACTGAAGTCTTCTGAGTCCAAACAGGATTCACCCTCCTTTGGACAAAGGGATAGGAATAATGCTTAAGGCTATATTCTTATACCCACTTACCTAGGAGTAAGTCCCATTGAACTCAGTGGGGTTTACTCATGATTAAGCATGCATACAATTGCATTGTTACTCAGTACTCTCATTCCAAAGAGATGCAAATAAACCAATAAAATGGCCCTTATTTTTTATGTAATAGTAATTATTGATTAAACTTATTAGTTGCCAGTTACCTCAAACATCTCCAGCATTTAAAGCATAGATATAAATACATTATACAATGAAGAGAAAGAAGAAGAAAAATATAATATAAAACCTAAGCACTCCTTAATACAATATGCAACCCTTGCCAATAGCCATAGGAAGCTTTGGCAGCACACTGGCAATAAAACAGAATCATCTCAGCCCATTAAAGGCCTGGGAAAAAAGACAAGTCTTTACTTGGCCCCAAAGACACCAGGCAGACGTCACAGCGCAAAAAAAAGAAAAAAAAGGGCTCTCTCTGTTGTCACCCACCTCCTAGCCTACCTCAGAAGAAGAACCTGGAGAAGGGCCTCAGATAAAGATCTAAAGGCCTAGTAGGTTCATATTGGGAGAGGGGTACCAGAAGATATTCTGAATATGACATTTCTGACTCAGGGCTGCATTCCATCTGTTTTGAATACTCCTATACTTCACTCTCCAGAGTGAATTTTGAACCTTTCCAGAGTTTGTATGATGAGGTAGGTAAAACATGCCTCTCTTCTATGCCTGACATTTCTGTCACCTGAAATGTCACTGAACTAAATACAGTTGCAAAGTCAGGGTATGCAATATTTTAACAGTAAATACCACATTGCAGTTTTGTGGTGCTAAAAATATTATTGAGAAATTATTTGTAGCAATGCAACATTTTCAGTTACATGTCATGCTCAAGTACCCCTTTGTCTTGGTTTAGGAAGAATGCAACATTTATCCTAAGCAAATCATTTTATCTAGCAGGCTCAAGTTACTGTTGCAAAGGCAGCACAAAACACCCTCACAGAGCTGTGAAAGCCCCATGACATTTTCAATTATAATACAAATAAATTTAAATACAAGTTCAGTTTAGATCTCAAACAGAGCAGTGATTTTCTGTTTAATGCTTCCCACTTAATGATTATGAAAATGGAGACTGCAGAGTATAAGGTAAACAAATACTTTGAAATTGCTGCTGTGGATTTATGATGCTATGACAGAACTGGCACATCAGGATCTTATAAAAAAACTAGAGTTCAGGACTCCACTATACTCACAAAAGTCTCATTTTTTTATTTATACCCATTTCTACATATGTGTACAAACCTGAGAAAGCCCACCTAATTCAAATAAGAGATATAAAAGTATTCACAAGATTTGGGCCTTTCTTATAAATAACCACTCTCCCCCTAACAATTTTATTTATTACATTTATAAACAGTACTTTCTTTCTTCCATGGAACACAGAATTATCCAGAGAGGGTCACTCAGCAGTCTATTATCTAAGCCAAACCTGCTTAGGTTTGATAACATAAGGTTACTGCATCATTTATGCACCTTCAAACTATATCCTGGAAATTGTGGATAGGGACACCCTGACCATGAAACTGGAGGAATAAGATCTGGAGGGAGTCCCAAAGATGGGCTTGATCCCTAAGCTATGTACAGAAATTCTGCATTTTTAAAAGTTCTCTGCAATTACGTCAAAAGCAGCAGGGAGTGAAGGTTGCACATGGATGTTGCCCTCATGTTGCCAGTGAATGTTGGCAGCAGAGACAGCTATTCAGTTATGAAAACTTCTTGCCCATCAGAGTTTGGAATTAAGCTGAAGGAAAGCAAACGGCTCGTTTGCTTGTTTCCACTTCAACTAGGGGCCTAAAACAATAGGAGTCTTGTGGGCCATTCAGAAAAGGCTTTGCACACTGTTTATGGCCCACAAGCCAGTGGTCCTCCACCCTGTCTTAAAGCCTGCCATGAAATTAGCCTGAGAAGCCCTGGACAATTGCAAAGTGCAGCCTCCTCTTTATGGAAGGTATTTATGCTTAAAAAGCTTTTGGGGTCAAATAAGGGGACGTGGAAGTCCACTTGCAAGATTCCCAGTCAGGAATGGCTGAGGAGAATCAGCTGATGAGATTTGATGGGAGAATTGTAAGTAGTAGCTGAGGACCAAGAGGGTTTGTCTAACCCTACTAACCTACTAACAAAGTAAACATGAAAAGATAGAGAACTGGAAGTGCAGGAGGAAACGCAAGACTGGCAGCCCAAGTTTTGGGCAACCAAGCCAGAAAGAACCAACTGCAGCCTGGATGCCATGGGTGAAGAACATATAGCCTCTTTTGCCCATGCACACCCTCTGAAGGGCTTAAGGGAAGAGTCTACACTCCTACAGTGGGAATGATCCCAAAGGCAAAACACACTTGGAGCCCTATTTATCTTAGGCTGAGATCATTGCTGGTTGAATTGTAGTACAAATCTGTCTTGAAACAGGTGGGGGCAGTGAGGCAATATCAGGCCCAAGGCCTCCACCTCTTTGTCTGGCCTTCAGGATGCTTCCTCAGTCCACACACCCCTGCTGGTCCTGCTTGGCACTGCCTTAAGTAATTTTTGCCTGGCTGGAAGATGTCCTTGAACTCTGACAATTCTTCTTGCTCCCCTGGATGGTGGCTAGAGAGGAGCATGGGTGGTAGAAATAAGCCTACTGCATAAAGCTAAAAATTGAATTCATAATTCCCCCCACTTTGCAACAGGCCCATGAGAAAGTTGCCTAGAGCATGTGACCCTTGGGGTGAAAAAGGTCCCCTACCCTTGACACAGAAATAGTGTTTTGAATGCAGAGATGGCCTTCATCTTTGGACCAAGGAGCGTAAGCCAAGAGCAGCTTCTCAAATATTCCCTGCTAGTTGGGTTGCCCATCTTCCTGTGGAAGGTCTCAGGGGAAGTGTCCCAGCCAGCTGGAGGCGCTCTCCTTTTTCCTTGTTGACAGCGGTGCTGGAACCAGGCTTGCACCTACTTTTTGGCAATTTGCACGTAGGGAGGCAGTTCCATCTCACGGAAGTAGGAGCAAAGCACCTCCATATGCAGAGGGAAGAGCTTTGGCTGTGGACACGTTTTACATGCACAAATTCTTTTCCTTATTAGTAATTTGGAAACTAGTTAACTGAAGCCATGTACCCACTTTCAGACATATGGTGCCGTTAACATGAACATTAAAAGGCAAGTCCTGGTGTTCCCTTTTGTGGCTTCATTCCCCTGGGAAAATGGTCGTACAAGCAGTGAGTGAGGTCACCACATTCCCCATGAATATGTATCCCAGTACTTTGCTATGGCATCACATGGCTGTTCCATCTGTTTAAAAAGCACTGAATGGTTTAAACTGGATCCTCAAATAAGGGTGCCTGCTTCTCTCTGAACCACAGCTGAGTCCATAGATGCCATCCAAATATGTGAATATTCCTGTGAAAGCAGTCTCCTATTCAACCCCATTTTTACACAGAGAAATATTTGGGCATTTTTACCACCATCACAAAACCCCTTATTAGTATCCACTAATGCAGTTTTCTACTTGGGGGGCGAGGGTGGGAGTCTCGAAAATAATTGGAAAGGTTACATGAGAACTAGCCACAAGAACAGTGTACAGAGCCTTTAAATACATGCTTTGTTTCCACAAAGTGAACTAATCTCTAATACTAATCCCTTTAGTTATCTAGCATTCCTCCCCTTTCTTGTCTTATGTACTTCTGTTCTTTCCTCCATTCCTCATTATGGCAAACCGCATTCCAGCTGCCCAGGTCTATAGTTCTCACAATTTAGAGCCGGCCTTGCCATTAGGCAGAGTGAGGCAACCGCCTCAGGTGGCAGCTGCAGAGAGAAAGAACTGGCATCTCCTTGGCTGTTGCGCCTATGCCCCCATCACCAGCAGCCTTTGCCTACTTTGGAGGACACAGCTGTGTATGCCTCACAGTCTGTCTTGAGGCCATGATCTAGCCAGCTGACAGATAATATGAAGGATGCTACCCCACCACAAGTGTTGAAGTAAGAGTCAACTCTCAATCAGGTCAGCTTCTGTATGTGGAATGGGGAGTCGGTGCCATCTTGTTCTTTGCCCCAGGAAGCAAAATCTCATGGGATGCCTTTGGTTACTCAAGCTTAGTAGGTTACCCTACTAAGGAAGCAGAGAAAGATGCTTGGTGGCTCACCCTCAATCATAACACAAACTTTTGCTGTGGGTTGGGCTTTCAGATGGACTGAGGAAATCTGTGTAGATTGATAACCACAACAAGCACTCTGTGAGGTGAGTGGGGCTGAGAGACTTCACAGAAGTGTGACTAGCCCAAGGTCACCCAGCAGCTGCATGTGGAGGAGCGGGGAAGTGAACCCGGTTCACCAGATTATGAGTCTACCACTCTTAACCACTACACCACACTGGCATTTTGCCTCCTCCCAATATCCCCACCTTCCACCCCAGCTGGCATGAGCTGCAGGGTGCATGTACAGAGGTGGCTCTGCTGCTCCAGTAAAAGCCCTGCTGTTCCCTGGGCAGAGTTTGGAATGGAGCTGGATACAATTCAATCGTATTAGCCTTAGCTAGGTTTTGCAGGATTTGTGGCCAGTACATTTAAATTAGTCCCATTGGCTTTTGGGAGGACTTACTTTAATGCACTACATTCAAGGCTTCGGTTTCTCAGCTTCAGTGCTACTAGCCTGAACTCTAAATTCTTCTGCAAAGCTTGTGATCCCGGGGGGGGGGGAGAAGTGGCAGAACAAAGCTGACATGTTTAATCCCTTTGCATTCTTCTTTTCTTAAGACCACACCACTGCAACTTCTATTATACTTTGAGTATCTGTAGCAAAAAGTGGTCCTACGCGTAGTGGTTTGTTGGTAGCTGCAACCGAGGGTTTGGCTTCCAACATTCTGAAGATAAAACTCTTTCCCACTGGGAACATGCTTTGAAACTGTGATTGTATTCAATAAAAAGGCAATAGAAATATCCGCCGTAGTAATTATTGCAAGGTCCGTTTCAATGCTGAACTGAGGCCAAGGAACAGATTCCTGTGTAAGAACTGAAACTGAGCAGAAAAGAACAGCAGGGCTCAGAAGGAACAGCAGCAGATTAGCTAAATTCCCCCATGGAAAGTTTCCCTCACTGAAGCCTGATTGTGCCAGCAATGGATAGACGTTTTCTGGGATTCCCAGCTCTGTGCCTATGGATAGCTCAAAACCTGGTGGTGGAAACTGGGCAGCATTCAACTTCTCCCAATACATATGGCAACAAAGGCTGGCATACCATCTCCTTCGCTATCTGGCACTTAATGGTCCAGGCCAGCGTTCCCAAACTTCTTTTTTTCATAGACCACTTGCAAACTGCTGGGGATCTCAGTGGACTCCTTCATGAACCCCCAGCACCATTGTCAGAACCAGTGACATATTATAGAAGTCAAGGGCCCTGAGCCAGGTGACTGAGTGGTGTCCCTTTAACTGGCAAAGTTTTAGGGAAAGATCAATGGACTGCACAAGTAGCATATCATGACAATCATGGGGCCCAGGGTAATGCCTTGTTAGCTGCTCAGTAAATTTGGCCCTGATCAGAATGGCCTCAATCTCTGCTCAGAAAAAAAATTAAACAAATGCAGGACCACGTGCAGATATTCTGATTGTTCTGCAACCTCTCTGTGGATTACATGAAAGGGCCAGTGGCCTGTGGACCACAATTTGACATATTATGCTTGAGGTATCAAAAGGTTGAAAAGTCATCTGACATTGTTAGTCACTCAATATAAGGCTTGTGGCAGTTCAACTAAATTAATCTTAATTTACATGCATTAAACAGCACTTTTTGGGTGCGTGTGTGTGTTTCCCAGCAGAAGTGAACAGAATCGTGGTTTGACACCAGCTCAGGATCAGAACTAGTCCTAAGGAACGAGCACCTTCCTTCAGAAGTTCAGCCCAAATAATTTACTGCAACTAGGGATGGAAGGATCTGTCAATGTTGGTTCTTTCAGTTACTAATTTTTCCCATCTTAAATTCAGTTTTCCACATTTCTGCAGTGATTTGTGATTTTTGTTGTTTAAGGAAACCTCATAAAAATTCACCAGCATTTTAGTAGAATTTCTCCCAAGAAATGATTAATAGGCACATTTTTGAAAACAATGTTATGCATTTTTGTATGCTATTCTTTATGAAGCTATTCCTTTTTTGTACACTTCCCCCCAAATATATGCATTTTTGTAAACACTGGTAGGTTGAAGAAAGAAGATTCTGACGAAACATTAGGAAGAACTTTCTGACAGTAAGAGGTGTTTGACAGTGGAACGGATTCCCTTGGGAGGTTGTAGAATCTCCTTCACTGGAGTTTTTTAAGCAGAGGTTGGATGGCTATCTATCTGTCTTGGATGCTTTAGTTGAGATTCCTGCGTTGGGTTTGGACTAGATGACTTGGGGTCCTTTCCAACTCTATGATAAGAAGGAGGACAATTATTTTATACAGCTTTCAGAAGAGCAGCCATGTTAGTCTGTTGCAACAGAAAACAGCAAGTATTTTATCCAGTGGTATCTCTCTGATGGCAGAAAGCTCTTTAATGCAGAGGAGGCTTCTGTCAGTAGAAGGGGGTGGGTGGGAGGTAAGAAGGCAATTTTCACATATAGACCTTCTGCCCTGCTGTGACTCCCCAATCCTCTCCAGTTGAGAAACCCTTGAAAAGAATGTGAGAGATGGTGTGTGGGGAACTGTAGCGGATGGGCTTAATCTTATGGCCCCTGAAAGACTAACAGATTAATTGTAGCCTATGTTTTTCTGAATTACAGTTCATGGAGTTGGCATGAAAGCTTATGCTGCAGTAAATCTGTTACTCTTAAAAGGTGCCACAAAACTCTTTTGTTGTTGTTTAAAACGGTAAGTTTCAGGGCTACATGACAAATATTAAATAAGCCAGTACAGAATGTGCAGTATTTATATATTAGCACAGTGGAAATTGCTCTCCTCGGTTTCTTTAGGAAGTGGTTCTTTATTTTTAATAATTCGCAGTACCACATTTGGAAAAACAAACATTCACGAGGAAAAAATGTGGAACAATGCTAACAGGTGACACTCGCAGCAGCTCCAAGATGGTTCCCTGTCATCACCAAGGAAACCAAAGTTTGATTCCTAAAGGGATTTCCTTGGAGCCTGTCAGCCGGCAGAGTGGGTGGAATGTTGAATGTTAACACTCTGACATGTCTTGGGGCCAGCAAGTCATAAGATGGCTTGGCTTTGAGCTAATCTCAGCCACCTGCCACCATGAAAATGGCTTGATGTTCATAGACACAGCAAAGGATTTGATCAATCCCTGGGTGTGGTTCACACTCTGCTTCAAAACTTCTCTTTATAGCACAGTGTGATCTGGATGGCAGCAGAAATACCTGCCTCCTTCATTTGCAGAAGGGCATGTGATAGATGGATCTGTGACACCACTGGCAGACAGCCGCCACCACCATGGATACCACTGACTAAACAGGTATGGCTACAGTACGAGGCACCAGGAAGGACTTGACAGCAACTTTCAAACCCTGAGGGAGAATAAAATAACCTGGTCAGTGATGGAAATGCAGAGGTATTTCAATAATAAATGCTCCAATCTGGGCTGTGGAATTTTCCAATTTGTACAGCCTGAATACAAAACCTTACGGGGATCACGCAGGGATACTCTACCCAGAAAACCAAACAACAGAGAATGCCCTCGTCAAATGTCCTAAATTAATTAGTTAAGCATCAGTGCCCTGGGTTTCAAGCATCTTAGAGAGAACAGCTGCCCCCACAGCAGGGTTTCCTCTTGGCTGCAGGCTGCCTAGTCATTTGCTGTCTTGACTGTGCCTTCCAAGTCTTCAGGGTATTTGCTCCTTGGGTGGGGGAGACATTACTTCCTAGCACTGTTAGTCCGGGAGCTCTGGTTTCTCAGACCATGAATCAGATGAGCACCCTTATGCAGGAGATTGCAATGCTTGAGCTGTGAGGATTCTGCTGAAGGCTGGTTCTGTGTTTGGTTGTCTGGGATCAGGGCACAATGTTCATTTCTGAATCATTTCACAGTGTGAGGTTTCTGGCTCATGTAGGCTTGTCGTCTTCTCACTTCTTGATCCAGCTGCTCTTTCAGAGCATTCACCTGGGGAAACACATGTCAACAAATAGGGCTATGTTCATATAAACCACTCTTCTGTTCTGTTCCACTATTTAAACCACTATTCTTCTCTCTGGCTCACGCTGTCTGGGCACCATGGCAAACTGCTTATGGTGTCCAGAGCTTTTGGTGTGCCTAGAGAGATAGCAGAAGCCTGTTCACCTCTGTTCACTTGCTGGCCTTCTCTTTCTGGGTGCTATGAAGCTATCATAAAGCTAGTATAAACATGTAGTTTTGACCTCAAGAGAAGAAAAGTTCATACTCATATTCTTTTTCTTAGGGCTGCAGCATGGCTGAGAAAAATATCCACAATTATTATTACCAAGGATTATTAAATTGAAGCAGGAGAAGAGTCTGGTGCTCTTATTGTCCTCATGATGAGAAGGCCTTGTGTTGAACAATAGATCAGTGTTTCCCAACCGGTGTTCCGCGGCACACTAGTGTGCCATGAGACCTTGCCTGGTGTGCCGTGGGAGGGAGGCGGGAGAGGCGGGGCGGCGGCGGCATCTCCTGCTGGATGCAAATCCAAACATGGCGGGCGCCTCCCTCGCTCCTTTGTAGGCGGTCCATCGAGAGAGAAAGAAAAGGAGGCGAAAGAGCGAGAGAAGGCGCTTGCGCGGAAAGAGGAGCGAGCAGTGCGCCTGCGTGCCGCGGCGCCCGAGATCGCTTCTCCCCACCGCCCCTTGCTTCAAAAGAGGTCCGGGGACAGCGGGAAGCGCTTCGCGCTGCCCCCGGACCTCTTTTGAAGCAAGGGTTTGCGGGGAGAAGCGATCTCCCCGCAGCCCCTTGCTTCAAAAGAGGTCCGGGGGCAGCGGGAAGCGCAGCGCTTCTTCCCCGCTGCCCCCGGACCTCTTTTGAAGCAAGGGGCTGCGGGGAGATTGCTTCTCCCGGTGCTCCGAAGCGGGGCGGGGGGGCGGGAACACCTGCCCCAGCCGCCCCGCTTCGGAACGCTGCTCCGAAGCGGGGCGAGGGGGGCGGGAACACCTGCCCCAGCCGCCCCGCTTCGGAGCGCTGCTCCGAAGCGGGGCGGGGGGGCGGGAACCTCGCACCCCGCCGCCGGGCATCGGAACGATGCCCCGATGCCGGGCGGTGGGGCGGGAACCTCTCCCACCGCCGCCGGGCATCGGAACGAGGTCCTGGACCTCTTCTGAAGGCAGGCGGGGGCAAAAGTCTTTGCTCCCCCCGCCTGCCTTCCCGGGACAGCGGAGACTTCTCCGCTGCCCCGGGCGATCTTAAAATGCTGGCGGGCGGGAGCGAAGCGTTCGCTGCCGACCCCCAGCATTTTAAAATCTCCTCGGGGCAGCGGAGACTTCGCTCCCACCCGCCAGCATTTTAAAATCGCCCCGGGACAGCAGGGGCTTTTAAAATGCTGGCGGTCGGCAGCAAAGCCCTCCTGTCCCCGGAGCTTGCGGGGCGGGAGGTGGGAAGAAGGGCTTTTCTTCCCACCGCCAGCCTTCAGAACAGCCTTCTGAAGGCTGGCAGTGGGAAGAAAAGCCCTTGTCCCCCCCCCCCCAGCCTTCAGAAGAGGTCGGGGGACAGACTGTCCCCGGACCTGGTCTGAAGGCGGTTTCCCTAGGAACACATTAATTGATTTTCAATGCATTCCTATGGGAAACCGTGCATCGCAAGACGAAAAACTCGCAAGACGAAGGGACTTGTGGAACGAATTAATTTCGTCTTGCGAGGCACCACTGTACTTTTTATATAGTCAATATAGGCACAGAGTTAATTTTTTTAACATTTTCTAATGGTGGTGTGCCTCGAGATTTTTTTCATGAAACAAGTGTGCCTTTGCCCAAAAAAGGTTGGGAAACACTGCAATAGATTAAATCGGATCTCTCCCCCACTTCTCTTGCAGTCCTACTTAACCTCCCTCCTCTAGCTGTGATGCTGTCAAATCTGAAGGGCTAGTTTACACACTGTATGGCAGCAAATGTGTTTTGATATCATTTACGCAGTCCATCAATCCCAACCTCTCAGGCACTTGCACAATGCAGGTAGCTGAACACACATTTGTCAAGTCGATTCCTTCATAACTTAGAAAAGCAGTGTGTGAAATAGCTCCATAACGGTACCCCTTATATGGTTTAGGGGTTAAGCAACCAGCTAGCTTCTCTTTCTCCAGGGCAGAGAAAGCAATACATCACTGCATCATGTCCCAGATTCACAAGCAGTATAAGCTGTCGGTACAAGAAAACCATGGAGCTGTTTAGTCCTCACAGGTTAGCTTGTGCTCTATGGATGTTGGCTGTTCAACACAAGAAATTACCTCTTGGACTCTAGTGCATTCTGCGCTAGAGAGCCAGGAAGCATTTGGGAGGAGGAATCCATAAACAATGGTGCATTCTTCTCTTTCCTCAGTGTCCTCACCCTTTTGACTTCAAAAATGCCCATACTCCCAGTTCTTCCCTCTACTTCCAACCATCACCCCAGTTCTCACCTCAAAACTCCAAATATCATTACATATTTTGCAAAACCCTTTTGATTTGCAGAATAAATTCTGGTCACAGAAGCTGGGCATCACTGGGGAATTTGGATATGAACAGAAATATCCAGTCTAGTTCTCCACTCTACCTGCTCCTCCAAGCTCTTCACTCTCTGCCGGTGAGTTCTCTCTCGTGACTCCAGCTTACGTTCAGACTGGAGCTGTGCACTGTGAAGCCTCTCTGTTTCCAACTCCATGTCTAGCTGATGACGGGATGTTAGAGCCATCAGTTGTTGAGCATGTGTTCGTTCCAGCTCTGCAATCTTGGCCTAGAATGAGCACACAAATTGGGCCCAGCTCATGTGGTTGTGATCCTGATACCCGCTGAATACTTTTCCTTTAGTCAAATGATCCCCTGGAGCTCTTAGGTCTCTTTCCTCTCATTGCAAGACTAGGAAGAAAGGGCCCATACAAGGAGACCAAAATAATTGGCCCTTTTAGGATCAGTCCAGTACAGAGGTAGATGCTGAAACATGCTCTCAGGCCTATGGTCCAAGTGCATTTTAAGCTCAGGTGGAAGAACCTGCTCAGCTGCCCTCCTCTCCTCATCCCTTTAGTCTCCACAATATGTGTAATCTTTCACTAGGTAGCACCCACAGCACCCACTCTCTTTCATGTTTTACATATCACCCTGCTCAGCCTCAGCATGTGCCTTCTCACGCCTCATGTCCCTTCAGACCAGATCCTTTCATGTCCTCCTGCCTTCCCCCTTCCAGGTTCAGTAAGTCCTTGCTGACCTGCAGGTGTTCGTTTTGCCTCAGGGTATCCTCCAATTCCTGTTGCAGGCTGTTCAGGGACCGGTCCAGTTGTTCCCTCATGTGACTCAACCTAAATGTGTCATCTTCCTTCCTGAATTTCTCATGCTCTGCCTGCAGAGGAGACACCACAATCCCTTATCCAGTACCTGGCACAGCTCAGATACTGCCATTACATGCTTTTTTTCTCCACACACCTGGGGAAAATCTGGGGGAAATCCTGACAAGTTTGAAGGTGCTAAAGTTTGTGAAGAAGAGGGCAACCACTGGGCTGAAACCATTAAAATTCCATGAAGAGACTGGGATCTAATTAAGTGCCACAATACTTATTCAGTTCGGCACTTGCAAAAAACAGTGCAGTTAGCTCCAGTTCTGCACAACTGCAGAAACATGTTTTGTTTTCTCTTTCTTTCTAAAATTAGTCCCCAATACACAACACCGTGATTTTGTCCTGTGAGCTTAAAAGTCACACTTGACGCTGCAAATTTGGTGTTAATGTGGAGAGTGCTGGGCAGTCATCTCCAGATAAAACTAATTATAGTCAAGGAAGAATGACTTCCCAGGAAAATGCCAAAGAACAGCCAGAAATGAGAAAGAATGAGGATGAGGGAGAACTTAATGAAAATCAAAAGTGATTCTTAGAAAATGACTCCAAGGAACCATGCTGGAGGTCACGCCGAGGCAACTAAGTGGAGAAGATGCCTTTACCAACTTCATTAGGAATGGGGGCGGGCTGTGTAGTGGCTATTCTGGACTGTAGGGTTAAAAAAGGGAGAAAGAGAATAAGGCAGATATGTGCCCTCCATTAATCTTTCTGACAATGACTCTTCCCGGCCTGGCCATTATTCACAGTTATGTGGGCACCTCAGGCAGCAAATGCTGGGAGAAGTGACATGGTGGAGGACAAAACGCTCTGCCCTGATACTGAAATGTACATAGATACTGAAATGTTGGGAGGCTACAGCATTTTATGAAAGAAAACATAAACATGTGAACATCGGGTTTAAGCCCACATCCTTGTACTTCTTCAAGGATGATGACAGAACTGTCCAGTGTGAAACATTACAATTGCTGGGTCAGGCAAAGCATCCATATAGTCCAACAGAATACTGCAAAACTCACAAGCGGCAGCAAAACTCACAGAGTCCAATAGAGAGTCCTCCATTCTCTGTGGGCTTGCTGTAGCACCTGTTAATCAGAGATACTTTGCGGCGGAATCGCGTGGATGCGTTTATAGCTGCCATGGTCCATAGACACTGCATGAATTTGCCTAATTGTTTTAAAAACCACCTAAGCTAGACACTTTGCTGAAGGCTTATGAAGCTTATAGATTTTAACTGTGGATGCTATCCAAAAGTTTAACACAAATGGAGGAAGGTAACACCAAATGTCAGTTATACTTCTTTGCCAGCTTCTAGGTTCTTTCTTCTTCTTCTTCTTCTTCTTCTTCTTCTTCTTCTTCTTCTTCTTCGATCACTCATAGCTGAGGAAGACTGTCTTCCATAAACACAGTTTTAACAATGAGTCTGTAAGTGACTGTGGAGGCCAATTTTGGATCCACATGTCCTTCCACAGTGGGGACATTGGTTTCCGGGCGGGAGTTGATCACGGTGTGGATTTGCCAAGCGTGCCTTCCTCTTAGCACGTTTTTCCCTTTCGCCCTGAGTTCGAGTGTTTTTACATGCTAGCTGGCCTTAAGTAAACCACCACTGGATCTGAAGGTGCCACCCCTTCCTTTTAAAAAAATATGGGTTAAGGAAAAGCATGGCAAATCCAGCCTGTCCCACCTACCCTTCTACTCCACCACATTTCTTTAGCTGTCTAACCATCTGGGATAGAATTGAGATCCAGATCTAAAAAGAGCAAACTATAATGCAGAAAGAAGCAAGGCTCCCCTATGAGGAGGGGAAAGAGAGGGGCAGAATTGAATCGAGGGTGGGGAGAAGTAGTGGCATTGTGCTGTGTAGAGGGAGAAAGATTCCCAATAACTGATGGGGTGATGGGATATTCTGTTCCTTTAAAACTCCATGCAAAACTTACCAGAAGAAAACATTAAATGGGGGGTGGGGGTGGGAGGTTGGGGAGAGAGAGAGAGAGAGAGAGAGAGAGAGAAGCAAAATCCAGAATAAATAAACGGCCACATCCGGATTTCCCCTCTGGAGACATCAATAAAGAGTTTTATGAGCTTGATATGAATTACCCTCCCTGGCCATTTACAGCTGATCTTCTGGAACTCATTAACTAGCTTCTCCCCTTCCTCCAACCCAGGGAAAGGGGTTGTGCATGGGGGAATTCAGGGGCACAGCACACAAGGCTATTTTATGCTTGCAGAGATAAATGCTTGTAATGCTGTTTTGCCATAACAGAAAAACATCATATTCGTCACCCTCTTCGTTTCTACAGCTAGAAAAATCCATTAAAGATGAACAATAAATAACTTCAAGAAAATGCCAAGCCTGGCCCTTCCTAACACTTGGGCCTGGCAAGGACATGCTTTAACCCTTCCTAGGGAAGATGACATCTGCTGGAGATGGCACACCCCATTAGCTGAGGCATCGCAGTACAATTTTAATACAGAACATACACATATCCATGGGTTATATAATAAGCGACAGAGATCTGGAATGGTCAACAATGTAGTATAGTATCTCACAGCTGGTGGATCAAAATATTAACTTGAATAAGCAATACCTTGGATATCTTTTTTCTTTTTATCCTTAAACTATTTTAAGAATAGCAGTAAGGGATACCCATTGTATTTTATTATGGGCATATAAAGTACTAGAAAATTGGGTTTCCAAAAAAGAAAATGAAAAAGAAAGGAAAGATAGGAAAGCAGTTCAGGATGAGGAATTGGGCAAATAAACAGATGCAGTTGCAAACATGAAACTTTATACCACACAGAAGGCACTTCTGGTGCTGAAAGATAAAAACTTGCCCAAAGTCATACAACATAGTTGCAGCTGACATTAAATCCAAGCCTACAGGATCACAGCTCAACCCTCTATTCTATTGGACCACACTGGCTCCAACATTAAATAACAATAAGGCCAAAGCTGTGCCCAGGACATGCCACAGGAGGAATTAGATGTTGTGCTATGGCAGGGATGTCCGGTTGATCCCGTGATCCTGATGGATCACCCCCCCCCCCAAAGCTCAACAACTTTGGGTCTGACTCCCCCAAAAAAGCTCATCAACTTTGGTCAATGGGTAGATCACTGCCAGTGTTTTTATAGTGGGAGTAGATCGCAGTCTCTTGGGAGTTGGACATGCCTGTGCTATGGCAATTGTTCCATCGGAACAAGCACTTCACGGGAACAATCTTCCCTCTCCTTACCCTGTGTGCTGTTCTGGAGGTTCTTGTTATTTATATCTGGCCTATGAGTCACCGACGGATGGCAGCACCTGGTGCTCAGCAGTTATGAATGGATAACGTAATGCAAGACTAACAGAGATGCGGACAACTTCATGTTACAGCAAAGTGGAAGGGTGTATTTCAGAGATAAGCTTTAAACAAAGGAAAATCTCATTGGTGGTATCCATTATTTGGAAATGTGGAAACCACTGGGTATTTTGGACACTGAGCAAAACAAGTTGCCTCTCTCCCCTGTTGTGTGATAAAAATATATAATTAAAGAACCAACCATCTGTCATCCTTACATTTCCCTTTGTGCTGTGTAATCTCCACTGAAAATCACCCCAAGCTCCTGTTTGCCCCAGGAAGTGAATAACAGTTTGGGGGAGAGCAATTTTCATCTTGACTACAGTGCAGGAAGGGTTAAACACCCATAGTCCCAATTCTCCCTACCCTTATAGCTGCTATTTAAATAGCAATAATCCAGGCACATTTAATGTATTCATGCATGGAGCATACTGTCTATTTTAGTCCTTAGGGCTACAAAGATGCCCAGTTTCAGGGGTGGGTGAATTATCCACTGAGTAAGTTGGTCTGCAAATCAGAGGCTGATGAATAGAGTAGAGCTGCTGAAAAGAAACCAGATTTAGGTACCAAGGCAAAGTTTGTAGCCTAAAGTCTAACTGCATATTCAGGAGATGAGAAAGGATGTTTTTGAGTCCCCCCCCCTCCTGCAAACTCTGGATACTCACAAAGCTTGACCATGGTATGGTATTCCCCACCCAAACCCTCCTTTAATCTTTCAAATGCAGTATAGACAACTGTGACACAGAAATGTGGTATCTCACAGTACAACTCAGTATCAAAAGTGTAGCTAAAATGGAAGGATTTCTGGCACTATCGTGTTAGGCTAAGCTTTAATGATATGGCCTCTTAAAACAGGCAAATGCACCTCAAAATGGGGAGTTGCCTAGGAGGCAGCCCTGAATATTTCTTGCTGTTCCCACTCACTTCAGATTACAACTGGAGGCAGCAATCTATACATTCCAGTTGTATCAAGCTGGTTGGGAACTGAAGCAATCCCACTCCCTGCTAAAAATGCAGCAGAGAGTGCAAGTTTGTTGACAAAGTAGGGAGAAGGGACAAAGATGTGGAAACTTCTACATATAGATTTTTTGGGGGGGGTGGGGGGTTAGAAGGGACAAAGGTTGACGCGACGAGGCTTACATGAACTTTAGGAGAAGGATCTGCCACATGGTTTGGATTTTGTTTCTCCATCACTACAGCTAATTAGGCTGATCCAAGAGTGCCCCTGCTGATACCAAACACATGTGTGACAAATTATTTCTGTGAACTTGAACCAGCCCCTTGGAGCTGAGTGTTGTTGGTTGCTTCTCTGAAGAGGAGAGGAAAGCAGGTAGCCTGAGGATGTGCATGCATAAATGTGCGCTTGTGAGAGCTGAGATTTTACTTTAATGAAGAGTTCTGAATGCATTGTTTGGACTGCATTCAAAGAATCGGAGAGCAGTAATTTTGTGTGTACTGGGAAGTCATTGGACAGGGGCCACGAAACAAAAGTTATACCCAACAAACACTCTCTCCCCACTTGCAGAAAGTGACTGAAGTTCCGTGCCTGAAGGGACAGAAAGGGACTGAGCAAGGTTCTCTTTTCATCTCTACATTTTTCAAAACAGCCACGTGAAAGGTCCATACCCTATAGTGTAAACCACTGAATAGCACATGTATTTACATATATAGCCTAAAGGCAAATTAATGGAAGTTTATTACTGATATCTATCCTTTGAAACCTAAAGATGCAGAGTGCCATAAGCTGCAAACATGCATTCTTGTGAAGGGATATAACTAGGTCAGAATAAGAACTGTATTTTTTAAATTTCTCATGTTTCTTCACTATTATTCTATACTAAAGTTAATATAAAATGCATATGAATTAGGAAAAGCATACATAATGCTATTGGTTTATATTACACTATTACACTACACTACATTATATTACACAAGAGTAGACAAATGCAGGAGTCAATCCTGCTCACAGACACTCTACTAACACTTGGTACTGAAGTTTCATCCACTCAGCCATGTAAGAAAAATGTAAAATATAGTAAATAAAAGCCAGACTCAAGGATAAAAAGCAAGGGAGAAGAAAAACAGGCAATCTCTCTCTCTCTCTCTCTCTCTCTCTCTCTCTCTCTCTAATAAGGGCATCATCATGACAATTTGTAGCTATCTCCAAAAGCATTTTCCCATTTATCCTTGTATCACCAAGTGCAAAAGGAGACACCATATACATTGCAGAAAGGTCAGTCTCTGACAACAAATAATGTATCTTTCCCGGGGTGGTTTCAGAGTGTAATCCCAATAAAAGAGGAAACTTAAGTAGAAGGACAAAATAAGACTGAATGTGGAACATCTTCTATCCCAGCAGCTACTTTTAAGAAAAGTCTAGTATCTGTCAATAATCATGGCCAACAGCACAGATAGCTGTAAGGCAGGCAAAGGGAACATTTAGCCCACAGGTAAGATTAGGCTCACCAGGCTGTTTCCCCCCCGTCTTGTCCACGTGCCCCATACCTGAGATCACACCTTAGCATTATATAGCAGAATTGACAAATAATGATCACTTTCAACCCTGCTACTAAACTTATGAACCTCAGATTAAAAAAAAAGAAAATGACAACATGAGGCCCTCACTAGCACCTCAACTGGAGTAAAAGGCATGGGTTCCTAAAATTATTTAATACCACGAAGACAATACAGTTGATGAAAGGATAAAAGTTCAAGAAGTTTCAGGCCAGAATTCATCATGCAATGTTCCATCTAAGAAAAAGGCTTGCCTTACTAGTAGTAGAGTGTTTTCTGCTCATCCACATAGGCCAGAGCCCATTTGTGACTTAAAAATCTTCACATAGTACAAATTTAGCTTTAGGAAACTGAAATTCAAGATGCATCAACAATCATTCATACAAAGCAGAGTATCCATCTGCTTACCCTGAAACAAAGGTACTTCAAAATTTTGCTGATAAATACTATTCAACGTTTGAATGTTAACATCTAGGTAAAGTGAAACGGAAGTAACTAAGCGTCCAATAGCCTCCCTTTCAAATGTGTTTTAACCAAAGGAATAATATATGAATAATATCCCTGTAGTGAAGGAGGATTTGACTCTAGGGACTATCCTTTTGCCAGCACAGAATATCAAATGGGGGGGGGGGGGAGAAGGAGTAATAAAAGCCAAATAATATAATTCGTTACTCTAGCCCACAAGGTTCCAGGAGAGAAACTTTAAATGTCAGTCCAAAGCAATTATTTTATCAAGGACCCCTTAAGCATTTTCAAATACACTTCTGTCACTAGATGGAAAAGGCTGAACAAGAATCGGGGAATTGTTAGAACATTTTAAAAAGGCTGTTCAACCTTCTTTGTGTGCCTCCCATCTTCTGATGATTAGAGGTTGCTAGTTAACTGCATAAAATTATATTTTTTTGCATGGAGAAGATTTATTGCGAAGATTTTGACCAAGCTGGCTGAGGTTCTATTGAAGTAGATACCAATACATCATCCATGAAACACTTCCTGGAGTTACCAAGGAAGGAAATTGTTTTCCTCCTATTTTTAGAAATCTGTATCTTAACAAATCCAATTCTGTCACGATTGCTCTAGAATAGGAAGGGAATTAAAATAAGTAATTAGATTTGCATCAAAAGTGTCTCCAATAGACTCCTTCAGCTCAAAATCTCTTAACTAAAGTTTCATTTTAGCCAAACAAGTCCTGGGTTCAGGCCCCATGGGAGGTGCATAATGCTCTTAGAATCTGCTTTGGGGTTCCAGCCTTAACCTATTGCTAGGGCTCAGATGATGTCAGGGGCTGGACTGAGGAGGAATGGTGAGGGCCTTCTCCTGAACCTTCCCGAGAACAGGACAGTATAGATTTAGAACAGTGGTTTGCAGAAGGGCATAGTTGAGAGGCTGCAGAGGGCAGAAGCTGGGAAATATTGGGAGAGGAATAGCAGGAAGAAGAAGCGCCAGGGGAGAGACAGTTGACAGACTCAGTGTCCTTGGAAAGCATTCCTGACCACCCCCCTCCCAGGACTAGGCGTGCATTGTGGGTAGTAGAACAGAGAGCTCAGAGGCAGAAAGCTCAGATTAGCCGATGCAGGGGTGACATAGAATAGGGACGATGTAGGTGGGTGGGACTTTACTTGGAGCAGCGCCATTATTTAGGGAAGGCTGCATTCCTTTGTCACTCTCTGTGAATTATTGAATCAATTGCTTGGTAAGAATTTTTATCGTTTCTGTTTCTTGGCTGCCACAGAAGAAGGCAGTTGATAATATTCCTGAATACTCAGGTGGGTATAATTCCCTTCTTCAACAAAACTGTGCACTTGAAAGATGATAAACCATAGGTTCTGCAAAGGTGAGTAACAATCTTTTAGCCTGAGATCAGCAGTGAGGAACCTTCAGTACACTGGCCAAATTAGGTTCCAATTTGGCCTGTGAGGCCATTTCCCCCAAACCAAAGCCACCTGTCTCACAACTGTTGTCAGATGCAACATCAGGTGTGAAGCAGTTGGAAATGCAGCTGCCAAGAAACAATTGTGAGCCTAAATGTCAGCGCTGATCTGCTGACAACAAGCCTGTAGAAGTCCCAGTGGGCTTCCTGGAGGAACCAAACAGTGGACCAGCACTTACAGAAAACTGGCTTGGATTAGCTGTGCTATGGAATTCCTAAATTTGCATGGGGTTAGAAAAGGAAGCTTTGTCACTCATCACCAGTGAAAGCATGGGCACTCTCCAATAGATGCTTGTGAGATGTGGCCTGCTGCAATCCATATAATCACAAGTGTGAGATAGCTACATCCACAAGACCACTGTCTCTTGCTTCGTCCTCCTCTCCTCATCATTACTCACTTCTTGGAGATGTTCCAACTGCCCTTCCAGGTTTCTGCATCGCAGCTCCATCTCACCCAGCTGATCTTGCAGCAAATGTACTGTATCCGTCAAGCTATGGTTCTGCCTCTTGCTCTCTGACAATGCATGCCGCATCGAGTCCAAGCGATCCTGAAACAGGGGGAAAAGAAATCCATTGAAACAGAATGGGCCTATTAAAGATCGGAAACTCCTTATAGACTTTTCATGTGAAAAAGAAAATGAACTTATGATATCTGGGTTTGAGGACTGAAGAAAACAGTGGTTTATAGAAAATGGAATTCTTAGATGTTACCTTGGAGTGGTTGTTTTAAACAATTTTCTATATGTAGCTGACAGATGAAGAATTGGAAGCTCTCTCTTTTTTCTTTTAGCTTCCTTTCCTCTTTTAATTTTTTTGTGTTTTTATTTAGATTAGTGGTTTATCTTTCATTAAAAAGGTATTGGATATTTGATATTAATCTCTGAATATTTTCTTTCAAAATTTAATATAATCTACTGGGGGAAAGAAAGAAACAGAATAGGCCAAAACCACTTGGTTGAATTGATATGTACTGTTTGTGGTGAGATTTATTGGTCAAATGCCATTTTTTTGTGATTCATATATACACAGCCAAATCATCATGCTGCTTCTAGTCTCTTGTCAGTTCAAGCCAGCAGAAAGGAACTAGTTGTCGTGCTGGAAAGTGTTTTACTCTCTGTATGGACATCCCTCCAGAAAAGAATAAGGAACGCAAGATGCTGCCTTATATCAAGTCAGAATATTGGACCATCTAACTCAGTGCTGCCTGTACAAACTGGCAGCTGCTCTCCATTCTTTCAGGCAGGGCTTTCTCTCAGTCTCACACAGAAGTTCTAGGGACATTATGCATGAGAAGCATGTCATCTACCACTGAGCTATGGCCCATCCAGATTATTTACATTTAGGTGATTGCTAAGTGTTGGTTTAATCATGGAGGTATGGCAAAAAGGACCTGTGTTTTGGAATTTTGTTTTGAGTTGTTAGAAAGCCACAGACGTGATACAACCCAGCGTAAGGAATCTTTCCAACATACGTTAAGATTTCGTGCTGTCTGATCAGAATGTTGAGTATTTGCGTTGCATTGAAAGGACTTAGTAAGCAAGTACAGTGGTACCTCGGGTTGCATACGCTTCAGGTTACATACGCTTCAGGTTACAGACTCCACTAACCCAGAAATAATACGTCGGGTTAAGAACTTTGCTTCAGGATGAGAACAGAAATCGGGCGGCAGCACGGCAGCAGCAGGAGGCCCCATTAGCTAAAGTGGTGCTTCAGGTTAAGAACAGTTTCAGCTTAAGAACAGACCTCCAGAACGAATTAAGTACGTAACCAGAGGTACCACTGTAGATATAGACACTTAGGCCAGCCTTTTCACTTCATTGGCTCCAATAATTTTAACCACAGCCTCTGTCTCAGATACTCCTGGAGACAGCCTATGGCTATTCCCAACTTCCACAGGGTTTTTGAAACAGACAAAAACTCAACTCTTTCAGTTAGTTTGCAATTTCATATGTTCCTTGGGAGGAATGGGTGGAGAGAGTATTTTGTACAAAACAATATGGCCTGTAGAAACTACAGCGGATCCAAGCCAAAGCATGAACTTTCCTGGAGTCACCCAACACTAGAGTCAGGGGAGAAATTTGACTCTGTTCACTGTAAAGGTGAATTTACCAAATGCACACTTTCCAGAACAATATGCAAACTGAAACACAGCCATCATTCAAAATTTGCCCTTTTCTGAATTTTGCAGTGAAGTTCTCCAGCCAAGCAATATGTTGGGTAAAGTGTGCATATAAAAGTATATACAGTGGTACCTCGGGTTAAGAACTGAATTCGTTCTGGAGGTCCGTTCTTAAGTTGAAATTGTTCTTAACCTGAGGTACCACTTTAGCTAATGGGGCCTCCTGCTGCGGCTGCCGCGCAATTTCTGTTCTCATAAGTTCTTAACCCGAGGTACTATTTCTGGGTTAGTGGAGTCTGTAACCTGAAGCATCTGTAACCCAAGGTACCACTGTATTAGTAAAAATACCATACAAAAAGGCATCATATCAGGAAAACGTGCTTGCAAAACTGTGTATATTTGTCAAAACTGCATGCAAAAATGTATTTATTAGGAGCCCTAAAATGCTGGTGAATTGTCATAAGGGTTGTTTTATTAAATAAAGCAAAAATTCCTGCAGAAATTTGGAGTACTGAAGATAAGGCTAGAAAAAAGAAATTGAGCGAACCAAAAATCGACAGATTCATCTATTCCTACCCAACACACACTATGTTACCCTAATATATTGTACTTGTGCACACATGCACAACATAAAACAGGCTCTTCATTTTTGCTAACATATATTATTCTGAATGTGCCACCCCTTGCAATTTGTGGTATCATAAGGAAATAGGGATAGGTCATTTGGGGAGTAGGTGGCCACTGGATGTTGCAGGTGCTCAGCATTGGGGTGGGACTGGTCTACACAATACTATTTGGCTCAGGAGAGATGCTATCTCTTCGCACACAAACAGGCAGTGGCTGAACATTTGAAGCAGCTGATTCCTATTACCTGGAGTAGCCGACGGTCTTGCTCTGCAGCAGTCAGGGCCCTTTGCAGTTGGGAGACGTTCTCCTGGAGGGAGGAGGAGCCAGCGGTAGCATCAGACAGAGCTTGAGACAGGCTTTGCACCCGGTCCTTTAGGTGGCTTTCCGTGCCCTCAGTCCTGGCCAGAGAATGGGTCAAGTGGTCTAGCTCCTGCTGCAGCTGGGTGGTTTTGCTCTCTTTGTCTCCCAACTGGCAGCGGAGCGCCTGGGTCTGCTCCTGCAGGGACTGGATCTCTGCTTCCCTCTCAGTGAGGCTGAGCTGGGCCCGCTGCAGTTCTCCTTCAGCAGCCCTGCGGCTCAGATCCAACTTGGTGGCCCTACTCTCTGCCGCCTCCAGGACTTCCTTCAGCTTCCACTTCTCTGTCTCTAGCCTGGCTTCCTTGGTTTTCAACTTGTTGACTTTCTCCTAGAATAATAAAACAACCCAGCATGAACACCACTGGTCACTTTTGTTTTGGCCTATACTTGCGGAGGAAAAGGAGAAAGTCCTTTGTGAACAAGACTGGATGCCATTGCAGCCTTGCTGTGCAGGTGCAAGAACCAGCCCTGGGCCTGATGTGGAGCAAAAGCAAACTGTATGTGTGAATGTGTACCCATTTATAAAGCAATGAGAAATGAGTGCAGGTCTGATTCAATATATTCTGCTGCCTGGTGCAAAGGATAATATGGCACCCTCCCCCAATCCATGAACATCCATCAACCTGAGGGCCACATATTTTGGGAGGTGCAGGGCAGGCTAGCTTAGGGTGCTCAAGGGCTATGTAGGTGGGCCTCCACCCCCACCCTCGGTATGTGCTGCCTGAGACAGATGCTTCACCCTACCTAATGGTGTGCCCTGAGTCAGTCTACTGATAAAATATCTGAGCTTCAAAGAGAGGTGTAAAATGAAAGAAGGGGAGAGGGAAAGAAGGGGACTTCAGGCTGCACATTAGTGATGTGTGCTGACATTACTGGTTGGGAGTGTTGAAAGGGTGAGCAACACTCCCAAGCTCATTTATTTACCAACCCAGGACCCAGGACTAAGCTGCAGTATTCAGGATGGTCCCAACACCCACCTCGTGCACCGTCAGCCTCTAGCCTCCATCTGGATAAAAGTGCCACCACTCAGCATATTGCCAAGATCACAATGTGAATTACAGACCCCGTTTACATGGAAACTTACCACATCACACGGCCTTATGGTAGCATTACAGAGAGAAATGGAAAGAATCAATATTTTTTATGGAGACAGGTGATAATGTACACAGGATGAAACTCCACCCAAACAGTCCATGTTAGCCCAAGCAGTCAACACAGCCAGACCCTTGCTTGAGGGTGCCAGTTGGAATAAAAAGTGCTCTTTAAACAGCTGGGTAAAGTCCCTTCAGAAGAAGAAAAAGCAACAGTTCTTCCGCTGGGGTTTCTCTAGCACTCATTTGCTCACACCTCTATTTTAAGAACCAGAGTAGGTAATTTGTGTGTGCATGAAAGCAAGTTATACCCTTATACCCCCCTACTCACTGCTTAACTCTTTACAAACCCTCTTTGGCGCTTGATTTTTAAAAAAGGTATTTGTATTTATAGATCTTTGAGATATCTGTATTTAAAATATTTTTTGGACTGCTTTTTAATAAGCTTCACAAACCAGTTTGCTCAGTTAAAGTGCCTTGTAGCTCAACTCCATGCATATCTACCAAAAAGGAAGTCCTAGCATCTACATTTTAGGATTAGCATCTTTGGTGGCAATAATATTAACTTCTTTTCCCCCACCCTGTAGGGCATTTTGCCATCAATTACTGTTAGGACTGCTTTGAGCGTATGTGTCTACACACACAAGATATTTTAAAGTGTACACTTAAAACTGCAAAGTGTGGATGAGAAGAAAGTGTTTGGAAATGTGTATCATACAGGAATGCTCTTACAGGTACGCAAGGGCTGCCTGCAGCAGTGTACACTCCATGGCAAACCTAAGTTTATGGACACACAACATGTGGAATGGCCTTTAGGAGGGAGCAGCCCCGTGACATGTCACTGAATGCCTTTCCCCTCCAGGGAGAGGGTTTCTGCTCACCTGCAGTTCCCTGTTCTTTTCCTGACAAATGTGCAAGTTGCGCTCCAGGGCTGCCACCTGATCTGCAAGGGCCTGCTGCGCTCTTTCCGCTTTCCTAGCCGTCTCCTCTTGCAGCATCAGTGCTGCCTGTGCGCTGCTTAGGCGCCCGTCTGCTCCCCGCTTGCCTGCAAGTGAAAACAAAAGGCTGCTTTTTAAAGGAAAGGATGGCTGCGAAATGGGGTGTGCACTTAAAAACCATTCGTCCATGCACTCTTGCATTGCTTTGCCTGCCTGGCTAAGCTGAATCTATGCTTTGGGGAGGACACTGAATGTCCTTCCAGATAAAAGCCACACTTACAAATTGCCATCCCTCCAGAAGGGAAGAAGCTGTCAACTGCCCTAAACCTAAAGAAGGATCTATTTGTACAAAGGGGGTATGTCAGGAGGTGGGGAACAAACCAATAGGGAAAGACAGCCTGCTGGCATCTTTCTTGTTTTCTCCCAACTCCTCTGATATCCAATTATATGAAATCAGATTAGTATTTTACATGGCTAAAGTTGTATGGTTGATTAAGGTTTCGTCCCGGGAATTGCCTTAGGAGCACCTGCCTGTCTGAGAGCACAGACCCACATGGCATTTGCTCTTTAGACAATTTTTAAAGAAATGTTCAATTGATTGTTGTTCAAAGTACACATGATATGCAAATTCCCCTCATTTTTACAAAAATGAAAAGCAGCTTTGGGAGGTTGCCATTCTGAGCAAATAAACAGGAAGGGAGATGAATGCTTTATCCTTTTCCCCAGCCTTACCAAGCCATTTTCTGTCTTCCAGTGTTCCAGATGCATTTGTGGTTAAACACACATCTGGAACCTTCCCAAGTGAGCTGCTTGGGGTAACGATTCTGAAAAGACCAATGCTCTGTAGCAAAAGGGTTAAGGAAGCCTCTAGACTAGGGTGGTCCAACATACATGTGGTCCTTGAGGCCTTTTTTGGTAGCCCTTGGCCATGTTTGATGCCTTCCCAAAGCCAGGTAAGAGATGCACTGGGCTTTGGCAAGGAGGCGTCAAGGCCCTGACAGGGTCCTAGAGTCCTTCCACCTCCTTCCCAAAGCCTAGTTGGTGCTTTTCCAGCTTTGGGAAGGAGGTGAAAGGGCTCCACGACCCAGATGGAGCCTCATCCCTCCTTCCTAAACCCGAGCACCTTCCTTACCTGGCTTTGGGAAGGCAGCGTGAGGGCTGAAGTGTGTGTGTCAAGTTTTGCACACACCCCACATGACAAGGCAGTGTGCGGCCTGCAGGTTCCATGGTGACATATTCTTGGTAGGAAAGCTTGGGCCGTCCTGCTCTAGACTGCACTTTTCATTTTTTTAAATGTTAAAGCTTCACTGCACATAGGAAGCTGCCTTCTAGTGAGACAGATCATCTGATGTGACTGGCAGACGCTCTCCAGAGGAGCTGTGAGCTCTGCCACAGCAAGCCAGCAAAGAGTCGCATCAGCAAGATAAAGAAAGGAGGCATCCACAGAGAGGTATAGAAAGTTATACGCAGAAAGGGATAAAGGATGGGAAGAAAGGAGAACATGCCTTCCTCACAGTCTGCTAGGAGCTTCTGGAGTTGCAGGATGCGACTTTTTGTCCGGTCACGATCAGATTCCATTTCATTCAGCTGACGGCTCATATTCATAACCTGAATCCTCAGGTCATCCTGGAAACAAGATATATAGACATTCTCTTGATATCCTTAGCTTCTCACCAGAGCAGACCAAGAAGTACACCTGGGATATGAAACTGCATTTTATTTTAATGCATCCATTTTGCTATTTCTGTCCCATCATTTGGCTTCTCTGCAGTTTCTTTATCTTCCTTCACAACTCCTTTGACCTTGTCATCCAAAGGTCTAACTGCCTCCCCAGCTACTAATATATTTTTTTAAAACCTCCTTCTTGTTGGAATACTAAGGCCCCATGCAGTTGGCAGCCTGCCATTTCACACAGTTGCTGTGGTATGCTTTCGGTTGTTGGTAACATATTTTTTTGACAATTAAGATTTCTAGTGTCAAAGAACAATTATCCTCTCACCTTTTAAATCAGTAGATGATAGGTTCCTGCAGAATAAATGAATATAGCATGCAGAGTGCAGTCATCAGCAATATGTATCTGAGGTGGGGAGTACTAAAGCAGCAATCCCTTAGTCTAAGAACAGGGGCATTACAAGCATGTCCTGTTTTTCATCTATAAAATGTTGGAAAGCATGCTATTATTTTACGAATTAAGCATTACATTGAGTAGTCTTCCCTGAGACCGGGGCCTGAGGCAATAATAATTCGAAAACAACAGGCCTCACCAAAGTATTTCCAGGGCACACTAGTTTCCCTTATGCACATCTATGTAGACTTACTCAGGGATAAGTCACACTGAACACTGAGTAAACACGAACAGTTAAGGTTGTAATCTGCATGACCCATTGAACTCAATGGGATTTAAATTTGAGCAAAGGAGAATAGGCCAGGGCTACAAAGCTGCTAACTGAAAGATGTTATTGATTGTAGACATTCTTTTTGATTACTGCATGTTAACACTGAACTCTAGGATCCTGGTGGGACAAGACAACAAAGCAAGGAATGCCTTAGATTTTATGCAGCCCGAAAGAATTAAAAAATTTCTCCGTTTCTCCATTTGTCAGAAAGGCCACTGGATGATCTGATGCTATGATTATTGTGACAGACCATGTTTTTTTAATTATTCTGGTACAGTATAAATATTTATGCATTTTTATAAGAGGCATGCTTTTGAGCAATAAATAGCACATGACAGAGAAAGGGCTGAACTGCCCTTGAATGTTGCTAAACATATGTCTTCGAAGTCAACTTGGGGTCAAGCTGAGCTAGGTTGGCTCCTGCTAAAGAGAACTGGGATAGCCTAATAGATTGGAAAGCAGGGAGAATGAAGTGGGTCCTTGCACAACCTAAGCAAACTAGTGGTCCTGAGCCTGCGCCCTGCCGGGAGTGGAATCTACTCTTCCTTTCTCTGGCCTGGGCTCAGAAAAGCATGGAACAACATGCATCCAAAAGGTCTAAAGTTCTGTGCTAAAAAATAATTACATTACGTGGCTGTAATAAATCACACATTTTTTACACATATTTACTTGATTTGCATGCTTTTGCTTTAGTTACAAAAAGTTTTCTGCAAAAATACGGATTTTTTTTAATGCCTTGTTTTTGGCAGGGGGTGGTCTGAATGTCAGGACTGGGCATGGGGAAGAAAGGCTGAGACTTTCACAGCAAAATACTGGGAGGAAAGGAAAAGGCAAGTAGGCATTGGCTCAAGCCGCAGGGAGAGGCTTGGAGCAGTGTGATCTCACATTGATCATTTCAGTTATATTTATTGGTCGTGCTTGTTTAATATTTTCTAAACCACTTTGTAATCTTTACATTGCTAATCTGTACCCATTATACATTTGAAGAACTGAGGCTGAGATGGTGATTTGTCCAAAGCTAGTCAGTGAGTTCACAGCTGAGGTGAAGGCCTCTCCATTGGGATTCAAAACGCTCCCCAAGCCACACACTCACTGGCCCTGCCTGTCTGGAAAATGTTCTGGCATTTTGTCTAATAGTAAAAAGAAAAAAAGGTAAAGGTAAAGGACCCCTGGTCATCTAAGTTCAGTCAAAGGCGACTATGGGGTTGTGGCACTCATCATTTCAGGCCGAGGGAGGCAGTGTTTTTCAACAGACAGCTTTCCGGGCCTTATGGCCAGCATGACTAAACTGCTTCTGGCTCATGGAGGAAACACTGTTTACCTTCCTGCCGCAGTGGTACCTATTTATCTACTTGCACTGATGTCCTTTCAAAACTGCTAGGTTGGCAGGAGCTGGGACAGAGCAATGGGAGCTTCATGAACCATCAACCTTCTGATCGGCAAGCCCAAGAGGCTCAGTGGTTTAGACCACAGCGCCACCCGCATCCATTTTTTGTCTAATAGTGCCTCTTGCTTGTCTGGATAAAGGATAGAGACGTGTGTGTGTATGTGTGTGTGATTAGAAACTAACCTACTGTACTAAGGTAAAATTTACATCCATTTTCCTACTCACTTTTGCCTCTAGCCCTGTCCACCATTGGCATGTGGCCCCAAGAAGGTTGCCTAGAGGAGAATGTGGCCCTCAGACTGCAGAAGGCTCCCCTACCTATAGCATAAGGTAAAGGTAAAGGTACCCCTGCCCCTATGGGCCAGTCTTGACAGACTCTGGGGTTGTGCGCCCATCTCACTTAAGAGGCCGGGGGCCAGCGCTGTCCGGAGACACTTTCCGGGTCACGTGGCCAGCGTGACAAAGCTGCTCTGGCGAGCCGGCACCAGCGCAGCACACAGAAACGCCGTTTACCTTCCCGCCAGTAAGCGGTCCCTATTTATCTACTTGCACCCGGGGGTGCTTTCGAACTGCTAGGTTGGCAGGCGCTGGGACCAAGCAACGGGAGCGCACCCCGCCGCAGGGATTCGAACCGCCGACCTTTCAATCGGCAAGCCCTAGGCGCTGAGGCTTTTACCCACAGCGCCACCCGCGTCCCACCTATAGCATAGTGAGTCCTTAACACAGGTCTAATTATGTGCAGCCCCACAAACAGTACGCATGTCTTTCAGTAATGTTAGGTAATGTGTCATATATTGCATTGCTGACACTATGACTGTGTGCACACAAATTCTTACAGATGGAGAGATTATAGAAGTCAAGAGCTGGTGGGCATAAGGTCCCAACTGGTCTCAACCTCATTACCCTAACCTCATGCTTTCCAGAGCTTCATGGGATACATACATGAATACATACATACGAGAAAAACAGTAAATGAAAGAGATGACATTACTCACCCTCTCTCTCTGAGTGTCCCGCAGCTCCTGAAGGAAGTCCCTCAAAGCATCTCGAACTACATCCGGGTCAATTTCACTTGTGACTTGGTCACCTCTGAGAGGAGAACGTTGGTGAAATGGGGAACGTGAGCGGCTCCTCTCAGGAGACCCAGTGCGGGAGGCAGGTGTCTGCCGGCCACTGCTTCCTGTGGAAACATAAATTCTCAAAGTCTCAGAAGCCAAAGAGGGAGGCTCTGATCACGATTTCAAGATGAGTAAGGGGAAGGAAATTCTGCACAACTCAGCAAAACATTTTAAAGGGGTCTTTAAATATAGGGAGCACCTTAGACAAAGCTTAGGTTCTCTAGACATTTAGTCCAGCATTGTCTACTCTGACTATCAACAACTCCCCAGGGTCTCAGGTAGAGATCTTTCCCATCGTCTGATACTTAAGCCTTTTTAATTGGATGTGCCAATGACTGAACTATGTCAGGTGCTCTCCCACTGAACTATGACCTCTTCCCAGGACTGAGAGACCTGTTAGATACACAACCATCAGATACATGATGTGATGATGAAAAATGTCAGGGCAGTGAGTCAACCACTGCCAGAGGCAGGGCTTGGCTTCCAATAGCAGTCTTACAAACTGAAAACGGAATCCTGAGCACAGCAGTGAACACATGCAGCTTGCTTATACAGAGGGAGACCAATGGACCACCTAGCTCAGTCTTCCTCACCCCTGTTACTTGGCATCTTTTGAACCGGAGAAGCCGGGAATTGAATCTGGGAAGCAAGTGCTTCTACACACAAATCACTTGCTTTACCACTGAGCTATGACAGCGCTCCCTGTTTGCTCACCAAGACCACTGCTTAAGTGGTGGCAAACAACCTTAATTTAAGAAAACAAGCACATTTCCTACCCCTCATAGCTGTACCAGGTGCATTGGTATAAATCGGGGGTGGGCAACCTGCAGCCCTCAATCTATTGGGTGGGTGGTACGCAGGGGGTAGCATCAATATACAGTGGTACCTCGGGTTGCATACGCTTCAGGTTACATACGCTTCAGGTTACAGACTCCGCTAACCCAGAAATAATACCTCGGGTTAAGAACTTTGCTTCAGGATGAGAACAGAAATCGTGCGGTGGGGGTAGGAGGCCCCATTAGCTAAAGTGGTACCTCAGGTTAAGAACAGTTTCAGGTTAAGAATGGACCTCCAGAATGAATTAAGTTCTTAACCCAAGGTACCACTGTATATGGAGAGAGAGAGAGAGGGGAAGGAAGGAAGGAAGGAAGGAAGGAAGGAAGGAAGGAAGGAAGGAAGGAAGGAAGGAGTTGGCAGAGACTAAAGGAAAAAGGATAGTGGAAAGCAGAGAAAGAAAAAGACAAAGAGAAATGTTTGGTGGCCCTATCAACTTTTGACCACAATGATGTGTGGCCTCCAACAGATTCCCTCAAGGGAATGTGGCATTCAACAGAAGGTTGTCCAACCCCAATAGATTAATTTCCTTAGCTATGAGCATATTTCATTACCACAATTAGAGGTTGATGTCTACTGCAGTTATTGCTTAGCTGAAATTTAATGCACAGCATATGAAGGATATCCTGGTTAGGAGCCTTCTGACCTTTGACTGGAGAGCAGGACCTTTGTGGTGATGGACTCCGGCTGCCAAGCCCCAGCGTGCGGCGCAGGGCCGAATGCAGTGCCACGAGCTTCAGCTCCACCTCCCTCTTGGCTGCCTCCGCTTTGGCTAGTTCTATTCCCAAGCCTTGGGAACGCCCCTCACAGGTGCTGAGGCGCATCTGGAGGCTCTCGCCTGCCCTGCTGGCTTCCTGCAGCTTCATCTCCAGGTGATGAAGATCATCCTTCAGCTTCTTCTCCTTTGCACGGCTCTCGGCAAGGCTCTGCGCAAGGTCTTGCTCCTGAAGCCGGCTTTCTGCCTCCATGGCAGACAGCTTCTTCCGCAAGCTCAGCACCTGAAAGAACAAGGTCAGCAGGCCATGGCAATGTACGGGCACTACCACCATCCACACTACCTTCTCAGGACACAGGGAAGCCAAGAACAGCTGTAAATGTAGCTTGCAGTCATGGTTCTTCACCTATGTGTATAAAAGTGATTTATATCCAGCCAGCTACCACGATCCTGCCGCACACTCAGAGCTAAAGTAGATGAGGCTGCAGGAAACCCGGTCCACACAGATACACTTGTCTTCTCCCCTCTGTATGCAACCCTCCATGCAACTTATCTTCACTACCACCTCTTGGAGGACAAGACGCAGGAGATGGAAGAAGAGTAAGCTGCCCTCCTCAACTCTCCCAGCTTACTTTTCACTACTTCTTCCATCTCCTGCACCTTGTCCTCCACTGCCCACCACCACATTACCTCCTTGTGAGCAGATTCACGGCTGATCTCCAACCCGGCTATCTTCTGCTTCAGTTCCAGAGCCTCTTTGCTGTTCTGCTGCTCCTGCTGCTCCTCCTCGAGCAACCGATGCTGCAGTTCACTGATTTCTTGGGCTTTTTTGCTGTTCTCACTCTCTAAGGCCTTCACCTGCAAAAGGTATGCCAGAACTCTGGGTATTATCTATTGTATGTGCTCTATGCTAAGAAGCCCAGCTCACACGAAAAGCTTCTGTGGGGGAGGGGGGGGAAGAAGAAGAAGAAGAAGAAGAAGAAGAAGAAGAAGAAGAAGAAGAGTAGTAGTAGTAGTAGTAGTAGTTTGGATTTGATATCCCGCTTTATCACTACCCGAAAGAGTCTCAAAGCGGCTAACATTCTCCTTTTCCTTCCTCCCCCTCTACAAACACTCTGTGAGGTGAGTGGGGCTGAGAGACTTCAGAGAAGCGTGACTAGCCCAAGGTCACCCAGCAGCTGCATGGGGAGGAGCGGAGACGCGAACCCGGTTCCCCAGATTACGAGACTACCACTCTTAACCACTACACCACACTGGGAGGGGATCCCTACTATCACATTTGGCAATTGGTGTTAGAGTGAAATGATTGACTATATAGGGCTAGTAGGACAGAAGACAAAGAAGCCAAGGGCCCCCCCTCCAGACATCATTTTTATTGCACAATCATTGTTATTTGTGCTTGTGATATTACCGGTGTGTGTGTGTGTGTGTGTGTGTCCCACACATTACTCCACTTTCAATACTATTTGCACCTGCAAACATTTTGGGGTGGCCACACTGCTTCCTTTCCAAATCAGTGCGTATCCCGCAACTTCCTGTTTAAATCCTACAACTTTTTGTACCACAAATGTTCTGGTTTATTTTTGTCCCACTTGGGACTGCCCCTCTGGACAGCAACAGTGTGGTAGCATTGCAGAAGCATTGCAGAAGAACCTAAAGCAGAATAAATAAACCTACCACTAATGCACTATTATGATGTCAAGAACACCACTGCAGAATACACCCACAACAAAACACCAGTCTGGAGGGACCCAACAGCAGGCGAAGCCAGAGCCAATGACAAACAGAGCAACTCCCCTGTAGAGAACAGGCAGGCAGGTGGGGTGGGGGTGGTGCTAGCTGAGGGCAGACCAAGGCTGGTGAGGCAGTGTCTCACTCACTCTAATGGACCAGCCTCAACTGGATGTAAGGAACCCCAAAGGGGGCAGGAGTAGCACCGACAGTCCTAGCGGGAGGGAGACACAGGTGGGAATATTAAAAAAAGAGAGGCCTTATGGGTAGGAATTATGACGAAGGATTGAGGTCTCAAGGCTCTTTTATAGGAATTTTCAGGCGCAAATTAAACAAGCCAGAAAGACATTTTGGGTGGTGGTGATGATGCATCTCTTGTCCTCTGCTTAGATACTGTACCTACAACCTTGTGTTTTGTCAATGTCTGTAGCAGCTACAAGTGGCTTTGAATAAAGAATCCAATATTGGGCGACGTCAAGGATTTCTTGTTGCAATTATTATATCCTGAGGGTTGTGATGAGAAGGGTGTGGGGAGAGAGAGTTCTAAGACACAGTTATACCTGCCTGCGCAGCTCCTGCAGCTCCCTTCGCGCTTCCATGCGAGACTTCTCCACTTCTCGTAGATTTGCTCGGACCTCCCCCACCTCTCCCTCGACGGCTGCTTTTGCTTCCTCCAGCACAGCAATCTTCTGCTCCTTCTCCTCTTCGGATCTCTGCAAGCTGCAGCAGATGCACAGGTTCATAATCTCTCATTACTGGTAACCTCTAAAAGTGCTGTGAGCTGATAGCCACTATGCGAGCAACACGCCTGTCCCGCACCAAGGCTCCCTACCTGAGCCTCTCGTTCTCTGCTCTCTTGACAGCTGCTCTGAGCTCACTGTTGGATTTCTGCAGTGCTTCTTTTTCTCTGCTCTCGTCTGCCACAGCCCTCCGAATTTCCAGCAGCTCCTTTTGCTGGTGGTCACGAGCCTCTTCAGTCTCCTGCAGCCTGTGGTGAAGCTCAACCAGCTCCTTGCGAATTTCTGCGTGGGTATCCTCTGCCAGCCGCAGCTGTGCTTTTAGCTGTTCTGCCTTGAAGAAAAAAGCATACACGGCTGAGCCAGGAACCTGAAACCCGCAGCACGATCCTAAGGCTTACTCAGAAATAAGCCCATTGACTTGACTAGGACTTACTCCCTCGTAAGCACACTTAGGATTGCAGCAAATAGGGATGCATGTTTAAAATGATGCTTGCACTGTCCCTTGGAGGGTGATGCTGATGCCTAAGTAAAATGAGCATTTACAGTGGTATCTTGGGTTACAGACGCTTCAGGTTACAGACTCTGCTAAACCAGAAATAGTACCTCGGGTTAAGAACTTTTCTTCAGGATGAGAACAGAAATTGTGCGACAGTGGCCTGGCGGCAGTGGGAGGCCCCGTTAGCTAAAGTGGTACCTCAGGTTAAGAACGGTTTCAGGTTAAGAATGGAACTCCGGAACGAATTAAGTTCTTAACCTGAGGTACTACTGTATTTGAAACATAGGCATTTTGAAAGTACAGTGGTACCTCAGTTTTTGAACACAATCAGCCCCAGGTTCAGGTTCTGAAACATTTGAAAACCAAAAACTCACCAGCCAACAGCTAGGCCTCAGGATCCTGCACGCAGTGGAAGCCACATGGCATGTTCGACTTCCGAGGTGTGTTCGAAAACTGAAACATTTACTTCTGGGTTTACAGTGTTCGAAAACCGAAATGTTAGTCAATGGAGACGTTCGAAAACCGAGGTACCACTGTATAGTCCTAATCTAGAGCTCACCGTATGGCAGGGAATAAATCTTAATTACAAAGGCAAAGCAGCGGCATGTCTACCCATAAATCAGTCCAACTGAACTCAACAGGGCATACTTCTCAGTAGACAGATAAAGAATTGCCCTTCACACCCCATTTGGGCAGAAATCAAAGCTAGCTGGAGTCAGGATCGATCGCAGTATGCTATTTCAAAATCCAGGTTGTTAGCAAAAAGCAAAGGTACTTTCAAAGAGAGACCTACCTCTTCTTAGTGGATATATATTGTCTTGAATACTGTACTAGCCAATCTGTGCCAGCCATGAGCGACTACATCATTTGTTTAATGAATGGTTGGTTTTCCTTAATGGCCAATGGGCATCTCTTTATCAGAGCTGACTATATAAAATGGTTTATTGATAAAGAGTTGTCTCTGAAGGGACATGTCTTTGCGGCCACCATCCCTTCCCCACAACCCCAGCTAGGATGCTGAAAGCTAGAGCTGGCTGCGAAAAGAACAAGAGAAACACGCTTTGGTACAGTGAGAGGAGAAATACCTGCAGTGTCAGAGTTCCTGTGGAGGGCCAATTTATTAAACATTCAGCCTGACTTGCTTGCACAAAACTTACAAGGAGCTTAGATTACATCCAGGCTTTTTCAGAGCTTTCCCTCTGATTTGTTTACGGGGCAGTTATATGAACATAAGCATTCATGTTGCATTTATCCAGATTTGCTTGTGAGGTGTTTATATGTTGTTCGTTCACCCTACACTTTACCATGTGTTTCCCCACCCATTTCCTAATGGCAAAAAGCCAAATTCTTTTCTAAAAGTGCAAATGTTGCGCTAGGGTAACAGAACCCTTTAATCCACTTTAATTGCGCATATCTGAAGTATGTGATTAAATTCTCCCACAAAACGGTGACGGTATGGAGGCACCCTAAGTATGAAACAGACACAGAGAGCTCTAACTCTGAAAAGTTAAAATCAGCCTTTTTCAATCTGGTGCTCTCCAGATGTTTTGGACTCCATCTCCATTAGGCACCAGCTACCATGGTCATATGTACCATGGTACCAATAAGGGACGTGGGTGGCATTGTGGTCTAAACCACTGAGCCTAGGGCTTGCCGATCGGAAGGTCGGCGGTTCGAATCCCTGCGACGGGTTGAGTTCCCGTTGCTCGGTCCCTGCTCCTACCAACCTAGCAGTTCAAAAGCACGTCAAAGTGCAAGTAGATAAATAGGTACCACTCCGATGGGAAGGTGAACGGCGTTTCCATGCGCTGCTCTGGTTTGCCAGAAGTGGCTTAGTCATGCTGGCCACATGACCCGGAAAAACTGTCTGCGGTAAAACGTCAGCTCCCTCGGGCAATAAAGCGAGACGAGTGCCGCAACCCCAGAGTTGTCTGCGACTGGACTTAACTGTCAGGGGACCTTTATTTTTACCTTTTTTTACCATGGTCAATACATTGTCCAACTTCAGCAGAAGGGCTCCAGGTTAGGGAAATATGGCCAAAACTCTCATGTGGTGTTTTACTGCCTTTTGGGGTACCAATGGGGCAAAATGTTATAAGGAGGCCATAATTCCCAAGCGACCTCTTCTTCCTAAGGGAAGCAATCCCCTGGGGAAGTGCTAGGTAAAGGTAAAGGTACCCCTGCCCGTACGGGCCAGTCTTGCCAGACTCTAGGGTTGTGCGCTCATCTCACTCTATAGGCCGGGAGCCAGTGCTGTCCGCAGACACTTCCGGGTCACGTGGCCAGCGTGACATCGCTGCTCTGGCAAGCCAGGGCAGCACACGGAACACCGTTTACCTTCCCGCTAGAAAGCGGTCCCTATTTATCTACTTGCACCCGAAGGTGCTTTCGAACTGCTAGGTTGGCAGGCGCTGGGACCGAACGACAGGAGCGCACCCCGCCGCAGGGATTCGAACCGCCGACCTTTCGATCGGCAAGTCCTAGGCGCTGAGGCTTTAACCCACAGCGCCATCTGCGTCTGGGGAAGTGCTAATCATGGGTAAATGCTACCCATGGAACTTCTTGCCACTAGAGGTAGTGGGGAGAAGAATAAATAACTTGTATAACTTTGGGCCCATCATAACTCTTTTTCTCTTGGAGCCATGCAGCTTCAAAGCGGAATTTCTCACTTCAGCAAAGTAAAGCATGCAAGCATGTGTGAATGGAGGATATAGGAATGTTTCGGATTGCGGATGCATCTCAACAGGAGCATGAGTGAGAGGTGTTGTGATTCATGTGTGAGATAGTAGGCATTTATCAGGTGGTGGGAATGCGTAATTGGAGCTATCAGCATGCTCTTAGATTTGAGTGCCAAACTGAGTAGGAGCAGAGGAGGAAGATTATGTTTGGAATGCAAGGAAGGGGGGAAAAAGCAAGCTACAACTGGAAGAGCTCAGTTGCTAAAGATAAACGACAGCAACAACTCGTGGCCTTAGGTGATCTCAAGGCTGTTCCATTTCATGCACTCTACAGATACAGTGAGAAAAACTACCTGTCCTGAGGGCGCTTGTTTGCATTAGGAGTGTTGCATTTAAGCATGCTGCATCCTTACTGAAAATATGTGGAAACCTGTACAGGCACTGTAATGGTTCCTAAGGGGGTTGCTTTTGCGTAAGCAGGTGCCTATCTTGCTGGCTGGGTGCAAACACCTGGCTGGGCTGCCAAAGTGAACCTCCTCTGTCCGGACAGCCACTCACCCGTGGCTGACTCAATCGCTGGCAGAATCCGTGAATGGGCGTTTCTTAAACTTCTTCCAGCAAAGAAGTTCTTTGACGCCTAGTCTCTGCCTACCCTCTCTGCGCGGAAGCCTCCTGCGCAGGGAGGGCATGGGCAACGGAGGACCCCTACTCTCCCCGCTGGTCCCTGGCAAGGAGTCATGGGATCGCCTCGCCTCTTCCCCCACCTGCCCCCCTTCTCCACTGGTGCTACGCTGATTCCCTTCCCCAGAAGATGGGCTGCTTCTCCCGATCCCTGGACGCCCTCTGGAATCCCTCTGGCTTTCGCGCTCTCCCTCCAGTACTGATGGCAGTTCCCTGACAGGCACTAAAAATGGTGCTTTGCAGGCCAAGCTGTACTCATTTGAGAAGGATTAATATTTCTGCTAACAACTGGAAAAAATGCATTAAAAAAGAAAAGAAAAAGAAAGAGATGGAAATCTGAATTAAATTTGTGCTTGGCCATTGTGCCAAGCTGATCTGTCCTTGGAAGACTGCTCTTTTCTGATGCCTTTGCGCATTCCACTTGGTCCACAGTGTGGTGTGGAGGCAGAAATGAAAAATCCTCAGCAGCAGCAGGCTAGGAGAAGTAACAGCATCTTAAAGAGCAGAGCCACCTCCAGCCTTTCTGAATGAGGGTGAACTGCAGTGCAGAGGGCTGGAACTTGCCCAGACCCAGAGTAGCGCATGTGTGCTCATTAGTTCTTCAGCCACACAGGTACAAGCAAGCCTGCATTCTAGTACAATGCAAAGAGGCTGCACAGTGAATTACTAGGTATGATAAGCTATTTCCTGGGATAGCAGCACAGGGTGCATCAGATGCAGAAGAAGAAGAAGAGTTTGGATTTGATATCCCGCCTTTCACTCCCTTTAAGGAGTCTCAAAGCGGCTAACATTCTCCTTTCCCTTCCTCCCCCACAACAAACACTCTGTGAGGTGAGTGGGGCTGAGAGACTTCAAAGAAGTGTGACTGGCCCAAAGTCACCCAGCAGCTGCATGTGGAGGAGCGGAGACTCGAACCCGGTTCCCCAGATTACGAGACTACCGCTCTTAACCACTACACCACGCTGGCTCTCTGCAGGAGAAAATAGGGTTCTCTGTGTTTTAATTCTGCCTCTCTAGACAAGCTGAGGCTACACACAACTGCTCTTGCTCCCTTGGTCCTTTATATTACTGGAATCGGGGACGGACAAACAATTCCGACATGAACCCCCTTTCTTTCCTTCCCAACTTTCTTTCCTAACGCTTTTACTCTGGAAAGCTCTTAACATTGTCCAGATCCTCCCTGTTGGCCTGTCTCATTCCGACCAGCTCTCTGTTATTGTTGTTCTGTTTTTGAGAAGGATTAGGGTGAGCCCCTCTCTCTCCCCACCCCCACCTACATATGGGATCCACAAACGCAGTCAGCGGTTTTCTGCTGAGCTCAGCAGAAATTCACGAAGAAAGGTCAGTGACCAAAGAGAGGGGCGATCCATCATAAAATAAACTGTTTTTATTCCCCAGGATAAAGGAAGGGGGGCTAGCAGGGGGTGAGATTGAAAAGAAAACATTGCACGTGAACCACCCCCCAACTCAAACACACACGCACACACACATACAACCCTCCTTCCTGGCTCCCTCACTCTCTGTGTAAGGGCAGAGCTTTCCTCATTTACAGGAACACTGCAGCAAAGCTCTTAATGTGATTATTATAATTATATCTTGACTAGAACTTTTTATAAACAGTCTCTTTTGAAATCATGCCTGGGCAGCCAAGTCTCCAGCTGAGCCCTGGACACATGGAACAGGGTATTTCATGGTGGGAGAGGAAATGTGCATGCGTGTGAGAGACAGGGCGGGGGTGTGTGTGGAGGCGGGAGTGATTGTGCATTGAAGTTCACAGAATGATGTGGGAATATATTTATATGCACATGTGTGTGAATTCATGCAACTATTTCCACACAGTAAGAACATCGTAGGAGCCAACTCCGAGGGGCTGAGGTCCCTTCAGCCCGCCCAGTAAAATACCTGAGGGGGCTGCCCCCCAAAGTTGATGGGCATTGCCATTCAAATGGTGTGTGCACACAGCATCATGTGATCAGTTACGCGGGATGAGGCCTACCTGGGCCCCCCAATATTTTATTCAAGTTGGCACCACTGAAGAACATTGTGTGTGTGTGTGTGTGTGTGTGTGTGTGTGTGCGTGTGTGCCTGGGTGATGGGCCACTAAGAAAAACAAAGGAAATGGACTCTGTGTGGCCAAAAGTCACAGCTGAACATTTGCAGTGATGTCACCTAGAGGGAAAAGCAGCAAGCTTGAGAGAGAGAGAGTCAAGAGTGCAGTGCTTGATGTCTGTTAGAATCCAAGGCTGCGGCTATGGAAGAAACAGGACCCTTTTGGGGTGTTAATGCTGTGAAGCCTTCCAGGTTCTATATATGTATGAATAAACCATATATCATAAAGACACTACTGTCTCCACTGTGCCTCATTTCCAGAAAGGAACATGAAGCCTGGGTAAGCCCTGGAATCTCACTCAGCTCAAAGACTGGGGTGGGACGCAGCACTACATTTGTGTGTGTGTGTGTGTGTGTGTGTGTACACATGTATGTGCATACATGTACACTTGATGATACATGTACTCATGAGAGAGCATGAATGTGGCAGATGTGCCTTGTATAGTTGTGGGCTTGTTGTGTATGTATGTTGACTATGTGAGCATGGCGTGCACTTAAGGGAAGGCAGGGCTGCTCAACGAGCCTGACTTCCTCAAGTTAAAAGGCTGTGAAAATGTTATGGTTCCCATGGTGATAAGTAGGTCAATGCTGGCGCCTGTGAGGATTTCACTCTGTGTTTCTTTGCCCTCAGCTTGTTATATTAGTCCCACAACTGTCCTCTCCCACTCCCCCCACCTCTCTTTCTCTCATCTGCTGCTGTCTCCCTTCCCATGCTGTGTTACTCTTTCGCTGCCCATCCTACATCCATCTAGGAACATATGCACCCCCTTCGCCCCATCCCCATTCCTTCTGCCCTCCCTGCCCTCTGAAACAACCCACTTCTGCTTGCTTGTGTGGTCCCTCCTGGGGCTGGACTTTGAAATCTGTTGAAAGGAGGCCATTTTTTTGCCAAAATAAACAGCCTGTCATGTTAAATTACTCTCTCTTCCTCTTTTATGTCCTTTAATTTTCTATTTCCCCCCCTTCACCCCACCCCAGTCTTTTCGGGCTGGGGGTCATTCTCTTGTTCTGATGTACTGTGTTTGTAGAGAACAAGAGCTCAGAAAGCATCTGGCAGTGGGTGAGGGTTTCCACCTGGGGATGTTTTCCAGAGCTGCAGATATTGTTCCACCCCCAAGAGTCACCACCCGGAGATGTGTGTTAGGAAAAGGGGGGGGGGTGCAACAGGGTGGGCAGGGATCCCTGCTTGCAATTTAACCTATAGCACGCCATTATTAGAAAGGGCCCTGACTTGCTGGGGTCACTGCCTGTTCTTCCTAATTCGCACCTATCCAATCCAATTCTAGGTTACAAAAGGAGGATTGCTAAGTAGAGAATGGAAAGTGACAGAGTACAAGCACCAATGCTTCTCCTTCATTCTGTCCCATGGTCTTCACTGGCCAAATACAGATAGGTAGCCGTGTTGGTCTGCCATAGTCAAAACAAAAAAAATCCTTCCAGTAGCACCTTAAAGACCAACTAAGTTAGTTCTTGGTATGAGCTTTTGTGTGCATGCACACTGTAGTGTATCTGAAGAAGTGTGCATGCACACGAAAGCTCATACCAAGAACTAACTTAGTTGGTCTTTAAGGTGCTACTGGAAGGAATTTTTTTTGTTTTGACTGGCCAAATAGGTTTTGCAGGTTTCCAAAGCTAACAAAACTTGTCTTTCTAGGTATGGAAGTGATATGAGTTTGTACCCAACAGGCAGCTTTGCATCAGTCATACTGCCTTCAACACTGAAGCCCTGCTCAAGTGTTAAGTCTGGCCGATTCTGCCATAATTTAGCACTCCTGATTTCCATAGGAGAAGACCTCAGATTCCAAAGCTACTGCCTGCTCTTTCAGCAGAGAGGGGAAATGCTTCCATTGCGACCAACTTATTCACAGATGGCTTGAACTGGGGCAAACACTTATCTGCTGACAAAGAGATACATAGATCACTTATTGGACCATATTGAACAGGGACAGAGAATCCTTCCACAGAAAGAAGACCCAGCCAAGAACCCGAACATACCTCCCTCCCAACAAGCTCCTTCTCTCTTGCCAGTTCCTTTATGTGTTCATTTAAGCGCTTTGCCTCCTTCTGGTGGGCAGCCATTGCGTCCTCAAACTGTGCCTGGAAGGTCCGTAGCTCACTGGTGATGCTGGCAACTGTGTTCTGTAATGAAGAAATCACAGAATCAAGCATGGTATCTGCCACTTTGTTCTATGTGTTCTGTAAAGTTCCAGAATATGGAGAAACCGGCAGTCGAAGGCTCTCACAACCGTTTCCTCATAAAGCTCAATTCTAGGGTAGCACTGCAGGTTATCTGAAATTTGCTAGTCCAGGAACAAGTTAGATGCCTTTACAGGGCAATAAGGTACTTGCTTTTCATATCTGAAGTACAGGGCTGTTTCAAAACCCCAGTGGAAAGTCATTTAGGAACATTGGAAGCTGCCTTATGTCGAGTCAAACCACTGATCCACCTAGTTTAGTATTGCGTACACTGACTGACAAGCAGTTCTTGAGGGTTTTAGGCAACAGTCTATTCCAGCCCTACATGAAGATGGCAGGTGTTTAACCTGGGATCTTCTGCTTGCAAAGCCTGTTCTCATGGGGCTGAGACCATTCTAAGCTTTGCAGGGCAGTATTTCTGCCCAGGAGGAAATGTAATCCCAACCCCAATGGAAGTGAATAGGAAATCCAATTGATCACGCAAAACAAAGCATTCAAATTAAGCAAAGAGAAAGTTGGCCAAATGTAGAAAAGTCATGGATGCTTCAGCTGAGATTCCTGCATTGCGGGGAGTTGGACTGGATCAGCCTTGGGGTCCCTTCCAATTCTACAATTCTCTGATTCTATATCTAGAAATAGGTAGACAGATATTGTACCAGAGCTTTTGGGCTGACAACAACACTGTTTGCAAATTTTACCAGCCCATGCAACTATCTTTACAAAGACATTTTAAAAAAGCAGCTTTAGCTCAGCACCCATCACTGGTAGGGACAACTGGTTCTTCCCTAAGCAACAAGAAAAGAGTTGATCTTGTTCCTCACTCTAAGCCAAAAACACTTGCCAATATCTTCACCCATATAATGTTGCAAGACACTGTAAGGTGTCCTCCATAAGTTTAATATTCTTTTAGGGTTTTCCCTGCCCTGCCTGTGACAGTCAGTGATTCTACAAGTTTTATAGACTCATAGCATGCCAAGATGGAAAGTGACCTATTAAATCATCCAGGCCACCCTGCCTTAATACAAGAAACTCCCTGGACAAAATTATGGATACTAGCAATAGCTTTGGGTCTCAACAGGACTATGGTAGGACATGAGTATGTTCTGATGGCAAACTGAAAACAAGCAGCGTTTGAGCAGGTTCAGCTCCAGCAGAAGGATTTGTGAATAGGTCCTTATCTCTCTTTGGCAGAACAACCAAGGGTCTACAGCCTCAACTCTGTATCTGTAAAACTATACCCATTGAAATAATAATGAATAAATTATTTTGAAATAACAAAATTAAAAAGATAGGAGAAACATTCAAGACTTCAATAGGCAGAACTCACTTCATGAATTTAAGGTGTAGTGAGTGGACTGGAGTAGGTAGGGGGTCAATAACAGGGAAACGCAAAAACACCCTGCCTGCTATAATTCATGGTTTGTGTATTTCTTCCTTCCCAGTGCCACACACAAAACCAACAGAACTGTGACATGCAAATTAGTCATCTAGTAAAAGACTGTTAATAGGAACATTTGTCTCCTTTATGGGAAATGACCTCCTTGGCATGAGAGAGGGAGAAGATGCAGGAAAGCACAGCCAAACCATTTCATGGAAGTAAGGAAATGGTCAGCAGCAGGAGACCAATCTTTTGCTGTTGCAACCTTACGGTAAGAAATAAGCTGAACTTTAAGGAAATGGTGTTCAATCTGTTTTAGTGGAAACGAGAGAGAGAGAGAGAGAGAGAGAGAGAGAGAGAGAGAGAGGTAGTCTGACCTATAAGACAGCTTCCCATTTGTTAATTCTGGCCTAGTATCTACTCCCAAGTGGCAGTGGCTCTAGGATCTCCAGCAGAGAACTTTCCCACCCCTTGCAACCTGATCCCTTTTAACTGAATATGTCAGGGACTGAACCCAAAACCTTCTGCATTCATTTATCAATGAGCTATGGCTCCTCTCTGGGCTGAAACCAGTCATGCTTTTTCTGGGAATCTTTGGAACTGAGCTGATAGGCTGTATCATTCAGCAGCCTGTGAAGGTGGAAGTTCAAAAAGATACAGCACATCATGACATAACGAGCAGCAGAAAATTAACTTAAGGCATGGCTTCTGTAAACAATGACTTTGCCCAAGAGATGTGTTCAAAGGAAGATTCAATAGAGCTACTCTCAAATATCAGGTAAGAAAGTATTTCTAGGATGATAAATGCGGTGATGAGGGATGGATTATGGATGGTATTCAACTAAGTTTTACTCAGGGTAGACCCACTGAAATATTGAACATGACTATGTCAGGTCCATTTATTTCAATGGGTTTACTCTGAGTAAAGCTAAGGGCTCAGCCACACACCTTTTGTCTTGCGCTTTCTAGGTGTAGGTCTTGAGCGCTTTAAAGTGTGGATCTGTGCCTAGAAACACAACATAAAAAAGAAGCCTGGACAAGTCTGTTATGTACTGAGTTGAATAGGATCCAAAATGCAGCAGTCTGATTGGTCCTAGAACAATAGGATTCAGAATGCAGCAGTCTGATTGGTCCAAGAACAATAGGATTCAGAATACAGCAGTCTGATTGGTCCTAGAACAACAGGATCCAGAAGGCAGCAGTCTGATTGGTCCACAGGAGCCACCCAATGCAACTCCAGGTGGAAGTGAATCCGCAACCTGATTGGCCTGCAGGAGAATCCCGGAATTAGCCAATCACGTGGGGCCCATTGTGTAAATAATATATATAAAGCAGACATTTCAGGGGAACTTCCATTCCTCACTACTATGAGCTGAGTAAAAAGCATGAAATCCACACTCGACTCTGAGTATATTTCAAAGTCCTTCATTGAATACCACCCTATGCACTCTACTGTGAGCTACAATTGATGTATATGAACAGTAAGGCCTGACTCCCATTTCAGCTAAAAGTGGCCTTGTTTCAAATCCCTTGGATGGAGGCAGAGGTGGCATCTGCAACATACATGGAACCCTTCTGGGTTAAAGGCAATGCTATAGCTGTTGACCGCATCTAAGTGGGACCGATACTGGACAATTTGGAACTTGGTTGCCAATTAAAATACTGTACCCACTTCTCTCCTTTGTCTCCCATTCAGGCTCCAGAAGAGTCATGTAAGTGTCAGCTCTCGGTTTAGAGCAGTAGCTGCACATCTAAGCATTAGTTACGAACACTAGAAGACATGCTTTCTTGCTTATTCCTGAGCAGCATCAGGGATGCATTCCCCACAATGTGTTGCTGCCACAAACCAGCTAAGAGAAAGTGTGAACGAATCTCCACCCAAAAGGGAGTGTGTTATGTGCAGAAACACAAGAAGCTGGCTTATCCCAGGTCAGAAATTATTTATCAGTGCAGGAGCATAGTGGTTAATTCTGAAGTGCAGGTATTCTAAGATGAGAGAGAGAGAGTGTGTCTTTTGACCAACAAAGACATTATGGCTTCAATATCAAGGCAGCTTTTTCTCACCCCCTTCTGCTTTGTTTAACATTCACTCACTATTCTGTAGCATTAGGTTTGCTCAAGGGACTTTGCCATTTTTTCCAAAATGAAACAGGCAGTTTAACCCTTAGCTATGCAGGCTGATGCCAACGATTGCTTCTTCTGCTTAACTGATTTTGTGGAGTCTCCTGCCCCACCCCTGCCTGAGAATAGCCTATTTATTTGACATGCAGCGGATTGACAAATAGCACCCCAGGAGATTAGTGCTGTGGAATAAGCAGCTGTGCTTTGTCCAGAGGTGTACCTAGGGGTTGGTGAAACTGGCCCATGCCAGGGGTGCAGGCCTGCCTCCCCCCACAAAAATCACCTATCAGACTATGGAATGTATGACGTAAATACGCATGGCGATGCGCCACTGCTGTCACAGCAAGATCAAACACAGAAGCTTCCCATCCTTCTTGCATCACGGCACAAAGGCAAGCAGGAAAGTTATTTTCTTCAGGAGGGGGGCACCGAAACAGCTGCTTGCAGGGGCATGAGGGATCCTAGGGACACCTCTAGTTTCATCCCTGCCACTGTAGCCCAGTATTTCATACTCTGAGTTGTAGTAGGTTTCTAGGATGTTTCTGGCTACAGTTCTCTGCAACTGAATCTGGGATCTTCTCCATGCAAAGTGTGTGCTGCAACACAGAGCTATAGACCTTCCTGTGAAGTGGTAGCAACAGCTAAAATGCCCAGTGACTGATGCTGGCCTTGCATCTAATGACTTGTTCTGTTCATTCAATGAATAGGAATCTTCTATTACAATTATTGTTCAAATATATTAACATTGCTTAATGCACGAGCCACAGTGTTTTCCTTCTCTAAATGTTTACTAGACTTCACAAAGGCTATCTCCTTACTCTCACCCCAATTTCCTGTAAAATGTTTTTAATTATTCAAACATACCTAGCAAAATAAATAAATAAAATGTTCTTGCTCTCCAGATTAAAGATAAAACCCTGACCAATCTGGACCTTCGGCCTGTCTATACCCCTGGTTAAATATTGTCCATGTTCCCTGCTTCCTTGATCACATGAATTGTCACAATGGTTTCCTGGATCATTGTGCAGTGGGCTTACACTTATACATTTTTCATATTTTTATATCTATTCTCATATTGGGTTTTTCTGAAAAGGTAGGGGATTGACTTATGGATACTGAGTGCCCTCTAGTGCTACCAAAGCAGCAGTACTCCAAAACTTTGGCCCAATCCTGGCTGCAGGATATAGGCTACAAAGGTAAGAGTCTACTCTGGACCCTTCAGCTAAGCTATTTCCAAGGCAAACCAATCTGCCTAACATGAAAACTCCATAATATACAGTAGAGTTAAACCAAAAACAAACCCACTTCATATAGGCCATGGGTATTTGGGGGTTCAAATTCCAGGTGAGCACCATGCCCTTACCTGACATTTTTAGGCAAGCCACACTTTCTCAAGCTCACTTATCTGATTTATAAAATGGGTGCAGCTTGCCAACTCTACCACAATATTTGTTGTGAGAAGGCATAAGGAAATCCCACTGCTCATCCTGATTCTGATACTGCACATATGGTAGGCGATGAAACGAACTGTTTCTAGACTTGGGACCTCTTCTAGTAACTAATTGGAAAGGACAAATTCTAGCTAGGAAGCCATATTAGTTGTTACATGAAACACAGCAGGGTGCTTAAAGACTAGCAGGTTTATTTTATTGTTTCAGCTAAAGTGTGTCCTGGCATAAGCCACAATAAATGGGCTAGTCTCCATGGAGCTACAAGGGTCTTTGTTGATTAAATCATAAAAGGCATAGTATATCATGGGACAAGTGGAGCTGGGAAGAGACAAAAGGACATCAGTCTAGAAGTCATCGAGGATGATGCTCATAAGAATGCTTCTGATGTAATTATAAGGCATGAGGCACATAGGAGCATCAATGCTAATAATACTTTTATTGTCAATGTACAACCTGTGTACAATGAAAGGTTAGATTTCTGTACTTCACTGACACAGCTGTTAAACAAACAGAGGGGTGAGTTTGGTAGCCCAACATAGAGACTTCTGGACTCCAGATGGAATTGAATGACCAAGATTGGTTAGTCTCCTTTATTTTTATTTTCTTTTACTATTAGTATTCAGACTAGATGAGGAGCATACAATCCCAAACGAACGTAATATCCACCTACAACAGGGAAGTCCTTCCTTCCTTCCTTCCTTGACCTGCCTACCTTTTGGGCCCACCAAAATGTGATTGTCCACTCTTCTTTTTAAAAATGGGATCCAGGCAACAGGGAAGTAGAGGATTACTACAGAATTGGCAAAAGTAGAAATAATAAGACATAATCCCTACACTCTTGTCTTGTGGGGGGTGGGGGGAGCCACTGGCAGGGACTGCTGTTCCCAGAGTGGAACAAGGATATTCCTGCTTCCCTTGCTGAGTTTGTGAGGCTCTGTTTTGCCATCTAGGCCGAAGGGAACTCCGGTGGGGATTCAGGGAGGGGGAGCTCCAGGAAATGAGAAGCTCTTGGGCAAGATCTTTTCTTCTGGTGCCAGGAACTTGCTGACTGCGTTGCAAGCCACACACAAGCTTCTCCAAGGAGGAGAGAGATCGGACCATGCATGGAACACAGCCATGCAGCTTCCAGCTATGAATTGCAACATCCCCTGCCCCTAGGGAGGAGGGTCTGGCTTGGATTCACTGCCTCGCCCTACTCTGTCCCAGCTTGGAAGAATCTCCCTGTCATGCACGACCCTCCAGAAAACAGCTTACTGTATCAGTCATAATCTCACTGTCTTAGAGGGATCACAGTCAACGGTGCAGCTCAGAGCTGTTCCGTTGAGTGAGCAGACGCAAGGGCGGGTTAGAGATGGTGGACCAGAACGGTAGAGATTGCCAATAAATCCCAGCGATAGGGCAGGTCACATCCATTCCTGTCATTCTGTGCTGCTCTACAAGTTTGGGGTGGGGCTATTGTTTACAGTCCTTTGGGGAAATTATTTGTTTTAAAGCTGGCTTCCCTTTGGTTCCCAGTCAATCTTTCCAGCTGAAATGCTTTTCAAATTTGTTCTGGTGGGGGTTTCTCACCCTTGTTGTGCTATTTGTTTTCTCGGTCTTAGGAGGCTGTGCCTTGTGAGCTTGTGAACTGATCTCTCCAGAGATACGATAGGGCCCCGGCTAATATTGCCAATGTGTTTTTTATTTAAAGGCAGAACCAAACAATCCCACGTTGAGCTATTAAAAAAAAGAAAAGGGGGAGGGGGAAATCTTGTGGTGCATTATGGAAACAAATTGTAGAGAGAGACAGCACAAGCCAGAGTCAAGCAAATCGTGGGCAAGCAGTGTCCTTGTGCTCTATACAGCAACTCCAGTGGTCACCCCCCTCCTTCCAGAGAAACTCAAGTACAATGGTACCTCGGGTTACAGACACTTCAGGTTATATACACTTCAGGTTACAGACTCCGCTAACCCAGAAATAGTACCTCGGGTTAAGAACTTTGCTTCAGGATGAGAACAGAAATCGTGTTGCGAAGCCGCGGCGGCAGCAGGAGGCCCCATTAGCTAAAGTGGTGCTTCAGGTTAAGAACAGTTTCAGGTTAAGAACGGACCTCTGGAACGAATTAAGTACTTAACGTGAGGTACCACTGTACAGAGTTTCAGTACATGAAAGAAAGGGCTGCAGCTCAGGCACAGAGCACATGCCATTCAGGCAGAACGCTCCAGGTTCAAACCTCAGCATCTCCAGGTAGGATTGGGAAAGGCTCTTGTCTGAAACCCTGAAGAACCACAGTTGGTCATTGCAGACAATATACTGAGTTAGATGCAGCCGTAATCTGATGCTCCAAGGCTCCTATGTCCTTCAACAACAGGGGTAGTCTGCACCAGCTGTTTTATTTTGCAAATTTCTCAGAAACAACTGGGGTAGATAGCATCACATCTTCAAAACTATCTCCTCTCATAGATTTCTTTTTTTAAAAAAAAGGAAGGAAAATGAGGGCACAACTAGATGAGATGGTGGGATATCTATGATCAGATTTCCCACATTAAAAAAGCCCTAATGTTAAAGGCAGCTGTGGATGCCTCTGAATGGGATTAGGAAGGGGGTGAAAAAATATTTTTGCTCGTGCTGTTTTCCTGGCCGAAGTGGCCCCTTCTCAATGCTTAGCCTCCCCCTTATTCTACAGTGCGCCCAAGAAACTATTCTGCCCCTCATTAACACCAACAGAGCAAGCCTGCTGTCCTGTTCTAGCCTGATATGGAGGGAGATCCACTTCCCCTAAAAGGCTTCTCATGAGATTCGGACAAAGAAGGTAGACACTACCAGTAGTGGCCAGCACAGCAGAATAGGCCAACCTGGCTTCTCAGCACTGCAAAGAACATTCACAACTCTTTACGGGGAGATGCATAGTGGGATTCTTCATTCCTAGTAACCCCACAGTTGGATTGATGTGTGTGTGTATAGTTTCCTTTGCTCATCCTCACTGATGGTGCCTACCCTATACATCGGGGGGGGGGGGCAACTCCTGAGAGATCTACTTTCAAAATTAAAATCTGGCAGTGATCTAGGGGTTCAGGTCAAAGTTGCCGAGATGACATGTTTTTTAGGCAGTCAGGGACTTTTTGGCAGCTCTTCTGAGGGAGGGAAGAACAGAAGCAGCCACTAACCTTACAACTGCTGGCCAGATAACAGCCTCCATTTCTAAACTCCGGCTTCCCTGAGGCCGGCGCAGGGAGAGGGAGCGGGGCTGGAAGGAGGCTGGCGATCAACTGCGATCTACCAAATCCTCGCAGGGATCGACCAGTAGATCGCGATTGACGTGTTGGACATCCCTGCTATACATAAATGGTAATAAACGGTGGACCCTCTGACCACAGAAGGACCATATACAGTGGAACCTTGGTTCTCGAACTTAATCCATTTCAGAAGTCCATTCGACTCCTGAAATGTTCAAAAACCAAGGCTTGGCTTTGATTGGCACAGGTTCCTCTGAAACAATAGCCAACAGCCGCATTGGATGTTTGGCTTCCGAAAAATGTTTGAAAACCGGAACACTTACTTTCGGGTTTTTGGCGTTCGGCAGCTGATTTGTTCATCAACTAAGCCATTCGAGAACCAGGGTACCACTGTATAATAAAGTGTTTAACCACTGCGGAAATGGGGTAGAGCGTTCCTTTAGCAAACCAAAGCATAAACAGAGGGGTCTCACTGTGGCTGAGAAACTGGTAACAGTAATGACAATATATGCCATTCTCCACACTGTCTGCGAAAGTAAGTGTCATGTCTTGCATATGCTAACGGGTGTTTCAGAGTTGAGACCTTGGAGGAATATGATAATTAAGGATGTAGTAAGGCCTCGTCTTCTGTTCCACCCTGAATCCATCACATGTAGCACTTTTTCCACTCCACTACAGTTTGCCTTCTGCCAAAAACTATGTTACTTGTCTCACTGTTCACTGTGGCAAAATAATGTAACTTACATAATTTACAAAAAATAATTATGCCAATGATGTAAATTACATTGTAATTATGTTAGTTTACCACACTCCAATGCAAAGAAAACAGAATGAGAATGGGGTGGGGAAGGTTTGACATAATTAATTACATATCATTTGTAGATTGAAAGCAACAACAGTGAATACTGATCGTATTTGTGGGATTGATTTCTGTTCCAGGCATGGGGTAAAGGAGCAAACATCAGTAATTTTAATCCTGCATCTGTTTTCATCAACATTCTCCAACATCCCTAATAACAACAGAGCTGCAGCTGAGGGAAAAGAGACGTGGTAATCTATTTCTGGGTTCTTTGCAGTGCTGCATGTTAAACTACAAAGTGTTGCTTATGACCCAATAAAGTTCCACTTCACCTTTTCTGTTTATATTTCTGTTAGAAGTTAACATATTTTTTATTTTATTTTCCCGCAGGTAAGTTTCATTCCTTCTCTTAATTGTCAGTTGATCATAGGCTGAGTTAGGAGCTTCAGGAGATGGCAGTACCCTACCACTATCTTGCTAGGCATTTCAATATTTGCATTCCCTGCCATGGAAAAAAAAATCACAAAGCCCAGAGTTCACCTTGTCTTGCTCCTGGCGGTTCAGAGCTTCCAGCTTCACCCGGTCAAACTCTGACCTGGCAACTGTGAGTTCGCGTTGTGACTCACTGAGCTTTTCTAAAAGGATATTCTTCTCTGCTTCCTTCTTGGACAAAGCCTGGAGGTAGAAAGGAAACCCTCACATATGTAAACAATATTCATAATGCCCTGGAAATTACATTTTTATTATTTATTATTAGCATTTTTTGGGCACCCCATAACACGAGTCCTAAGGATGGCTCATAGCAAGAAATAAAATACATGGGCTCAAGAGGGAAACATATGCGATCCTTTAGGCTCCTGTTACCAACTCCAACCAACCCTAACCATTATCCATGCTGGCTGGGCGCAATGGTTGTGGCAGTAGTGTTACACAGACAGTGGCCTGGTTCATACCTCACGCTAAGCCAAACCATGGCTTGAAAGCAGGTAGCTTCCTTCCAACTAATGTTACTCTCTCCTCACCTTCTGTTTTTCATTCTCTAGCAGGAGGAGGCTTTCATCCCGGTTCTGCTGCAAAGAGAGGATCTCCTCCATGAACTCCCTTTTTTCAGCTTCATGCTTGGATGCCAGTTCTTCCCTCTCTTGCTGAAGATGATGCACAGCCTCGTCTTTCTGCTCAATCAATGCCAGATGCAGGGCCTCCTGGTGTCAGCAGAGCAGGAAGTTATCAGGTAAACTATCATCCATGGGTGTTGCAAGAATGGGATCATGAGGCACAGCCACCCACCCAAACTTTTTTTCTAAATGTACTGAGTGTTTCTGGTAGATAGTGAATTTGGGAGAAATTGAACAGGAACGATCTTGGTTAATTGAGCAGGATATTATTTAATTTTGTGGGAATAAATTATCTAGAGGAGAGAGGGAATTGAATTAATTTAGAGCAGGATTAATTGGGAGAAATGAAGAGGAACTGATTGGGACTAGGATCCAAATTAATGGAATAATTTATCTGGGCTTATTTTTATTTGGAAATTTGTTGGCTTTCCTACTGTGACATTTAAATTCTACATTTGCATTTGTACATATATATTAGCATATTCACATGTTATGCAGAGTTGTGTCTGTAGCCTTTTGCCCTGAGTCTTTCAAGTACCTAGCAATGCTCCTATTGGTGTTGAACACAAGCAAGTTCCTTGCAACCAAATCCCTATCTCCGGTGCCTGCCTCAGATTTCCAGTCTTAAACATACTCAAAGCAGTTCAAAGAAACCATGACAGAGACTAACAGGACTCCAGTGAAAAGGAAACCACCTAAATGTGGTACATCCTGTAATTAGAATCCAGTTTGAATCATGTAATACACATGTATATTTGACAGCTATAAAGGCCATACCTATGTAGAAATCACAGCTGCCTATATACAGGTACACAGAGTGCTGCATATAAATGTAAGATAAAGGTAAAGGACCCCTGGATGGTTAAGTCCAGTCAAAGGCAACAGCAGGGTGCAGCGCTCATCTCAGTTTCAGGCCGAGGGAGCTAGCGTTTCTCTACAGACAGCTTTCCGTGTCATGTGGCCAGCATGACTAAACCGCTTCTGGCACAATGGGACACCATGAAAAGTGCCAGAGTGCACAGAAATGCCATTTACCATCCCGCCACAGCAGTACCTATTTATCTACTTGCACTAGTGTGCTTTCAAACTGCTAGGTTGGCAGAAGCTGGGAAAGAGCAACGAGAGCTCACTCCATTGTGTGGATTCAAACTGCCGACCTTCCGACTGGCAAGTCCAAGAGGCTCAGTGGTTTAAACCACAGCGCCACCTACGCCTCCCTTATAAATGTTAAGTATTATTATTAACACATTTCATCATTTCTTCAAGGACCTCAGGGTAGTGTACATGCAGTTTCCCTTCCCTTTATATTCTTACAAGAACCCTTTCAGGTAGTTTGGGCTGAGATACAATGACTAGTGCATTGTCATGGCTGAGGAGAGATTTGAAGCCATTATACTACACCACTGCTCAACACTATTATTACTAGGAAAAGAGCTACTCCTTATTAACGGGTATTATGAAGGAAGCATTCAAATTTATACCACATGAGTGTTCTTCACAACTCATTCAATATGTGTATACAACTTGTGATGTGCTTGGAAATCAGCTCCTATCATCTCAAGTAGTCTTGATACCACAACAACTCACAGTATAGAGAAGAAAGAACAGTTATACAGTCTTTCTCAGCACCAATGGTTGCTAGCTTCACCACCACCATATTATTATTTATTATTAACATTGGCATGTTGGGAGCTGCTACATAACTAGACTGGAGTGGGCAAACAGCAATCATCAGACAGGTTGACAGAGCACTTTGATCTACTTGAATTGTACATACCTAAATATCCAGTATGCACTCAAGTCCCTCCCACAAAATAATAACAGTCTGGAGTCACCCAGAACCCTCTTATTGCTCTAATGACAATGAAAGTGACTTACTATTGAACACTAGAACTGGATTTGGTTAGTGGACATGGCAATTTTCTAGTACCCAGCTTTCACTCATTTCAACCATCACTGACAGTGGACTGAAGAATTTGGCTGCCTAAGGGTTAGGAGTCTTCAGAACTGACCTTCTCTTTTCTGAGGCGCTCGAGGTCCTCCTCAAAACCCAGCTTCTGGTTCTTTATGACCTGTTGGAACCCTTGTTGCTCCTCAGTTATCTGGAGCTTCAACATCTCTATTTCTCGCCTCAGTGTGGTTTCCCGAAGCTCAAGTTCATGCTGGGCTTTTCCCAATTCCCCTATGAAAGAAAACAAACACCATCCAGGACAGATCCTTGGGCAACTCTTCAGTATAGGCTGTGACAACAAATTGTTTCTTCAAGAGAGGGCACAATTCAGCAAGCAGTTCTTTCAGCTTCATTGCTGTCATTTTTTAAGAAAGCGGCTTCAAAAGTCTCTTGCACCCACACTGCTTTTTATAAAATATCATTTTTATAAATTGTATTTTTGCACTGATATGTTTTGTGGCATCTGGTTTTAACCAAGTTGTAAGCCATCACAAAAAGATAGGATAAAACAAGTAAGTCTGGAAACCTGTTCACTGGTGGATCTTGATGCAAAATTATGTTAAATGGTAATTTGAATGTGTGTCACCAATAACCAGTTATATAATAATAATAATAATAATTATTATTATTATTATTATTATTTATTATTTATTATTTGTACCCCACCCATCTGGCTGGGTTTCCCCAGGCATGCTGGGAGGTTTCCAACAAAGATTAAGAATACATTAAAATGTCACACATTAAAAACTTCCCTGAACAGGGCTGCCTGTATAGTGAGGTATAGTCAGGTATAGTCAGATAACAGGTGAGGTGTTTTTTAAAAAAAAAAATTATTGGGCACTTTCAGTGGTATCCCAACCACTTAACAGTGGCTGTATACATACCATACGTTTAAAGCACATGTCTTCTTCAAAGACTCCTAGGAATTGTATTTTACCTTTTACAGAGCTGTGCTTCCCAACACTCTTAACAAACTAGTTCCCAGAATTCTTTGGGGGAAGCCACGTGCTTTCAATGTATGGTTTGTGCACACCTTAATAATTTAAAGGGAAGATTCCATGGAGTTTTGAATCAGACTGAATAATGTGTGTACTATACCTTGAAGAGCCTTTCTGGCAAGCTTGATGCCTTGGTTCTCTCCTTCTAGTTGTTCCTTGCGAGCTTCCAGCTGTGCTGCCAGTTCTTGTGCCTCAAAAAGGCTGGTTTCCAGGGACTCCTTCTCCACTCTAAAGCACATCAGGAAATAATCAAGGCCAGTCAATTAAGCTGTCAATGCCTGGATTCTACAGGCATCTATTTATCCACTACCCCAGAAAGCTTGTTGGCACCAATGATCCCCATCCACCTCAGGTCCTCTGCCAGCCCTGCTCATCCACAGGAAGTCCAGAGACCAGGAAATGTGCAACAAATAAAAGGGCATCTGCCTGCAGGTTTACACTTAGTTAGCTTCCTGTGCATTTAGTGCAGAAGCACTGAACTGAGGGGTATAGGCCTGGACAGGCCAGAAGGGAAAAGGAAAAATATATCTTTGACTGAAACAAAGAGCAAGGCTGAAACCAAGACACTGAGCCTGTTATGAACTATGGTATGGTGTACAAAGTGAAGCATATCCACAGGCTTATGCTTTAAAACAGGGGTGAAGCAAGGCTTACCTGGTTTAGGTTGCATGACTTTGCCTCATGCCACCCCTCCCTTAAGTTAATTTGCAAGCCAGTCTTCAGGAGACCACCAGTTGTTTCCTAGCCGGTGGGCATTACCTGAGAGCATCTGCCTCCTCTGTTAACAATTTCCTGTGCCTCTCCAGCGCAGTGAGCTCCACAACCACCTGTGCCTTTTCCTTAGCCATGTCTTCCTTCTCCTGTAGCGTACGGAGCAAGGAGTCTGCTTGCATCTCCATCTCTCGGTGGCTCTGGGCCAGCTGCTCACCTAGAGTTTGCTTCTGGCTGTTCAGCTGTCAAAAAGCAGAGGGAAGTGTGTGAGAGAGTAAGAGCAGGAAATTAAGAGCCTAATTAGGATCCTGGCTCCACAACCCTGTAAACTGGGGTGGCGGGGAGGCTCTTCCAAGTGTTGTTAGACTTCAACTACCATCAGCCCTGGGCAGCATGGAACATGGGAAACCTCCTTCTACTGAGTCAGAACACTGATCCATCAGGCTCAGGAATGCTTACACTGACTGGCAGCAGCTTTTCAGGATTTCAGAGACTGTTTTCTCTCCCACAGTGACCTGGATATGCTGCGGCCTGAACCTGAGGTCCTCTGCATGCACCATAGTAGCTGGACCATTGAGCTACAGTCCCTCCACTCAGTGGTCAAGGATGATGGCTGAGGAGTTGTCATCCAACAACGTATGGAGAACCACCAGCTTTCCATCCCTGATATAAACCACTCCTCTTAAGGGCAATAGTTTGGCAGAGCTGTGCCTCTGTCAGGGACTGGCAGGGTGCTGAGGAGTGCGTGGCAGATGCCACAGGGTCAGAGGCTGCCCCAGGGGAAGGGGACAGCGATTTATGGGGTTTGGTGCCTCCTGTGAGGCAGCACTCAGGACTGGAGGGAGGGAAGAGTCTGAGCAGAAGGACACTGTGTTAAAAAAACACGGGGGCCTTATTTGAATAGTAGAATGCCTGGCATCTGGTGGGCAGAGCTTTTGTTGTGCTCCGGAATCGGCCCCTCCTTTCAGGTGTCCAGTTTAGTTCAGTTAGAGAGGCCAACTGTCATTCTTGCCTCATGATGTTGTTTTAGTTTCTCTCAGATAGTATATTATTTTCTTTATTATTAAAGCCTTGTTTGGCATATATGCTAGCCGCTTACTTTTCTGAAAGAAAAGAAACTCTACTGAAGAATGATGGAATATCCTAAACTGTGTGAATGAGGGGATATTCCCAGTCTGACAGGAGGATTGATTGTTTTTATTTTATTTTAATCACCCCACCACAGAGAGAGGGGAGGGGGTGAAAGACACAGGTCAGGAACTGGGGCTGGAGCAAGGGCAGGAGTGTATGAGAAGTCACAGGTTGCTTGTGCTCGCCCCATCAGATGCCGGTCCTTAAGGTCGGGTGGAGGTGTGGTTATGTTGTTGCTCCACCAGTCCAGCTCAGAACACCAGCCTGGGGAGGGGATGCCAGCTACTGAAGTCGGCAGAAGTGTGTGTGTGTGTGTGTGTGTGTGTTCTCTGTGCACCTTAGGAGCTACCATAAGTGTGTGCTTTGTCAATAAAGAATTAAACTACCAGCCGTCTGTCCTCCTTGGGCTGAGTGTGCTTAGGACAGCCTCTGAACTCAGTGGTTCTGCTGGACAGGGATCCCAAAATGGTTTGTTTGGATCAACTGTATTGCAGAAGCTTTGCCGAGTGTATCGCCAAGATGCGCTCTTGTGTCAGGGCCAACCTAGTTATTATGAGCAACCATCTGAATCAACAAGTGGCGTTTCTCACTGGAACCTTTCTCATATTATATTCTTATATTTATTTATAAAAGTCTTTTTATATCGGAGTAACAGATCCAAGCACAATAACGCTCGAGCACAAGTTATATCTCTACTGTGATCAGAGCTAAATTGGCAACTGAAATGCAATACTGTATAATGCTTTCAACACATCAAACCTCCGCATTTCCAGCAGATCAAACCTGCCAAACCAATATGTTAGCAATCATTGGGGTTGCGGGGTGGGGAATGCCAAGTGATGCACTCCCACTTCCCACAACTTTTGCAACCAGGAAAGCAACCGAAGGGCCAAGTTTCTGTAATTCACATAATTTACTCCAAATCTCATGTTTGGCTGCAGCAGAAAAGACTTAGTGATCTATCATGTCCCATTTGTCCCCTCCCCAGCAGAGTACTCAAGCAGGAAGACAAAAATGATCCCAAGTCCTCTCTTAGTCACATCCTTACTGTATCCTGAGGCAATGAAAAGGTACTGTGTTCTGCCCTCTGTTTCATACCTGCATTATTTGGTCCTGTAACTGGATTCTCTCCCTGTGGAGCGAGGCCACTTCCCCCTCCAGTCTCTCCTGCTTCTCTTCTGAGGCCTTGCAGCTCTGCTCCAGCCCCTGCTTCTCTGCCCTCGTGCGCATCAGTTCTTGCTCCAAGTGCGCCAGCTGCTCACGCCAACCGGCTTGCTCTTGTTCCAGCTCCCGCTTCCTATTTGAAAGCCTGCTCTTCTCCTCTTCAAGCTGCACAACAAGAGGAAAGACGGGGGTTTGCAGGCTCTAGAAGGGGCGGGGGTGGGTGGGTGGAGGATGATCCAGCAGGAAAACAAAAGGTGGGCTAGCCTTGGCGGAAAGGGAACGAGGATACATCCTTATGGCACTTTCACACACGACCCCTGGATTTATGGTTGAATTTGAATGTGCAATCATTAGCACAGAAGATAAAATGGGAGGGGCGCCTTCTGTTATTCAAATGTATATTCTGGTCAATTGGGGTGGGGGGTGTTATTTTGCTTTTGCATTTGTGGTAAAAACCAACTTGGGAAAAATCTGATTACGTTTCAAGTGTAAAAACAGAGCAATAGCTACTTTTTTGCCATTTCTCCCCTCCAACACAGAGATTCTAAGGACCAAATTATGGTCTAGCTTGCACAGCTCTGGGACATGGGTGGCGCTGTGGTCTAAACCACTGAGCCTCTTGGGCTTGCTGATCCGAAGGTTGGCAGTTCAACAGGGTGAGCTCCTGTTGCTCGGTCCCAGCTCCTGCCAACCTAGCAGTTTGAAAGCACGCCAAAAAGTGCAAGTAGATAAATAGGTATCGCTCTGGCGGGAAGGTAAATGGTGTTTCCGTGCGCTGCTCTGGTTTCGGTGTTCCGTTGCGCCAGAAGCAGCTTAGTCATGCTGGCCACATGACCTGGAAAAACTGTGTGGACAAAGGCAGCCTCTAAAGCGAGATGAGCACCACAACCCCAGAGCCATCTGTGACTGAACTTAACTGTCAGGGGTCCTTTACCTTTACCTTTTTTGCACATCTCTTCAAACTAAACATTGATTTAAAGGAGAACACACAGTGTAGTCGTACACACCACTGATATCATGACTCTTCTCTCCTCCTTCTCCTGCCGCGTTGACAGGAGCTAACCCATGGTCTGGCTTAGCGTTATGTCCAAACCCCGGCTTGTGGCTTATTTCTCTCCAAACAAAGCATGAATTGTAAACGATGTTTGCTCTTGGCTTACAGCTCATGGGTAGAGCTATTAAGAAAGCAGTGGTGGCCATTCCAGCTTGTGCTTGTCAGAATCAGCGCCATTTCTTTTTCAGTGCAATTATTTGTTTCGCTGACCAGTATTTAACATAAGTTATATAAGTTTACATAAGTATTTATGGAACTTACATTCATTTCAATGTAAAGGAAATGTCAAAACAATGCTTTTTTTAAAAAAAGTCATTCATTGCATACCATTTGCAGAGTTAGAAAAGCAACACAACGCGAACCAATACTGATCAGACTCACTTGACAGAATTCCATCCTGACCACAAACGAATGTGTGGACTGCATCAATTTCTGCTTCTTTTTCAGTTTTCACCAGAATTTTCCAACACCCCTACTTGTAGTTTGTTTGGGGGAAAGAACTCATGAGTTCAGATATACTCCTAGCAGTGTGCCAACAACAGAAGGAGTGGAGTGGAGCAAAATGCCTGCAGTTTCAGCAGTGTGCACCAGCATTCACTTTTAAATCATAAGTTTAGTTTAATTATTGTTTGAGGTGACATGCAAATGAGGCCTAAATGTGACATAAATTGTGTGAGTGCAATTAACACATTTTAGAAAACCTAAACGACAGTCGTGCAGCAGGGAAAGAGGGGCAAACAGCAGTGAGACCACAAGATACGGGAAGGGTTTATCCTTCTCCACTTGTAGTCCAAATGAAAATTGGCTTTCCAAGCTGCTATTTGAAGAAGGAAGGATGCCTCCCCATTCTCTGCAGTGTCTTTGTGTGTGTGTCTTTGTGTGTGTGTGTGCCTTTGGTTGCTATTCACAATTTTAAAAATATGCATATTAATTGGATTCAGCCCATTAAAAGCACATCTAAATTGAACCAAACCTCCTACCATCAGTTCTCATTCTGCTCCCTCTGTTTGGGCCTGGTTTCACTCACATACTGTACTCCAGTGGACATATCAAAATGACCTTCTAGTAAAGTAGATCCACTTAAGCCAGCTCAGTTTCTGATTCACAGTTTCAACTGTGCAGAAACTTTGGGGGTAATTCTGGACTCTGGATTTTCCTTAGGTTTTCTTTTGCTTTCCTTCCTTACCTGCCCCCGCCCCCCCCCACTTGCACAAATCAATGGTGACAGGAAAGGTTTTGCTTTACTTTCTCCCCAAGCTGAGCAGGCGCTTCAATGAGGGCACAGTCTTGAAGGCTACGATAGCAGCACTTGGGTGAATTTTCCCATGTGCTTGTTGTAGGCAGCTTACAAGCTTCCATTAGGCAGCAATAGCATGCTTGAAGTCTTCCGGAAGTTATAAATGCTGTTGGCATAAGCTGTGGAGTGTGTGAGCACTCTTGAGTCGCCCCCCCCCCCATTTCAGGCCTCACTGCAAGTTACAAGCTCTTGGCGGTTACAAGCCCTGCAGGGATGATGGTGCTCATGAGGCCGAAAGCTTTCTGGCACACCATGGGTTTAAAGAGGCTGACAGGAAAGTGTGCATTTTGGCAGCCAGCGAAACCACTGAGGAGAGCTTTGTTTGCTCTGAGCAAGGGACACTCAGGGACTGACAGGCAAACCGGGATTCAGGGCATGCTCTTCCAAGATATGGCTACCACAGTTTTAGGATAAAAAAAAGCTTAGACTAGGACTCAGGGCAGTTGTATTTTGTTTTTGAATTTGCATCTGACAGGGCCAAAGAAGACGAGACAACAGAAGTCCATTATTGGATCTTCCATATTTTTACACTTTTGTAGAAAGCAATGGTGGTGTGTGTGTTGGACTGGGACCCTGGTACTAAGGGAGGAGAGAATTAGCTCTCTCCAACACATACACTGTTTTCCTGATGATCACCCCCTTCCCCAGTTGCTGTTTGCCCTATTAGGGAAAATGTACAGTATCATACAAAAATGCTATACTAACAGGATAAACAATAGCTTCAGAAAGTTTTCACAGGTCTGTTGGCATTGTGAATGGGGGTGAGAGGGTAACAGACCCTCTCCCAGCAACCAAGTCCCAATTCAAGTTCCCTACTCCTCCCCACACCCTGTAGACAGCTGTTTTTAACATTTTAAACTAATGAGAGATTCAGTTATATTCTCCTTTAGTTTAAGTCTCATTCTGTCATGAGGCAGAGACAGCACTACTCGAAGGTTCACAGCAGTTTCCTACCATCTTCCAAACACAACTAGAAGTGATAATTTTAAATCTTGGGCTCTGCTAAATCATTTGCAGCATGCTGTTTGTAGCCCTTAAGGTGACTGTTATACCAGGGGTACAATCTGTTATATCACCCTCCACCACAATTAAATCCTCTGCCAGAGGTAGTTGGCTCCACTTGCCCAATGGTAGGGCCATTTGTGCCTACATGCTCACATAATCAGCGGCTACAGTTAGCTACACCCTCTGCTACAGCCTGGCTGCCTTTGTTACCTGTAGAATTATGTGGTTGAGGCTGACTTTGTCATGAGCCAGCCCTTCGTTCAAAGCACCCATCTTGGCTAACGAGTCTCTCAGCACAGCTTCTTCCGATTTCATCTTGTGTATGGAGAGCTCAAGGTTAGCATTGGTGGCTTTAACCTGAGGAGGAAATTGAGATACTGAATTTCACCTCCAACTCCAGGCTGCTTCCCCTTCAAGGCATAGCAATGGTGCCTCAGATGAGAAGCTATGCTTTAGGGAACAGAGATCCATAAACTCATGCCTAATTAACTTTATGGGGTAATCCAGATTTGACGATACATAGGCAGCTTTTTCCGTGGAAGAAATGGGTCAATTGTGTAATTTATACATTAAATCAGCTGGACGGCATTTTGGTTGTCGTCTTCTATATTGCTGTTTAAATATCATTTACTGAGTGCTGAATGGCAGCATCTTCAATTACATCAGTTGGTGTCTATTTGTGGACTGTGTGGCTTGGGTGCTTCAGAATCTCCTAAATGGTTAGATCAAATTATTGGATCTTCTCAGAAAGCTAAATCCACGAATGCTACTTATAAGTGCTTATTGGACCTTTATAAAGTAGATTTTAGGAACTTGGGAGAGTTGTGGAATAGGTAATTAGAATGTGCTATAAAACCTAAACAATGGAAAACTGCTTTAGAGTCTGTCCTGAAAGTTTCTCTAGATTTGAAATTGAGCCTGAGCCTGCCCCCCCCCCAAAAGTTGCATGAATACTAGACTCCACAACATTTGTACAGGAAGACATGGTCCAATCCAGATAGATGCTGGAAGCGTAATGCTAAAAGGGCCTTGTTGAGGCATATGATGTGGGCATGTCCAGTGAGATATATTATTTTTGGTCTGAAGTTGCTGTCCACATAAATTTTGCATGGGCAAAATATTTGATATTTGCATATGTTCAGGTTCTTTTAAACTATATTACTACAGCTTGAGGATTAATAGCAGGAAAACAAAAGTGAATGCTTTGAGCCTTTATGGCCAAGAGACTTATACTTCAAACCTGAAAGAATAAATACCCACTATCCAGTATGTAGTGGTCTGAGGACCTCCTCTCTTTTGCCATGTTTGAACATTTTTTTATTATTACTGTGTGTGTTTAAAAATCTATCCTTGAGGTTTTTTCTTTGTTAAATATATCTGTATCTGCATATGGCCTGTGCCAAACTTTTTTAAAAGGATCTATTTGTCCATTCCACATTCAATTTAATACCAATTAGTGCCTTTAAAAAAACAACAGAAAACACCCTGAAACTAAAAAAGGGAAGAGGGAATCCTTAGCATTTGTGCATACAAAAGTTAACACTATTTTTCTCTTTAAGATCAAGTCCATTACATAACCAGGCAATATTATGTTAGGAAAATATAGCTTCCCCCCTGAAAGTTCATTCTAGCCAAAGTGTGGGTGGCAAAGAGATCTGCTACTCACTTCAGCAGAGCCAATCTGAGCTGCTAGGGCAGTGTTCGCAAGAGTGTTTTACCAAAATAGTTACTCATTCAGGGCCTGCCCTAACACTTTATTGGACCATGGCCTTGGCAGGCACATTATTTCCAAGAAAAGAGATTAAACTTAGCACACAGTTTACTGTTTTCAAATATCAAGTCCTGATGATGTGATGGCATGCAATGGCACCTCACCCACAGTTCTGCTTTCCCCTTAAAACATAAGGGACCGAAGCTGTCAGGAATGAAATCTGGTTCTTCTAGAGCGCTGGACTGTCTCAGACTCAGTAATGCTGCCCTCCTGGCTAAGTCTCTGGGATTCACAGTCAAATGTCAGCACTGGCTATCAAGATACAACAGCTATGATTTTACATTCATTCTCTTTCCCCATCCTCCATACCAGGCACTAATAGAAGCCCACGCAGAAAGCAAATATTCGGTGACATTTTCCAGAGTAAAAGGGCACTGTGCCTTTCTGCCTGGCATGGCTTTGCAATAAACCAAGCTCCTGAGACTTTTGGCAAGGGCTTTTCCATAAAACCTTGGAACCCAACCATTACAGATCTATGGCCTTAGCCTGGTGGGACAATACTAGCCTCTCCCTCCAGACTCCCTGGTACTAGAAGTGGACAGCGACAGGCTACCAGTTGCACTAAGCTGCTGTTATTATTACTTTGCCTGTTGCCCAGGTAACTCTTATTATGGGGTGGCTAATAAACTGAATTAACGATGATTAAAAACACATTTCCTGAAAAGTTCAAGGTGGCTAAACAAGAAATATACACAAACAGTAAATGTTTTACAACTTGTGCTTTGTACCTTTGCCTCCCAAGTCTCTGTACTTGCTGCCAGTCAAGTCCTGCTTTTGCACAACCTCTGGACTTAGCCGCTGCCTGTTCCTATCCTTGACTTTGGACAATCCCATACTTTGTTCTTAAGGCTGTCGCCTCTTTTCTTTAATTGGCTTCCTTTCCCATCTGACTACACAAGACTATGTGTGATAAAATCCTTTTATAGCTTTTACAATGCCATATGTAATTACTTCACATATAGAAAACTCAAGATTTTGTTTTCCAGGAAAAGTAAATAGATGCTGGGGTGTTGGGGGCCATGTCAGCAATAGTTAGAAACATAAAGGGGAGGACAATATCCTCAGTTAGGGCAATAATAATAATAATAATTAGTTATTATTTGTACCCCACCCATCTGGCAGGAGGAGAGTTATTTGGCATATGGAATGTGCCTACTGGCCACCCTTACTTTGGAAAGTGCTCCGCTCAAGCCTTCCTTCGCACTCTCTAGCATATCCTTCTCCAGCATGGCTTGGTTCAAAGTCTCCTTGACTGTCACCAGCTCTTTCTTCAGGGCAGACATCCTTTCCTCAAGCTGCTCCAGGGATCTTTGCCTGAGGAAGAAGAAAAGGTCTAACTATGCCTTGCACCAACCAAGTCAGATTACGCTTAACTCATTGTGTCGATACAGCTAGGGATGCCAATTAATGTCATTGGCGTTCAATTTTTTATTTCCATTATTACAGCTATCTTTCATGACCACATCCTTCTTGTTCCCCGACAACTGGCATGCAGAGGCTCACTACTTCTGAGGCAGAATACAGCTATCATGACTTGCAGCACTGATAATTCACACCAACTGCGGCCAACATTATTAGCAAAGGCTATCTATCTGCCCAAGTGTGAGAATCTGGAAAAGTCTTTGAAGACCAGCACAGAGAGAAGGATTGCCTTGTGCATCAAAGCACTAGGGACACAACTGCAGCACCTCACCCCCGCTCCAGCTCCTTCTTCGTTCTCTCCCTTTCCTTAATGACATCCTCCTTCTGTTCTTCCAGGAGTTTTCGCTGTCTCTGCAGCTCTCCATTCATAGTCTTCAGCCGCTCCACCTCCAGATGGGAGGAATCGAGCTGCTGATTCAGGCTTTCCACTGCCATTTCTGCGGCCTCCTTCTCTCTGGGGGAGTGAAAAAACAGACAAAATATGAGCAACCTGGGGGTCAAGATAATGCACCCTGAAAACAGGCCCCAGTTTGCCTTGGGGTAGAAATACATGCTCTGCTTCCTCCACAAGATTTTAGTGACCAACCACCACTTCTCTTTTGCAAGTGGGTGGGCTTACTTTCTTGCAGAGAAGGGGCAGGCAGGAGGAAGGCAATTAATCCTGCCCCACCAAAGGCCTTGAACAGAAATAAAAAAGATTTCTAGCAGCAGGGGACAAAATCATAGAAACATAGTGCAAAGCAACTAAAAGCCATCTATTCAGACCCTCTGCCAAAAGCCAGGAGTATCAAATGCTGCAATCCAGACTCAAATATGCTGTAACATGAAATGTATCTGCAGCAAAAATGCCTCTATCAACCTACCTGTCTGCCTGCCTTTCCATCTGTCCATCTATCCATCCACTGTATTTGTACACTTCTCATACAACTTAGTGCAGCTTTCCCCAACCAGTTGTAGTCCAAAAATATCCAAAGGGCACCAGGTAGGGGAAGGCTGATTTAGTGAATCCTTCAAATAATTTAAGCAGGGGCAAGGAGGGGGAACCTGTCAAAATGCAGCAAAAGTTCTTCTTTTAAATCCCCAACAAGGAACAATAGAGCAGGTGCCACTCTATGCTACCCAATGACCTTCCTAGGACAAATTAATTTCGCAGATACCCTTTCATATGCGTCCAAGATAAATAACACCACTGTAATACTGTTGGGGCTAGCGGGGAGAGGCATTTGATAACCTTTGGCAGCAACGAATGCTGATGCATGTTATTCCCAAAGACATTGTTTCATCATCACTTTAAGAATCACTTTACATCTCTTTGGCTGACGACCGCAACAGAAATGGGTGCAGAGGTGTGAAATCACATCATCAACACAAGAGACCCCTTTTTGTTACTATGGAAAAGTGAGTTGTACAATATTCCTCATCCACCCACCAACCCAAGTCAAACTGTATCATGAATGTGCTGCCCTTAGGTAAGCACAGGAGGCCTCAACAGCTGGCCTATTTAGTTCAGTATAATCTACACACACCAGCTTTTGCCATTGTGGCACCTCCAGATGTGCTGGCTGGTGCTGATGGGAGTTGCTATTCAAAACATCTGGAGGGACCAGGTTGGCAGAGGCCGGTCTACGCTGACTGGCAGTGGCTCTCTAGGAGTCTTTCCCAGCCATGCCTGGAGATGCCAAGGGCTAACTGCAACACATATGCTCTTATCTCTGAGCTGTGGACCGTCCTCAGATGTGAAGGGATGCGTGGCATAGGGAGTTTCCAATCACTGACGCATCACTACAGAGGGCGATGGCTTCCTTTCTGAGACGCTTATTTGAAGGTCACAATCTACTTAACCACCTGAAGGACTGAGTCAGAGCCATGTCACTCAAAAGCATTAACAGATCTGAAGGCTCCCTCTTTCACCTTCCGAGCACCTCCACTGAGGCTTTCCAGCGTTGCAGTTCCCTCCTGCAATCCTCCAGTGACCGGGTCAGCTCTTCACATTCCTGCCTCTCTTCCTGCAGCCGCTGTTTTGCTGCCTGCGCTTCCTGCTGGCAGTCAGCGAGCTGCTTCTTGACAGTTCCCAGGGCATCCTGGCAAGACTCCAGCTGCACACGCAACTCCTGTTCATTAAAAAAAGAGAGGGAGCAAGCAGGAAGCCTCTTCCACATCATACAACACAATATGCACCGGGGGGGGGGTACCCCATTTAACAGGTGGGCAATTCCTGTGATCAACACCTTCAATGACACTGAGGAGCTGAGTCTCTATAGCCAGGGAAGCCGGATTTTGTAAATAAATACAGAAATCTGTGGTTTGGGTAAACCCAAAATGTGCAGAAGAGGCATTGCATTCGTATCTCTGAAAGCTGGCTTCCTGAGCTCCATCATTTGGCTATGCTGCCTGCATGCACGAGGGATATGGACACTAAGAGCCAGTGCAAAAGGGTGTTGCAGCTGTTCCCCTGACAAAGGCCAGGATGGGGGGGGGGGCTCCTGTGGCAGCAGGTGCACTAAGAGCTCCAGGGGGTGGTGGAAAGAGCTGCCAATTTCTCTTGGTGAAATCCAGCAAGGTCAGGGCAGTGTGGGTGAAGCAGCAAAAGTGCCAGATTTGGTCACCTGCACAGCACCAACCTCACTGTCTCGCCCCTCCCAGTAAGCAGCAGCAGTGACGCTGCAGCTGGGAGGCTATTGTTGCAGCACCTCCTGGTTTCAATACTCTGTGAAATTTAGAATTTTATACATATTTTGAAATAACTGTAAGGTAGAAGCAATAGATGACTGTATCACTGTACTCTCTCTCTCAGATTTATAACCGCAAACTCAGGATATCCAAACCTGCTCATGCTGCTGTGATTTCTGGATAGCAGCACGAACTGCTTGCAGTGCTGCATTCTGAAGTGATGAAGGGTGTGCCCGGGATGGTGATACCCGCCGGCGGTGGGGAGAGCTGGAGCGCAGAGGGGAGGTCTGCCATAGGGTGTCTTCCTCTGACGAGGTTCTTGTGCTTTCCAAGGAACCGAGTCCTGTGCTCTTGGATTCAGACAAAGCCAGCTAGGAGGAGAGTTGAGAGGAAGTGAATGCCAGTCAAATCCATCACAAGTTATTATACTGCAATGAGACTGGGGTTGAACTAAGTGGGTTCCCCGCATCCCCCATCCTAACTCTGTGAGACTATGGTTGTAAGAAGAGACGGCTAAAGAGGCCTGGCAGATTCCAACACAGGTCTATGAGATTTACTGGGTCTGGATCGGGCTAGAAGTGTGTGTCTATGGACAAGAGACTTTACATTTTGGGTAAGTTAACACTGCTGGCAGCCACCAACGATGGAGAACAAACTTAGCTTGAGTTCAAAATGGCTGCAGACTGCCCACCACTGATGCATGTCCAGAAGCCCAATGGAGGATGGTGAGTACCACCAACAAATGGTGGTGAGAGAGAAAGCAGGTGGTGGTCTACAGGTTTCTCTCTCACTATAGCGCTGGGCTTTCAGCTGGGCTTGTGTAAGAACTTCCTAGTGAATCAAGCATCAATTTCTACTCAAGTTAGATGTCTACCATCAAATTACACAGAGTGAGTCAGAGTCGTCTTGTGAATGAATATCTAACAATTTAACTGGATTACAGGGTAGGTAAAAGTTTCGCACACCTTTGTGATGCTGTTCAAGCTATGTTGCAAATATTCAATTTCTTCTTTCAGGTCCTTCACCTCTTCTAGATCTCCAGTCTTACTGGCCTCCTAGTGTTCAAAGACAAGCAGTTTCTCAGAAATGGACATGGGGAAAGGGCACAGAAAGTATGAGAAGGCAGGTGTGTGTGGCAGTGCAAGCCAGTGTGTATGTATTAGGCCGTGCATTTTTGTGAGGGTGTATATGTCGGTAAGGCTATGTGTGTTTGCCTGAGAGAGTGACAGAAAGGGGGGTTTGTGGGTACGTATACCAATTTCTGAATGTCCATTTTTAGGGCAGAGATGGTCTTCTCTTTCTTTGCGTTCTGTTCTTTAAGTTTATCTCCTAACGTGCTCAACTCTGCAATCCTGTAAGACACAAACCAGTCATAGGTGGCAGATTGATCAGGAGTGAAAACATACAACCTCAAAATACTCAATTCTTCATACTCTTGGGATCATTAAGCCACCAATTCACACACCGCATTAAAAGGATACATGGTCAGAGGCTGACAACAATTTTTAAGAGCTGAAAGTAGCTTCAGAAAGGCTTCCCTTCCCACTATGTACTGTCCAGGACAAGTCCACACAAGGACTGGGAGAAAGCAGATTCAGCAAGAGGTCTTGGGTTGATGGAGAGAACAGTCAATAAGAATCCAGATGGCGTGGTCCCAATTCAAGATCAAGAACCAATGGAGAACAAGAGCTGTCAGATTTACAGTCCTATAGTACCCCCCAGATATCCCAGAGAGCAGACAACTTTTTCCAATAGTTCCTAGGTCCCAGTTTGCCTTTACATCCTCTCTGGACCAGGCTACTCCTTACAGGCTCTGCCCCACTCCCCAAGGAGCAGAGAGCCTCAAAGAGTACTCCTCTGGGCTAGAACCAAGCACTCCATTGCCTCTCTGTTACTTCTTGCCAGTGGTGTTGGTTGCACTGGCAACTGAGCACTGGGAAGTGTGAAGCCTTTGTTCCTGAGAGTGCTAGTCCTTCAAGACTCCAGCTCGGGGGCTGCTATCTCCAAGGAACCCACCTTGCAGGGGATGCTGGCTCAAGGTACTCCTTGCTATTCAACTTGGGCACCATCATGCCAGCTTGCATCAATGGCTCTCCTGACCTGGCTGCCAGCTCTTCCTTTTGTTTCAGTGCCCTAGTCACTGATCACAGTTGAGATTGTGACATGCAAATATGTTTCTTTGTTTTGTCCCAATGCCACCTCTGGGTTACCAGAAGCAAAAACTGGGTATCCATAGACATCACAGAGAGTGCCCCCTCCATTAAAATTGCCTTCCATTCTAAGAGAGCCAGTGTGGTGTAGTGGTTAGAGTGTTGGATTAGGACCTGAGGGACTAAGAATATAAGAGGAGCCCTGCTGGATCAGACCAATGGCACATCTAGTCCAGCATCCTGTTCTCACAGTGGCCAACCAGTTGCCCATGCGAAGCCCGTAAGTAGGACAGGAATGCAATAGCACTCTGCCCACCTGCGATTCCCAGCAACTGACAGTGGAGGCAGAACATAGCCATCGTGATTTAGTAGCTGTTAATAGCCTTGTCCTCCATTAATTTGTCCATTCCTCTTTTAAAGTTGGTGGCCATCACAAGTTCCATAGTTTAACTATGTGCCGTGTGAAGGAAGTGCAAATCCCCACTCAGCCATGAAGAGCACTGGACAGCCTTGGGCTAGTCATCGTCTCTCAGCCTATCCTACTTCACAGGGTGGTTGTTGTCAGGATAAAATGGAGAGGGAGAAAAGTGTGTACGACACCTTGAAGTTTTGGGAGGAAAGGTGGCATATAAATGCAATGACAACAGCAATAACAACAACACATTATTGTGCCATGATTCACAGACCCAGAGAAATGGGCTGTGTCAGGTCATACTCAGGGTGGACCCAATGAAATCCATGACTTGACTTGACTAACAAGCCCATTGCAATCCGTGGGTTGATTCTGCTGGATATAAAGGTAAAGGTAAAGGTAAAGGACTCCTGACAGTTAAGTCCAGTCGCGAACGACTCTGGGGTTGCGGCACTCATCTCGCTTTACTGGCCGAGGGAGCCAGCGTACAGCTTCTGGGTCATGTGGCCAGCATGACTAAGCCGCTTCTAGCGAAACCAGAGCAGCGCACGGAAACACCATTTACCTTCTCGCCGGAGCGGTACCTATTGATCTACTTGCACTTTGACGTGCTTTCAAACTGCTAGGTTGGCAGGAGCTGGGACCGAACAATGAGAGCTCACCGCGTCGTGGGGATTCGAACCGCTGACCTTCCGATTGGCAAGCCCAAGGCTCAGTGGTTTACACCACAGCACCACCCGCGCTGGATATAACAATGGGCAAACTTTTACCCCACTTTAAAAGCGTGTGCCCCGAAGACCAGAGGCACCTGTGAATGCTCTTCTAACCTGGAGTTCAATTCAGCTTTCTCTCCATCCCACTGGCTCTGCAGCTGGATCATCTCCCGGACTTTCTCCCGAAGCTGCTTCTCCAGCAAACAGGTGGAGCTGCTTTCTGAGAGGCGCAGGTTGGAATCCAAGTTGAGGCAGGCGGTCTGGAGGCGGCGGGCCGCTCTTGCCATGTCAGTCCCTGCCTCAGTGAGACCTCTGGTAATGAGGGAGTAAAAATCTTTTCTCATTCAGCATTCACACATTTTGTCTCTGGCAAGGCCAGCTGAGAGCCAGAAGTTCCAGTTGAAAGCTGGGATGGGTTCTATTTAGGGTTAGGCCATAGGGTCATGGTTTTCAGATATAATAACGTAAGTGAACCTGTTGGATCAGGTCAGCATCCTGTTCTTGCTGTAGCCAATCAGGTGCCTGCAGGAAACCCACAAGGAGAACCCAGGCACAATGACCGCTCCCACATAAAATGGGGGCACCTTTTGTGTGGTCGCGCGCAGCCCCCCGGATCCCAGTGTGACTCCTGGTAGTTCGGGCTGACTTCATCCTCCCCAGGCTGGAATACCTGGAGGTCTCTGCCTACCTCAGCCAATCGCCCAATCCCTCCTGGGGAGGTGTTGCCAGGGGAATGGCCAGGTAAGGGGAGGGACGGTCCTGCCCACACAACAGAAGGTGAATCTTACCTGCGAAGCGGCAGTCAGTCGGCTCCAGAGCTTCTCCCACCCTCCCCTCCCTCAGTTAAGTCTTCTTTGCCGGTTAACCTCTTCTCCACAGGTATGCAGGCACTACTACGTCAGGGTCCCTGTTGAAGGGCCGGAAAGGAATTTCCCTGCATTGGCAGGTTTTGCCTTTCCCGTAGCAAAATGTCACAACTTTGGCAGTTTCAGGCCTTGGGCGAAATCCTTTAGTCTATCTTCCTAAATGGAGGGGGGGGGCGTGAAGTGGTGACCCACGCCCCCCTTGCGGCAGTGATACCAGGGTTCCCTGTTAAAGGGTTCTTGAGGGGAGGCATTGGCCATACGCCAAGAGGTTTTCCTTGCTCTCCCCTCCAATTGCAGCGAAATGGGGGACGGGCTCTCTGCTTGAACATATGTTCTCCAGAGCCAGCCCAAGCCCCACACATTCTGGATAACCCTGAAGTCTCCCAGTTCCCCGACTGGGGACTGGGAAGGATAAACGCCCAATGCCTGAGCCTGAAACTTAATAAAGTTGTGGCCAGTTTTAATCTCATAGCACATTGTCTTGAGTCATTATTCCACGTGGGGGTCACCTGGGGTTGGGGGGGCTCCGCCTGTCCACGCAATACTCTGCTATGGTTTCCAGCAACTGGGGTATATTTTGCCCCTCCCCAAATGCTTCGCATTGGCGTTTTTGGAGCTGACGACACTCAATATTTTTAAACAACAAGGTCCCCCTACGAGGGCATCAACAGCACAGGCAAATATTTCAGGCATTTTCTAGAGAGCCCTCAGGGTCCCTCTTGTAGCAGTGCTGCTACATTGAGGGAGAACCCACCTCTCCATGGTTGTGCGGAGCTCTGCAAAGTTGCCACGGAGTGTGGCGGCTTGACGCCACAGCAGCAGGATCCCACTGTGCTCGCTGCTTAAATAGGAACTGTAACTCTGCAAAGGATGACGGAGAGAACAGGATACGGACATGTCACCGGTCCCAGCACTTCAACATTTTATTAACTGAGAGCTGCAGAAAGTTACCTCCCTCCGACCCCCATTTGTATTACTCGCTACACTAAACCATCTTCCAAAATCTGTTCAAGGTCCTATATGAGTAAGGCATGGGAAACAGAATGTTTTTGCCCCTGCTGCAGGCAAGTAGAAGGGTTACAGAAGATACAATTTAAATTTACCTACAACTCACTAGATTGCTTTCCTGGCACTTCTTCTTTTGCAAGCTGCAATGGACGTTTGGAAAAGTAAGGCAGAAAACGTTAAATAAATAACTTGCAACTAACCTTCAGTTTCTAACAAATAGTACTTTCAAGCCAGGCAGGGATACTGCTGCGTCATCCCCGAAACACACAACAAAACTGTTAAAATGCAAACCAGGAACTCGACGAAATGCTTCCTCTCCAAGGTTGTAGTGAGGCTGGCATCAACTCTGGCTGAGCAAATAAGAGCTCTGAGCTCAGAACTTGGCCAACGTATATATGAGCTAATATTTTGCTGCACACATGAGTATGTCTCAGTGCTTGTAAAAGAAATCTATACATACAGATTATTGTTCTGCAGTCCAAATAAATAAATAAATAACACCACCAAAGGCTTTGCTGTTTAGAACTGGAGTTTTCAAGGTTTCCTATTGGATCCAGACTCCTTCTCACAGAGGAGCTCTTTCATAATACTGGAAGAGCTCCAGCAATGCCTTGGTGGTCTCCGCTCCATAGAAGGGTAATCCAACAGCAATTTTAACTAGAGCACTACTACATCTGGATAATAGGGTATGGAAATACTAAAGCAGTGGCAAATATGACATGATAGAAGTGTCACTGAGTTAAAAATGCCAACAGCCCGTTATGGAATCAGAATGGCCAAGATCACTCTGTTTGTTCTGAGAGAGGGGCAGTCAAAGAAAGAGAGTCAGACAGAGACAAATGGCTTCTCAATCAGGACAGATCATATTCAGGGAGAACCTAGAAGAACAAAAAGCAGGCCAGTGGAGGGGGAGACTCTCCAAAGATATATAGACAGAGAATCAGTGAATTGTAGCAAAATATTCAAGGTTAGCGGGATGAAGCTGCTAAGATGAATGAAACAATGCCAACAGAGCAGAGAGCCAAGAAGTACAACTGACTCCAGTGTAACAATTCTCACTTCAACACTAATAGTCCATGTTGACCCAACAAGAAAAGTGATGGGCGAAGGCCAAGTATTACATATTTTGGTACACAGCTTGTTTACAGCCGGCATTTACAAGCAAGATAATTATGAAGATTGGGAATAATTTATCTTTGAAGCAGCAGAGTCAAGGACAACTTGGCCAAGAGGGTTTTACTGTGAGTGTTGGAACACTCCCCATTTTTTCTGGTGGCCAGGAACATCAGTGTAGTGATGTGGCATTAACCTTCTAGCAGCATAGGAGATATCATGAAATTTCAGGTGGAAGAAAGAATTCTGGATTTGTTCCTGTGCTGGAGTTTCAGCGCCATTAACCTAAGTAAGAGCCAAACAAGGGAGGATGGCAAAGAAAAAGGGAAACCACAAAGGTGCTGGCATAAGAGAGAAGGATTAGGAAATGGTGCTATTTGTGTTTGCAGTAATGCTAAGGCATAAGGTTTTGTTTAGTCAGCTATACTGAGCATGAGCTGTGTGCTGCAGCTTATCTGGATGAGGATGCAGAAGGACAGAGCAAGGTGACATCAAGCCAGCATGGGCCTATTGGTGGGACCAGCAGACTGGCTTCACCGATGGACCCACGCATATCCCTGAAAGCAATGGCTGGGGCAGATTCCAGATAGTGAACAGTGTGGCAACAATTCTGTTGTTGCAATTCTGTTAGAATAAACTGTACTCTACGCATTCGGAAACAAACCCAAGGCAAAACTGTTGATACATGACAACAATTCTGAATTCACTAACCCTGTACAATGTTCGGTGCCCCTCAGTCTTGTAGATAAAACTCTTTAGCAGTTGGCCTGTGTCCTCTTCGAGAGGAGAGATGCTTATTCATTGAACCAAAACACACACTGCCTTTGCTAACTAGGAACTCTGCATTTTGCCAAATACAAATACTCTGCCAAACCCAAGCTGGATTTACAATGCATAATAAATTCAAAAATGCAGCGTCCACAACCAACATTTATTTTCTAGAGAGTTTATTTTGATCTGGGGTTTTTTTTTATGAGATAGAAAAGAGGGGATGGTAAGAGAAGAGGGAAAAGGAGCTCCCCCCCCCAAAGAAGGAGTAGGGGCCAAACTATAAATGATTTTTATGCAAGCAACTAGCAATAACATTGTTTGTTTTTAAGGTAAACAGCGGGGGCTGGGGGCTGGGCTTGAACAGGACAATGTGGGTGGTGGGTGGGAGAGTGGGATTGAACCCTTTGCCAACACTGTAGTCCTGAGCCAGATCAGTTGCTCCTTCAATACATAACATGTTATATAGGCATTCAGAGGAAAGCTCCCACTGCCAACAACAGGACTGCAAGGAAAGAAGGAATACGGGCTATGGCACTCCCCAAAGGACTGGAACTGGAGAAATACAGTGGTACCTCGGAAGTCGAATGGAATCCATTCCGGAAGTCTGTTCGACTTCCAAAATGTTTGGAAACCAAGGCGCGGCTTCCGATTGGCTGCCAGAAGCTCCTGCAGCCAATCGGAAGCCGTAGAAGCCGCATTGGACATTTGAGGTTCCAAAGAACATTCACAAACTGGAACACCAACTTCCAGGTTTGTGGCGTTCGGGAGCCAAAACGTTTGAGTCGCAAGGCGTTCGTCAACCAAGGCATGGGTGTAGTAATTTTAGCGCCTGCTAAAAACATTCCTGTTTAGACAAGCCTACCTAGATGCTTAGAGAATGGAGGTAATTTTCATCAGTTTTAGTATTTTAACTTTTGTCTGCTTTAAAATAGGGCTGTACATTTTTCTTGATTTTCTTATCTTTTTGTAAACCGCTTTGAGGGTTTAAATAAATAAATAAATATCAAAATAATAAAACAGCAGCCTGGAGGGACCAGGAGCTGAACCAGTGAAGGTACTGAAGATGAAACAGCGATAGTTGACTCTGAATTTTTCTGGAGTGCTGATCCTATGAACAGCCAACCCAACAAGATGCTGAGTTGAGCAAAGAATTGGTACAAAAAAACTCCCAGTGCCAAATCTGCTACAGCTGTATAGTACAATGGTGCAACATGAAGAAAAGGGATTTCTAATGATTATGTTGCCTGGCATTTCAAAAAGCAACCAATAGGATATGTTGTACCTCCCTGCCCTTGTGCCACTGAGACTCCTTCTGTTCACTCCTCAGCCTGTGAACTTCAGCGGTTGCCCTCTCCAACTCCCCTGCTAGTCTTTGTTTTGAGGAGTTCATCTGGTCCAGCTGTTCCCGAAGAAGAGTATTCATCTGGGAAAGACTGGTGCTCCTAAGACAAAAAATTAGAAAGCCAAGGACAGTGTTTTCCTCCACAATCACAATATGGCACACTAGTTCTTTTGAATCCAAGAATTCCTCTATGTCTTTATGTATATCAAACCACATTAGTCACAACAAAGGCTTTGTACTAAATAATACTAAAAAATGGTGGGTTTTGAGCAAGTCCCACCCTTTGGGACAAGACCTGCCCTTATTTGTATGACATCAGGCATAGGGCAGGGAGGTAAAGGTTGCCCATAATGGCCTCATGGGCGAATGGGGAAGCCCAGTGAGCTGGAGGTTCCCCACCCCAGCTTAGGATAAAAGGAATGGAATATGGATCTGACACACCTAAAATATTGTTCATGATTTGCAGTAATAGATTCAGGGATGCTGCTACCATCAAATGAAAGTTCAATGACATACAGTTGTACACTTCAAATGGAACATTAATTTATACCATTCCTATGGATAAAATACCATGACCACAATTTAAAGAAATAGTCACCAGTGGGGGACCTCTAGCATACGAGTCTAATTATGCCAGCATGGCTCCCAGGTGAGGCAAGGCCATTTCCTACAAACCATAGCCACCTGCTCCACACCTGGCATCCTGTGGCATCAGATGTGGGGCAGGATACAGTTGTCTATCAGGAGCTTAAAGGAACTCTTGATGGTGCTTTCAAAAGCAGGGATCTCTGCCGGCACTGAGCAGTTGCAGCAAACCTCCTTGAAGGTGTTCTCTCTGCCTCAACCAGCTGACTGGTGATGAAAGTGTGTCTTCAAAGGAAGCTACCATAACCACTGATCAGCTGATCACTGAAGAGCAGTATTGCCAGTATACAAATGTACCATATAAACAAACCCCCTGAAGCAAATGGCAACCTCACCTCTGCTGCTCCTCTTCCAGGTGGATGAGAGTGCTCTCCAGCTCTGTATTGTGGTCATGCTCAAAGCGGAGTAAATGCGACTCCGTTGAGTCTAACCTCATCTGCGCCTAGAAAGATGACGGATTGTGCATCAATATTAAAGCAGTGCACAGAATGATTGGCTGGCAGGAGCTATAGAAATACGCATGTCCTTACATATATGTTGTACAGCACAGAATCTGTTTAAGGCAATAGGAGACTTCCTCAGAATCCCGAAACTGCTTTTTAAAAATAAATATTTGGATTTGGGAGGTCTGTGATTGGGAGAAAAGGTAGGCAGCATTAAAGACAGCCATTTCCTAAACCCTCAGAAATAAAACAGGTTCTGGGCAGGGTTTTTCATAGATGTGGGAGAGGTATTCATCCCACATAGCTCTGTATTTCTTCACATGACACTATCATGTCATAAGAATTCCAGAGCCTAGTTCCTTCAGCTAAACTCTTCTCATGGGTAGTAAAAAAATGTGAAGCGAAAGAATATGATGGCAACAAGCTAGATGCGGATGGGAAGACTTTCTATCCTTTTTTCCACACCAGCATGTCTTGTTCCCCTGCCCTGGTCACCTTTTCCCTGAACTACAAAAGCCCCAAATGTGGTAACCTTTCATTGCAGCAAAGTTGCTTCAACTACATGATCATTTTGGTTGCCCCTTTCTGCACCTTCTCCTGCTCAAATTGCACTGTGAGGCACTAGGGATCTCTAGTTAAAGCGCAGCGATAATTGCCTTTTAAGAACTGCTCCGTGTTTAGGCTTCTCACATATAATTGTAGTCATGCATAGGTTCCCCTCTGTGAATTATAATCCCCTCTAAACCCCACAGGCTTTAGCCTTATATAATATTATTACCCTGTTGTGAAAAAGGCTTTGTACCCAGAACGTCCTTCATAAAATACAAGTACTCCACTGGTTGCCTATATGGCCCATACTTCACACACACAAAACACCACCAAACTGGACATTCAGAAAACCAGTGGGAGTCTTTAAATGATATGAACTACACAAAGACTACTTGTACCATGTATGTCATTAGGCTAGGCTGTCTGCCAAGCGCTCGCTCCAATTAAAGGTGCATGGCGTGAGGGGACAGTGATCTACAAATTGCCCACAGTGCTAACAGTCAGACTGCCACATGCTTCATCACGATCATTTATAGCATGAGAAAAGCCATACGCACCATCTGCTTCTGATGCTCACACTCGGAGGTTTTCTCCAGCAGTTGTTGCTCCAGCTCCCCACATCTTTTCTTGTACTGCAGCATCTGCGCCAGGGAATAGAAGCAACAAGGGACTGCTATGAAACCATCACATCAGAGCAAGGATTTATGCTTGCCCCATGGAACTTCCCCCATGTGTCCCCTCCCCAAATCTGCACCAGAGGCTTACGGGGTAGGGGTGGGGGATTGTCAAAATAGATTTAGAGGGATGTAGGTTGGGGAAGAGAAAAAGAGGAAAGTCCCATTGCATTGCAGGGGGTTGGAGCAGATGAACTTTGAGGTCCCTTCCAATTCTGCGATGCTATGATTCTATCCTTGTGCTGACAGGACGGTTGCTTAGCACTGCACTGGGTACAAGCCTTAGGTAAAGAAAATTAAAAGAGAAGACAAGAGAGAACAAAGGAGGGAACCAGCAGCCCAGGCAGAGCTACTTACCAGGAATAAAAGAGGTACGAAGAATGAAAGCTTGATCCACGAGGCCAATTTATCCAACAACTTTAACAGGTCTTCAACAAATTCTAAAGAGATTTCTGAAAACTTACTTGGACTACTACCATGACATCTGATGGAGGTTGGTCAGTGTAATAAAACACTGACTATGATAAGAGCCGGACCAAGAGAACTAGAAGTATGCAGTCACATACAGTATTAAGTTCCACTACAGCTATGCACATGATATCAACTTTGCCAATCTATATTCTAACACCACCCCCAAACTTTATCCTATGCAAGTTATTGTTAAAGAATGTAACAAGCTCTGCCCCCTCTGACTGGCATTGTTGACCAGAAGATCAAGTATTTTTTTAAAAAAAAAAATCACAACCCATAAAACTTTACATCAGGACAGAAGCTGGTACTTACTGTAGGGAACATGCATCACACAGTTGATGTATTCAAGCTCCTCAGACTGCATGCACAAATAAAAGTTTAAATGGGGGAAATGTACCTTCATTACCTTGGGATGTGCCATGTACAACCTCCCGTCACCTGTTGCCCACTCAGAAGTTCTACGTTCATTTCTCTTCCACTGCAACAGTATACCTGGAGAACATCTATTCTCCCCATGTGCTTGTTCTGGTAGCAAAATCTAGTATAATTCTTTGCGCCATATTCTACATGCAAAATGGATCCCACAGAGGTGGTTGTTCTAAACCCTATTTCTCTTCAGCTGGGATCTGCTTACAGCATGGATCTCGTAACTAAATACCTTTTCTCTGTCTGAAGCTTGATATAAAAAGATGGAGGAAGAATTTGAGAGTTTCCTGGCACCATTTTAATCTCTGTCAAGACAGGCCAGACCTATAACCAGAATGGGTTTTTTTTGAGTGAGTGAGGAGATTTCACCCCTCACATATCCAAGAATCTGCGGATGTTCTCTTCTGATTCTCCAGAGAGGAGAGGCGGTTTCTGCTCTCTACTTATTCCGCTTCAGCCTCACATCAAAGAGAGAGACAGACTGAGTGTTAGAGAGAGATCATGTGTCGGAATAAGGTTGCTGCTAAGAGCAGCTGCAGACACTCAGTGCAGTTCAGCATTTTTCGTTTAGACCTCACTTAGCTCTGTATATAGTTGTATTATAGTTGTAGTTATAGAATAAAGAAAATATTCTACAGAGCTGCTCTCCGAGTTGTTTATATACTCTGCTAGACTCTGCTGTACTCTGCTGTGTGACGACTGTCTTCTTGTGGGAGTGAATCCGGTGCTCACAACTCTAAGCTGTGAGTCCACAGCACTTTGACCTGTTCCTGTGCAGAAGGTGGTCTCTGGAAGTGCTACCCAGCTCGCCTGGCCCAGTCGGGGCTGAAGTGGATGAGTCCAGTTGGTGACACTGGCTCAAGGGCGATGCTGACAGAGAGAAGCAGCCATTGTATGTAATAAATACATAACTACCTCAGTGGTCAGCAAGGAAGGAAGCATCTGTACTTAAAGTAAATTTTAAGGAAGCGGAATACAGATTCTTAGGAGTATCAGCTGGGAAATGGAGGGCGAGCATCTGAGGAAACAGAAGCTGTGGTAAATAAGCCTGAGGTAAATTCCTCTTGTGGGGAAGGGTCAGGGGAAGGGTAGCATTAAAACAGATACCATGAATAAATGCACTCTCTGCAAGCTGTCAACAGGCACCTAGCGCAGGTGAGGGAAACCAAGGTTGGCAGGGACACTGGGAAAGAGGCTAGCTTGTGTGAACACCTGAATAGGGCTGCAAGCATGGCTGCTAACCAGAAGCAAGGAATGACTGTGGTTGCCAAAGCAGCTAGAGATGAGGAGGAGAGAGGGGCCCAAAGAAAGAAGGCTATTCCAGCTGCACCATCTTGGGGGGTAGGGAGGCAATAAGTCTGCCTGATTATCAGGACCAAGGAGCTTTAGACCAGGGGTAGGGACTTTTTAGAGTACGAGGGTTGCATCCCCTTGAGATAGACCTTCTGGGGCCACATGGCAGTGGTAGGTATGCAAAAATGGGTGTGGCCAGACACAAAATGAGTGGAGCAACAGATGTGACTCTTACCTTTTTACAGTGGTCTGCATTCTTGTCATACATATGCAGATGTTTCCTCCTCCTGCCCCCACCCTCTCTGACCTCAGTCCAGACAAGCAAGAGGCCACACGCCTGTTAAGTAAAAACACTCCAGAAGGGCGTGCAGCAGAGCCAGTGAAGAGTATAGTCTGGATAGAGAGAGCGTGGCCTCGGAAGAGTCTTAAGGGCTGAATAGAGGGACCTGGAACTCTGCCTGCACCCCTGTTTAAAAAATACCCAAAGCTCCTCCCCAGAGCTTTGGACAAATCAAGGGAAGGACTTCTTAAGAACCTAAGATGCTGTCTAATGCTATGTTTGCCAATGGATCCACATGGAAACAACTGAAACTGCTGATTGGTGGGGGCTTCTTTCTTCTTGTAGTCTCATAAAAAAAGCCTGGTGTGCTGTTCTCATCACCTGTGAGTACTGGTCCCTACAGAACGCATGGAACAGAAAATGCTAGGCAGGTACAAGGAGCATGCTTTCTAAATCAAAAAGACAGGACCAACAAACCTAATGGAGAACTTCTGCAGCAAGCCCCACTGCTGAGTCTTTATGGAATCCGTCTGTGAGACCCCACCATCTTCCCACCTGTTCAAGGTAATGCCACCCACCTTGTTCTGCATCTTCTGCACTAGCTGAGCCTGGCGCTGCTGCCCATCCTGGTAGGCTTGCAGCTTGCGCTTGTATGCCTTCTCATCCTCTTTGAACTGCTGTCTCATCTGCAGGAACATTGTGCTTCCTTCCTCCTCTCCTCGGAGCTCCAGCTACAAAAGCAAACACCCTCCCTGATCCAAATGGCAGAGCAAGGGTCAGGAGCAGAACAGCAAGGAACCAATGCCCGGCTCCTTAGATGTCATACCAGAGCAATGTGGCAGGATGCAACCAAATGAATGGAAAATAAATAAATCTGTGTTTGAAAATGAGCTCCAGCTTTGCAGAATTCAGGGTTTCCAGCATGGCTCCCAGCTGTTCCTGGACCTCTGGACAACAGAAACTTCCTTTCTCTGAAATACACATTCAACATCCCAAATACTCAAAATCTTCATGCCTACATTTCGCAAATGTAATGAGAATTCATGCAAATATGAATCACTGAATTTGCATGATCTTCTTTCTCTCTTCCTTTCAGACTGTAATGTGGCTGAAATCCTGCAGTTTCAAATTGGCTAAGGCTGGTTACAAATTTAGATCTTTGGCAGGGGGAGGTTGAACAGGAAGAAGAGACTTACGGAGAAGCTGAAAGGTCAGTGTACCTAACAAGGACACTACTAAAGTCTCTTGGGCACAGAATCTTTCTGTAGACACTGCCTGCTCATTTTGTAGTCTCTTGACATCTAAAGGGTGATAAAACAAGCTTTGAAAAAAATGAAACTTGAGACTATTACAGCACAATCCTATGCATATTTCCTGAAAAGTCAGTCTCACTGAGTTCAGTGAGACTTATGCCCAGGTAAATGTGTGCAGGATAGCAGCCTTAAGCTGCAACACTAAACAGACGTACAGGAGATTAAGTCCCACTAGACACACTGGAACTAAATTATAAACATGCATAGGATTATTCAGGTCAAATAGTGCCCTAGATACTAGGTCTCACACAATCCTGCACTTTGCACTACATGCAGAAATACACCTGCTCAAATATATTTATGAGTTGGTAGTTAGAACCTCAAAGCAAATGGTAGCAAAAGCTTCCTCATGGAACTCAAATGCAGCTCATTCTTCTGCCTAGCAAAATTTACAACGACTACAGCAGGGGTGGGGAACCTCAGGTCTGGGGGTGACATGTCACCCTCCAGGACTCTGTGCGAACCTCAGGACTCTTCCAGGCCACACACCCTTCGTAGACTCCCAATTTCCCATGGCACATCCTTCACTGGCCCTGCCCTGCACCCCTCTTGACTGTTTTTGCTTGGCTGGACTGTGTTCTTGAACTCCGACAATGCCTCTTACTTGCCTAGATGGAGGACAGAGAAGGGAGGGTGTGTGGGTTTGCGTAAGACTAGCCTACTATATACAGGTAAAATTTACATTTGTTTCTCCGCCCACTTGTTCCTCTGGACCCACCCACCACTGACCCACAGCCCACAGAAGGCGACTCAGGAGGGAATGTGGCGCTTGGTCAGAAAAATGTTCTCCATCCCTGCCCTACATGAATCAAGACCTCACCCATTCATTCCGCTTCTTTCGGCCTCCCAAATAGCATTCATTCCATTGCTCCCATTCAGCAAAAAGAAGCAGCTGGGGGCAGGGCAGCCGTCCCAGTCTGTTGGAACAGCTTTTCGGAGGGCTTGATGCTGAGTCAGGCCTGGATCTCCGTGCCTGTCATGTGGACTGGAGGCAGGGATTGTTTGGACTTATAATTATTTATGCTCCTCTGGATGGGAACCTTTGTCTAGCCAATAATGTGCCCTATGTTCTCCAGGCAGCAAACCAAGCACCAGTTTCTCCCGGGGAAGGGGCCACAACAGCTAAGCACCATGACCACCTGCAACTGCATACTCCAGAAAGCAGCAGTGTGTGAAAACAGGGCCAACATCCTGTCCGCTCTAGCACGCCTGAGGAGATACCAATGGACTGTGTCTGCGCACCATAATCCCCCAACATTTGCACACCAGAATGTGATTCCTGGCAATTTTCCTTCAAAGGGTCGCTGCTGCAGCAGAATGCTAGATGGTTGGTTGGGTTTAAAAGCAGCTGCTCTGCCATTCTGTTTCCGAGTCTACTTTCACACAAATAAACACTTTGAAAACATATTAGCTGCATCTGAGTAATGAAGACATACTGGCCAAACATTATGCTTACGTTAACCTTTCATTCTTAGGTATAGTGTGCTTAAGCTACTGTAGTATGGGAAAGACAACCTAGCAGTCTAGTTTATCTATTAAGGCCTCTTCCTCATTATTTTGATTTATTTCATAGGTGCTCCTCAATTACTTACAACATAACATATTATTATAGTACTGTATTCTACTTTCAGCTGGAGAATGACGCTGAACCAGATGGTACTTGGGCTGACTTGAATTCAGGAGCCACTATCTTATAAAAGGGGAGTGCAACTTGATAGAAAATGGGAGGGGTGCTTCCAGCCATCAAAAAACATAGACCACTGCAAAGAAATAAGGTTCTTTTGCTAGAAGCTCATCTTTTCCTGATTGAATGTCTTTCTTACGAAATTCTGCCTGGGTGCTCCTAAGGTTTACATGAGCCCAAAACACCACAAAGCCTAGATGCTCAATGATAGATATATTTTTCAATCTTTTCAGATCCAAGTCTCACCTTTCACCCCAAACTGTAATATTAGACCCACTTTATTTATTTTTTTAATCCTTCTCTCATGTGGTCATCGTGAATGACTATCTATGTGTGTTTTGATTTGGAAGCAGCTCTCAGCGACTTCAAAATGGAGCCAAACTGATAACCATTTGCGAAGAATACGACGAGGTGCTCCAATAGTCCTATATACAGCCTGACTTTTGCGATGTAGCCCACAGATTCTGAATGCCCTTCCTTCTTAAAAACTGCTCTTGCTAGGTCTCAAGAAATGTTTATGGCATTGAAGGGCAGCCAGGACTACAAGGAGTAAAGCAAACTGTAACCTACTATGTAAGTTCTTGTGGGAGAGAAGCCAAATGAAACAATGGAACCAATGTCCATAAGCTGTATATTGTCATGTCACAGGACCTGCCCAGGACATGGGGAAGTGTGCATGACCAAGAGTCATGGCAATGTAAGGTTTATCTGAACTTATGAGTAAGCCCTCCATCTTAATTCTCTCTGTGTTGCCAGTCAATATGTCCTCAGCTGCCAATCTACACCAGCTGCAAGAGAGAATGATGGATAATTGTTTTGTGACGGAGCTCTCAGCTGGATTTGTGTTTTTGCAAGATTGTTCCATACAAAAATCAGCTTGGTTTTTTTAAGATGGGTTTCTTCAAATGTTGATCTTACCCTCTCACTAACGGCATGGTATTTGCTAGCCAGCTCATCCTTCTCCGCGCGAGTTTGTGCCAACAGGTCCTCAAGGCGTGAGAGCTCCTTCTGCAATAAGCGGTTTTCTTCTTGCATATTGACTGCAGAGGCTGTTTCTGACAAAGCTGGAAACAGCAATAAAAGGAATAGGTTGGCTGCAGGTAGCAAGAAGGGACATATTTAATTCAGTTCACAGTGAAAGGTGAATCTACCAAATCCACACTTTTTGAAACACTATGGGAACACAACCATTCTAAATTTGCACTTATCTGAATTTTGCAATAGAGTTCTCCAACCAAGTGATGATTTTACAAAAATATATTCATGTATAAAAATTGCTTGCAAAAATGTGCACATTAGTCAAAACTACCTATAAAAATGTGCTTATTAAGAGAATGCACACGCAGATGCCTAAATGAATTTAAGATTAGAAAAATTAGAAACTGCGAGAACTAATATTGACAGATAATTTCATTCCTAGTTCCAGGAAAGGCAACCTATGAACAGACTGAGGATGTTCACCCTACCAAGGTATATGGATTAACCCCTTAGTACAAAAACCTTGGGATTCAAAGCATAAGCACTTAAGTTGTCCAAAAGGGATGTATTAATACTAAGAACTGATTGCAAGCAAGTACTTGATACAAGATATCTGCCTTATTTATTTTGCTAAAGCATCTTCCAATAAAAGTTTAATGTTTTAACATGGCAAAGCACAGCATTCTTTCTCCCTTTTTAAGAGACAGGGCCCATTCTTTGAGCCAACCTATGAAAAGGAAGTACCAATGTTTCAAAAGAGTTCCAGGGACTAAAGACTGTTCTTTAGCAAGAGACACCTGCATTCATTATCTCCCTCTGTATGTTCCAGGGCTGCTTTCTAGTGTTGAAAACGGGTTCTGGGGCCAGATGATGTCTAGCCAAAAGTGTGGCCATGGGTTTACAAAGCTGCCTTGAAAGGGCCTATTAATCACAGGCCGCAAGATAGCCATGCCCAATCGTTACAGGGATAATGATGATCTTCCATATGGGGACTGAGAAGCTTGGGCTAATTTTCCAGCTCATGTCCAGGCACGTTGAGCGTTGCTTGGCAGGTTGCTTAATCTTTCTGATCCTCAAATGTAACATGACGGCAAACAACTTTATACTGTCTTCTGGAAGCCTGAGCTAAACTATCTCCCTCAGTCTTTGCTTGGTGGCTACGGCTGAGAATCTCTAAGGTTCAGGAACTCTTCCCAACTGTAATTTATTTATTTTTGCAATGAGAGAGAAATCCACAATGTCTTTTGGGGACATAAAAGAAAAGGGCAATCATCCGAAAGAAAGGATGTCCCTTGGACTTAGGACCATTGTTCTCCCCTTGCTATAGGCTAGGGTTGGCCAAGGACGTTTTGCTGCTTGAGGCAGAACAGTAAATGCTCCCCAGCTGCAAAGTCAAGGTGCATGTACCCAAGAGCAAACCATTTGCTGCCCTTTCTATGTCTGCTGCCTCAGGCATTCCCCTCACTCTGCCCAATATTAGGACTGGCCCTGGTGATTGCTCTTTCCCCCTTCCATCTGGAAAGGCTACCTGCTCACAGTCAGAAACACAAGATTGGATTCATTTACCACGAACAGAAGCTGCTAGTTTTACACAGTACTCTGAACGAGTCCAATGGACTGCTTTGCATGGAATGGAAGCGAGGAAAGGCTGTTACCACACGCACGGTGATAGTGGACTGAATTTTCTGTCAACTTCTTCCAAGGAGGAAGTCTTCTGAAACATCATCGAGCCAACACTGCGTGGTATGTGGGGATGTTAGGAGCTTCAAAGCCCCACCTCCTAATTTCCTGCATTTGTTCTTGCTTTGAAAACCCCGCCCTCGGGATGTCTCTGCTCTATGTCTCTGCCAAAGTCCCAGACAGCACCTTGGGATGATGATGGCTCAGCCAGACTCTGTGTGATGATCTGTCGGATCCTAGCTGGGACAGTTGTGGGTTCAGCTCTCTCTCCTTCCCCTTGCACGGTCAATGCTTTGTCATCTTTGCTCACTCTGGGATGCAGCACCGTATCCTCCAGTTTCTAAAATACACACAGAAGTTAAGCATTGGCTGGCAAGCTTGTAAGGTTTTATTTAGCCATTGCTGGGCCCTGGGAAGCGATTACCTCTTTATGATGGACTTTCTGAGATCAGCATAAAACTAAACTTAGGCCTAAGAATGGCTGTCACATAGCTAGAAACCTTTGAAGGTGTGTGGGGGTGTGTAGAGAGAGAAAAATGTGATCTCTTTATATCTCGTTGACATTTAGCGCATTTCAACAAGTTATAAACTCAATAAAAATAGAAAGGCAAGGACATCTGGAAGGCTGGCCTACTCAGCTTCAGCTAAAACCAAAAATACAATGATACCAATCTTTTAAACTTATGAAGGTCCAGGAATTCAAATATCTGCACAAATTATTTCCCCCTCCTCACTCACTCTTCATGTACAAAGTTAGCATTTTCAAAATTGCTTATGCAATATAATACAATTCCCTACTTTGTGTCCTCACCTAGGTGAGTGCAAGTTAAGATTCTGCAAGGGTACACAGGATTACAAGGCCCTGAACTGTGTTGTTTTCAAAATACTTCTAAAAGCTTTTTTGTGATAATAAATCCTGCTACATTAACTTCGCTTTATCATATGTCTGTGGTAAACTTACATAAACCAATGATGTCGGTTACATGGCCAGAATTCATGTTATGAAATTCACGTCTAAGTTTCTGAAAACCATTATGAAATCTTATGCAGGTGAAGCACGCAAGGATAAAAGAGCATCAAAATTATGAAAGAGATAGAGCCACGATGCAAGATGAGCATAATAATTTTTTAGGAAATGAACTAAGTGAAATGACATCAGGAATTACAACCCTACTCTTGGATCTTATGTTTTGTTGCTGATGCTACTAGAACTGCTAGCACCATTTAAAACTAATACTGTACTAAAGATACTGAGAATGGTATTCTGACACCCTATTTCCATCTGCAAAATGTTGGAGGGTATTTTTTCTCATGGCTGATGCTATTCACAAATGTACAGTGCATGTAAGTAATGGGTAGATCTGAGATCTGAACTTAATTTGTGCTAGAAGCCACCAGGGCTTACGCCTATTAGGTGGTTGTAAAGTTTGATTCTGAGGTGATTTTGAATTGTGTCGGGTGGGAACATCTTTACTTTTTTGTCCTTCTCACCCTGTTGTCAAACCCACACAGGTGGCTAATTCGCTTGCCTGCTTATCTTCTCAATGTTTTATTGCTGGGCCCAGTCATTACTGGGGCTCCCTTGTGCTCACAGAACAAGAAAGACATATTGCATGAAGATGTGAAGCATAATAATAAACAAAAAAACAGTTGTTGCCATGCCAACAGAGCTAAAACTTCGTACAGAAAATACAGCAACAATGCCCTCTATCGTCTGTACCTCATCAATTACGAACAAATCTCATTGAAATAAGGAGGCTGCTGCAATCGGCACTTCGTTCCAAATCTTGTTTCCAATTGTATCTGAAAAGTACGGTACTCCACTTCCCAAGATGCCCCCGCAAAACACATACACATGAAGTTATAAAGATAAAGACAGCAAAACCATCCTGTAAAATCTCTTGCTTATATTTTGACAAATGTCTCACAATCTTCTTCATAATTTCTCCTCCATCGCTATTGGATCCTCCCTCCCCCCCCCTTTAAATGCAAGCCACTCACATGCACATCCCAATAGTATTTTCAGTTGATCTCTCAGTAGGGGGGGATTTTTGGATCATATACAACTTCAGCTAGATCAAAGTTAGTACTGTATCTCAAAAGTTAGATTCCTGTCTCCCATTGCAGAAAGTGTGTGTGTGTGTGTGTGTGTGTGTGTGTATGCGCATGTATGCTTGAGACTGCATCAATTATATTTTTCCTAAACTACGCAATACTAGAAGATGAGGAAGTGTATACATGTGGGAAACACATGCACATTAATACCAAGACAAACTGAAGTGGAAAGAAATGTACCAAGGGATACTGGGGCAGATGTACCCTGAGTATTACTACTATGACAAAGTACAGTGGTACCTTGGTTCTCAAACATCTTGGTACTCAAACAACTTGGACCCAAACATGGCAAACCTGGAAGTAAGTGTTCCAGTTTGCAAACCTTTTTTTTGGAAGTCGAACATGCTCCGTTTTGAGTGTTACGCTTCCGTTTTGAGTGCCACGCTTCCCTTTTGAGTGTTATGCTGAGGTCTGTTTCTGCTATTTATTTTGTATTTTTGTTTTTGCGGCTCTTTTTTTTGTTTTTGTGACTGTGTGGAACCCAGTTCAGCTACTGATTGATTGTGTGACTGCAGTACATTGCTTATTGCTTTCATTTTATGGACCAATGGTCTTGTGAGATAGTAAAATGCATGTTAAATTGCTGTTTTAGGAGTTGCTTTTAAAAGTCTGCAACAGATTGATCCATTTTGCATTACTTTCTATGGGAAAGTGTGCCTTGGTTTTGGAACACTTTGGTTTTGGAACGGACTTCCAAAATGGATTAAGTTTGAGAACCAAAGCACACTGTGGATGCAGGAGAGATTTGGAGCTCTCATATTATTATTTCTAAAAGGTGGCCAAGGGTAGTATGTGATCTTTTATTTCCTGTAAACCTTTCTCAACCCCATTGTCTGGCTGCACTTCCTTATTTGAAAAAATCCCATAGAAGGAGTTATCTCATGATTTCTTCCCCTGGGCTTTGATTGAATCAGTGGCAGAGGGCAAAGGGGAGGACATTGAGGGCACTGAGGAGATGTTTTGTAGAATGGGAAAAAATGTCACCCACCAAGCATAAATTAGCCACTTCAAAAGTAAAGTAAGCATGGCAAAAAAAAGACCTGCACCCCACCCACAATAATTTTACCAAAAACCCCTCCCCTTTTCAATAATTTTGGTTGGGGGAAAAACATGAGAGAATATTTTGGCACAGCACTATAATTACCTAAGCAGTTTGGTGGGCAGCCTAGTTTGTAGAGGGAAGAAAAGAAAATAGCAAGTATATTGCATAAGCATCTGAAGGACCAGTTGTGTGCAATTAAAGCAATATGTCTATCCACGAAAATAGATGACAACTGGCCCTTGCAGCTACAACTTAAGCAATTAACCTTCGCATACCAAATCACAATGAAGTCCAAGAAGAGCCACAGAGCCTAGGACTTGCCGATCAGAAGGTTGGCGGTTCAAATCCCCGCGACAGGGTGAGCTCCCATTGCTCGGACCCTGTTCCTGCCAACCTAGCAGTTCGAAAGCACATCAAAGTGCAAGTAGATAAATAGGTACCACTCCAGCGGGAAGGCAAACGGCATTTCTGTGTGCTGCTCTGGTTCGCCAGAAGCGGCTTCATCATGCTGGCCACATGACCCGGAAGCTGTACGCCGGCTCTCTTGGCCACAACCCCAGAGTCGGTCACGACTGGACCTAATGGTCAGGGGTCCCTTTATCCCATCAGTCCCAGCCAGCATGGACAATGGTCAGAGGAGTTGGGGCTTGTAGTCTAACCATAACTGGAGGATCACAGATGTCTCACCAATGCTCTACTGGGTGCTATGTAGGTTTTATGCTACACCTAGGACTGCTAATAATGGGTTAAAAAAAAACCCTGAGGGGAATATGCTTTTGTAAGGTGATCTTGTCCCTTTAACAATTTATCCATTCCCCCCTAAACAATTTTAGCATTTTGGCCTTTTAAAACAACAGATGCCGCATGCGAGTATGAAAACTGCAAGACTAGCAGAAATTCCAGTTCAGCATAGTTGTAACATTCAGGCCACCAATCAGCAAAGGCATTGATTAAAACACTTTGCCTGGGTAATGAGTTGCAGCTGTAGCATGGAGTCTCTGAATAGGACCCATGGAGATAGCTACTCCCTCTGCAGCTGGTGATGTCAGCACAGCTGTGGCAGCTGTGGAAAGAGCAGCCATTGGTGAGGCATCTGCATGTTAGCTGACTTTGCCCATTCACAAAGAAGAGTAGTGAAACACAAGCCACCCACATGCAATGCAAGTACAAAATGGTCTCCTGAAAGGTGTCAAGGCCTGTAGTAAGTTGACAATCCACTCGTAGGTCATGCCGCAGGGCGAAGGACAAGTGTGATCATTTCAACAGCATCAATTCCATCTCATTTCAAGCAATGCTCAAAAATCCATGAAGCACAATGTGGAAAAGCCAACTGTAGGAAAGCTGTTCACGTTTTCCTATATGAAGGGTATTTGGGGGCATGAAGCTCTTGCTCTAACCAGGTTGGGCATTGTGAATGGAAAACCCACGATGAGCAGAATGCCACTTCAACTTAATGAATGAAAACACTAAATGCAGGAGAGCAGGGACCAGACCTCTTCCACTTCATGCTAAATAAGAAAATGTGAAGAAGATTGCCTTCTTATTGGAAATCCTTGCACTATTCCAATTTACAGACATGAAGTGATAAGTGTAAGAGAATGAGATGATTGGCCTTACTCTGTAAGACAGTGCAACCTCACATGAAGCCCTTGAACCAGTCACAATCTCCTTCCCTGGCTCCTACTTCATGGTAATTTACCATCCCTCTGCTAGAGTGGTTTGTGCCAGGCTACTTTCTACACTTATGATATATAGAATGGGTGGCCATGTTAGTTTGTTTTAACAAAAACAACAAAGTATCATGCTGCCATAAAGACACGACTAAGTAGACCCTGGGATGCGGGTGGTGCTATGGGTTAAACCACAGAGCCTAGGACTTGCCGATCAGAAGGTCAGCAGTTCGAATCCCCACGACGGGGTGAGCTCCCGTTGCTTGGTCCCTGCTCCTGCCAACCTAGCAGCTCAAAAGCACATCAAAGTGCAAGTAGATAAATAGGTATGTCTCCGGTGGGAAGGTAAACAGCGTTTCTGTGCGCTGCTCTAGTTAGCCAGAAGCAGCTTAGTCCTGCTGGCCACATGACCCGGAAGCTGTACGCCGGCTCCCTCGGCCAATAAAGCGAGATGAGCGCCGCAACCCCAGAGTTGGTCACGACTGGACCTAATGGTCAGAGGTCCCTTTACCCTTATTACCATAAAGACACGACTAAGTAGACCCTGGCCCATGAAAGATTATGCCAGCCCTTCCTTTGCCTACCTGGTGACTTCCAGATGTTTAGGACTATAACTCCCATCTAGCTGGGACAGAAAGGAGAGCATGGCTGGGGTGGATAAAGGCTGCATAGAAGCATCAAAGCATTACAATATTGACAGTTTTATGGTAGGCTAGTTCTGTGCTCCCCACTGGAATTCAATCCAGTGAACAGCAGCTCTGAAATCAATAGATGTTTGCACAGTATTAAGTCCAGTTTACCATTGCAGCCCTATGAGTACTTCCTTGGGAATAAGTCTCATTAAACTCAACAAGACTCCGGAGTGAATGCATAGGATAGGGCTGTAAATCTATTTTCCTGTTGGGTTACGCTCACACATCCTCTAGCCTAGTCGTTTGTTCCTTACTCTCATTTCTGAAACCTTACTGCCCTCTACTGTCACTTAAAATGGCAGCAACTACATTTGTCACAAAACAGCTTCAGCCCAGGTAAGACAACAGTCCACTAGCCCTGGATACCACAGTCATCCACGGATGCCATGAAGGACAGAGCAGAAGCCAAACACAGAAAGACTTCAAACATGGGTTTTAATAGTCCATATTTTCAAAATCTTCAGAGAAATTCTACTTGCAGCAAAATGCAGATGCAAACAAACATATAACAGCAATACAGTACTCAACCTACTCCCATGAACACAGAATACTGCCTCATATCAAGTCAATCCCAGATGGTACCCTCTGCACTGACCAGCAGCAGGTCTCCGGGGTTTCATGACAGTGTTGCCGCCACCCCAGGTGGAGACGTTGGAGAGCAAACCTGGGACCATTTGCAAGCGAAGCTTGTGCTCTAATACACTGTAATGGCCCTTCCTCTAATACTATTCTCACAACCACACTGTGAGGCCGGTACTAGGTTAGTTTGAGAAACAGTGACTGGCCCGAGGTCACTCAATGAGTATTGCTGGGGGTTGGACTAGATGATCCTCAGGGTCCCTTCCAACTCTGATTCTGGGATTTCTGTTTTGAGTTTCATAGGTTGGCAATATGACCCTGGGCCCCGCTGCTACACGTATTTGCATATCATATCAAGAGATCACAGAGGTTTTAATCCATATCATCTTCTCTGTAGACACCCAGAAACTAAATATTGTCCAGATCAGCGACATGAAAGGGAAGCAGACGCGAAATATTTTTTATTTCGCCATTTTACTTCCGAAGTTGGAAACCTGGCCTCTGCCCCCACCCCACCCCCCACCCCTCGAAGGGAATGCAATTCTATCCTTTTCTGGCTCGTCAGTTCCGCGCTGCAAAGCGGAGCATCATGTGCGAGGGGGCGGAGGCAGTGCGTTTTAATTACTTGCTCTGAACTTAGCCGCAGGAGAAGTATTGGAAAGCGAGCCACTCACTCACCAACCTGGATTGCAGCTTCCAGCCTCAGACTTGGCTTCTCCTCGCTGCTCTCGCTCATCGCTCAAAGACCGGGGCAAGGACCGGCCAGAGAGGCTGAGCGGCTCTTCTCGGGACTTGCAAAATAAGAGGGAATGGTGCACACGCGGGTCGGAAGTCCGCTCCCTGGAGAGAGAGTTTGCAGGCCTGCAGTGCCGGCGACTCCCTGCGGAACCTTCTCCGCTGCCTTCAGGAATGGAGGACGCACGCGGCGGGGCCCGGCCGCGGTTGCTAAGACAACGGGGACGCCGAGTACCCCTTGTCGCCATGGAAACAGAACGCGGCCCGGGGTTGCCGCGGAAACCAAAGGGACGCGGGAAGCGGAACTGTTTCACCGGGCCCGGCGAAGGAGAAAGCGGGAGAACTTTTCTCCCCACTGTTGGGCGGGAAGGTTGGTCCCATGGTAATAATAATGTAATTAATTGCACACTGCAGCCTTAGGAAATAAGTACAATAGAAATAAACATATTCCATAGTTAGGGTTGGAAGATACAACTTTACGGAATACTCTCTCTCTCGCTTAATAGTATTTCTAAACTGACTCTCAACATAAGTATGCAGGGCAATGTAACTTCCCTCATGCCCAGAGGGCTGCATCAATCCATTTTGCCTTCCACCCCCACCCCCCATTCTACCACTTGGTCCTCTCTCTGCCTACGTTAAGCAAAGGAGTCTCTCCTATATGCCAGGTACTCATCATGGAAAACAAATAGAAAGGAGTGGCAGGAATGCCCATTTAGTGACTGGTAAGAGCCTTTTGCTTTTGCTCTCCACCTTCCCTAGATGGAAAGTGTTGGAATGCCATTGCTGCACAGCTGCAACTAATTTAACTAATTCAGCCCTCTCAGTGAAACATTTTGCTCCTGAAGCTTCTCCAACCCCCTCCTCCCATTTTGGTTTTATTTAAATTTGCCCAAAAATATTCAACTCCCCATTCCAATCTCCTCCTTCTGTGCTGCAGGATAGGCTGGTATTGATTTTAAAAATAAGCTTGATAAGAGGGAATGAAAATTATTTAAAATTTTCTGCTTCAGTGAATGGCCCTTTCTAAACCCACACAGCTCTGCCACACCCACTAGTGTGGACAAAACACAGTGGTGTAGACACAGAAATAAAAGTTAACAACAACAACTTATTACTTATACCCATCCATGTGGCCGGGCCTCCTCAGCTACTCGGGGTGGCTTCCAAAACATCAAACATTAAAAACTTCCCTAAACAGGGCTGCCTTCAGATCTCTTCTAAAAGCCAGGTAGTTGTTTATTTCCTTGAAATCTGGTGGGAGGGTGTTCCACAGGGCAAGTGCCACTACAGAGAAAGCCCTCTGCCTGGTTCCCTGTAACATAATTCCTGTTACTGTAGACTGTCTGCTTACAGTGGAAGAGCTGTGACTTAGGAGAGCTAGGAGCCCTTTGTCTGGAAACAACTTAAATTTCAAGGCTGTATGGATTTTGTTTAAGAGTAAGATACACCAGTTAAATAATTCAACATAATTTAAGTTGTGATCTCCAGGACTATTATTACGTCTTGAAACACAACAGTGGGTAGAGAGAATTAATGCAGTCCTTGCTAATTAGCAATCCCAATAAATAATTCTGCGCTACATTAAGACTGAGTTTATTGCAGCATAAACATTTGTCATCTGGAGTCCACCTTGTTAGATGCATGCAGTGATCTAGAATGTTGTCATCACTATATATCAGCTTTTACATTCCCAGCAAACAACATGTTTTGATTTCTCATCACATTAAGTGCTACTGCATTTGGATAAATTAAGGAACATTTAGTGTATTTCCATCCTCTCTTCCTATGCAAAACATATGACACATTATGAAGCCAGTGCAGCTGTAGCAAAGCGTATCATTTGCTTTTGGTGTTTTAGGATCTGACCAGCATATGAGACACACATAAAAATGGACAGGAAGCAAGGTTGAATCCATAAATGCAGGAGAGTCATCCACAGGTCAGCAACTCAGTGCAAGTAAAGCTCAGTTTTATACGATTCCCTGTGTTTGATGAGCAGGACACAAAATATTGTCCAATAAATTTGCCACAAAACATTTGTCAGACTTTAAGGTACCATAGGATAGTCTTACAACAAGCTATCCTGTTTCCCCTGGAATTCAAAACTAAGGCTATGTGCACACTCTCGTTTACTCTACATCCAGCACACTCCCACCACTGGTTTGTGAAACCATGTGCACATTATGTTAGCCATGACCCACATCTATCCTGTACTTCATTGAGAAATGCTGCATTTTGACATGTTTTCCCCCAAATCAGCTTTAATATGATTTGGAAACCAAAGCTATATGAAGACATCTACACACCCTTTCTTCCCACTGGTGTGGACAGACGAAGGGTGACTTGGAATCATAGAATCATAGACTTGGAAGGATCTAAGAGGGTCATCTAGTCGAACACCCAATCTTTTGCCCAATGTGGGGCTCAGACCCATGAACCTGATATTAAGAGTATCATGCTCTACCGACTGAGCTATTTGGAAACACATCCAGCTGTCCTGATATGTACAACCACAGGAGCCAACTCCTAGGGGCCAATGTCCCTTTAGCCTCCGTCTCCATAAAATATTTGAGGAGGCCAATCCCCCCCAAAAAGGTTGATGGGCATTGCCATTCAAATGGTGTGTGTTTGCCGTGCCTTGTGATCCATTGTGCAAGAGGGGCTTACCTGCCCCCTCCAATATTGTATTCAAGTGGGCACCCCTGCGTACAACGATGGGCAAGTGCAATTTGAAACACAGCAGGGGGAGACATCATTGCTGCATTTTAAACTGGTAATGTATACATAGCCTCAGGCTAGAGCTCCAGCTCAGCTATTAGTAATTAAGGCTGCAGTCCTAGACACATTCACTAAAGCTTCACTGGACTCAGTCAGATTTTATGCATGAGCTGCATATTTCTTAACAATGTTACTAATAAGCAATTAATCAAGTTCCTGATTGTTCCCTTCTTACTTGTCAAATGTTCACATTCTTCCTCTGCTATGAGCTCATCCTGCCTAGCAACATTTTTCACTTTAGTGCATACATATAGTATAATTAAAGAATACCTTTTCTGGCCAGGTCTCTATCTTCTATTTACATTTGTTTGGTGTAATCCATAAATATATTTTCGTTGGGTGGGTGGGTGGAATCTTAGATTACATACACAGACGTGTACATCATGATGAATCTTTAAGATATTTTACACCCTTCACTGGAATGCACATCAGTTTTACTGGAAAGGTTTACAAATCTTGTGTCTAATGGAAAAATGAGAGCAAAGCAAAATACCTTCAGCATTTTTGGAACATTCCCTTCCTAGTATCTGTGGATGATGCGCCTTGCTACCCATACCCGCTCCAGTGATTTGTGTTTGTGCAACTTTCAAGGCAGGGTAAGGAGAAACTGTTGCCAATGAGAGAGCTAAAAGAGAGTGGCTACTCTGGCTTAGTAGCTTGTGCTGGCCTACACAAACATAGCTTTTCATACCACTAGATGAAAATAAAAAAATAAGCTAAACATTTGAAGTTAACAGTTGGCCCAAGCCATTCCTTCTCAGTCTGATCTAGCTACTTCCCAGGGTCTGCCCAAGTTCCTTGGAAGTAAGACACAATTGTAGAAAATAATTGTAGCACCGCCAACACTTTGGAACCCCCTGTCTAGTGATACCAGTCAGGCGCCTTCACTGTATTCTTTTTGGCACTTGCTGAAGATATTCCTATTTAGATATGCCCAGTGGTTTTTTCTGGGGGTATGCAGGGGTACACATAAGGTAAAGGGACCCCTGACCATTAGGTCCAGTCGTGGCTGACTCTGGGGTTGCGGTGCTCATCTCACTCTATAGGCCAAGGGAGCCAGTGTACAGCTTCCAGGTCCTGTGGCCAGCATGACCAAGCTGCTTCTGGAGAATCAGAGCAGCGCACAGAAATGCCATTTACCTTCCCACAAGAGTGGAACCTATTTATCTACTTGCACTTTGATGTGCTTTCGAACTGCTAGGTTGGCAGGAGCTGGGACTGAGCAACGGGAGCTCACCCCGTCGCGGGGATTTGAACCGCCAACCTTCTGATCAGCAAGTCCTAGGCTCTGTGGTTTAACCCACAGCGCCACCTGCGTCCCCTAGGAGTACAAATACCCCTAAACATTTTGTTAATCTTTGTACTTTTGTCCATTTACGGTGGCACCTCTGGTTACGTACTTAATCGTTCTGGAGGTCCGTTCTTAACCTAAACTCTTCTTAAACTGAAACACCACTTTAGCTAATGGGGCCTCCCGCTGGCACCACGCCTCCAGAGCACGATTTCTGTTCTCATCATGAAGCAAAGTTCTTAACCCGAGGTACTATTTCTGGATTAGTGGAGTCTGTAACCTGAAGCATATTTAACCTGAAGCGTATGTAACCCGAGGTACCACTGTACTGTATTTATTTTCCCCTGATTTGAACTATAAAATGGTGGTTTTCTTGAGTCAAAATGAGAATACTCCTAAACATTTTTTTCAGAAAAAAAGCACTGGATACACTTACCCAGATGTTTAGACAGTTTTAATTTGCTTTAATATATTTTATTGTGGTTTTAACTTTCTGCATATTAGGAATTATGGTTGTAAAGTTTTTTTAGTTATAATTTTGCTGTTTTATCTTTTGTAAACCACTTTGAGGTTTTTCCTACAATCAAGCTGCATATAATTTTTATCCTGCTCCAGGTTTTACAGTATTTAATTGATTTTAGTAGTTTTGATTTGCCTTTGGGGCTCTACCATTAGGCAGAGGCAGGCACTCACCTCAGGTGACAGATGCTGGTTAAGCTAGTGGTATCTGGCATCTGGCTGTTCACTTTGAGACCCTCTTCATTCCCCTTTCAGATCTGTGTGTGCCCCTACTATGCACCCCCTAAACAAGTCTGTTCTTGTCCTCAGGTGCAGCGGAGGAGGCTATCTCATTGCCAGTGCTGAAGTTAAATTCACCTTGTCAGCTTCAGAACGTGAAGGCACCATCTTGTCCTTTGCCTGAGATGGGAAAATGACTTTGACTGGTCTCGTTGTTGTTTGGTTTACATTTGATGTGTTTTCATATGAATTTCTATGTTGTAAGCTGGTTTGAGTTTATTTTATAAAGAAAAGGAGGACTTAAAATTCTAAATAAAAAAGCAAATTAAAAAATGCTAGTTACAGACAGGTAGCCGTGTTGGTCTGCCATAGTCAAAACAAAAAAAAATTCCTTCCAGTAGCACCTTAAGGACCAACTAAGTTAGTTCTTGGTATGAGCTTTCGTGTGCATGCACACTTCTTCAGATACACTGAAACAGAAGTTGCCAGATCCTTCTATATAGTGAGAAGGTGGGGAGGGGTATTACTCAGAAGGGTGGTGGGAATGGGTGATTGGCAGATAGCTGTGATGAGCCTGTTGACGACTCTTAACGACTGCAATAGGTCTTACAGGAAAAAGCAAGGGGTGAGAAGGTGAAAAATGGCTTTGTCATGTATAATGAGATAAGAATCCAATGTCTTTGTTCAGACCAGGTCTCTCCATGGTTTTAAGTTTGGTAATGAGTTGCAATTCAGCAGCTTCTCTTTCCAGTCTTGACATCAAGAATCACAAGACAGAGAAACCAGTAGGAGAACACTTCAATCTCCCAGGACATTCTATACAAGATCTCAAAGTAGCTGTTTTACTACAAAGGAATTTCAGAAATAGACTGGAAAGAGAAGCTCATCACAGCTATCTGCCAATCACCCATTCCCACCACCCTTCTGAGTAATACCCCTCCCCACCTTCTCACTATATAGAAGGATCTGGCAACTTCTGTTTCAGTGTATCTGAAGAAGTGTGCATGCACACGAAAGCTCATACCAAGAACTAACTTAGTTTGTCTTTAAGGTGCTACTGGAAGGATTTTTTTTTTGTTTTAAAAAATGCTAGTAAGTGCATTCCCTTTAAATCTGAGGGGGATGCAGGAAACGAATTTATATAGGCCATCAGCGTCATTAGCTATCAGAGTCCCTTTTTGCGTATGTCACCCTCTTCCAATTGGATTTAAGTGTATGGTTCATGACAGGGATGTGGGCGAAATTTAATTTAGTTTGCATTTATGTGAACCAAGATTGAGCAATCCTTCAAAATTTGTGCTTCTCTTAATTTTGCAATGTAGTTCTCCAGCCAAGTAATGTGAACAAACATCCATATAAAGTATGCACAAAAGCCACATACTTGTGAAAAGAATATACAGAAATGCATTATGTTACGGAAAATATTAGGGAAACATTCTTTGAAAAAACCGTATATTGGGCACAATTGCATACAAAAATGTGTAATAGTCATTCAGAAATATGAATTTTCATAATCTATATTTTTAAAATTGCAATCTGATGTGGCGATGTGGAGAGCTGATCTTAAGACTGGAATAACGAGCAACTGAGATGGAAACTTACACATTCTCCCATGCTTTTTAATCTACAGTATTAGAAGCGAATTTCATTTCCCATTCATTCGAAATGTTGGTGAGGGTTTGTTAATGGTTGCAAGCTGCAAATCGTACTGAGTTTAAATCACACGAATTCATAGAGTCACTTCTCCAGCTGGCGTGGGTTAGGTCTACTTTAATATCAATGAGCCATGTGGACTTATACCAGTTAGCCCAGTTTTTCAGGCTTGCTGGGTGGGATGATTCTGCGGTATTAGAATAGGTAGCCAGACAACCGGGTGTCTCAGTTGGCTCACCTGAACGTACCAGTTTCACAATGACTATTTTAAAATAGCTTGGCACTCTATCAACTATGTAACAGGAAAACATTAGGTTTATTCACACTTCAGTGGAATTCCTCTTTATATGCTACTCCTCCCTGCTCCAGCCCACTTTGCCTTGCCTATCTCCTCCCACCTGCAGGCATATCTTTGTGTGTGCAGCTGCATCAATGTTTGTGTCTGCTTCAGAAACAGCAGAGGAGCTTTCGGGAGGGGTTTCTTCTGTGCCACGCTTCAGCCATGGCCGCAAAGGTTGTTCACTGGAAGAGCTATCTCCAGGTGATTCTGTCCCGTGAAAGCCGGAGAGTTGAGTGTTTCCAGAAAGCAGAGAACATTCTGCTTATTGTACTGGAGAGAGTCAATGCGATGGACCCCAGGTTTATAGTGGATTATTCAAGAAACCTGGAAGCCTTGGAATTTGCCCTCTCTGCTGCCGAGGATGAAGTAAGCATGGAGGTTCCCTTGTGTATCGATGCGGATGCCCTCTTGATGCAGGAGTGTTCAGGTGAACAGAGCGACTCCGAGAAAGTTACCCGTGGGAACTACCAGATGCCAGGATCTTGCTATGTAGGAGTACCTAAGGAAGGTGCTCACCCTGAAAACTGGACCAAAGAAGATGTATTCAGTGCGGTGGGTGGTACTGAATCCAGTGGCCACATTGTGCCAGGCAAGGTCCTTCATCTCCTGAAAGAATTGATCATTGCTGCGATTGTGCATTGCAGACACCAGTCCCTTATCAAACCAGGTACTTGTCTGAAACGGAAACAAACAAGGTGTGTCTGTGGGTGGGTGTGTAAGAGAGAGAAAAAGAGACAGGCAGAAAGAAAAAGACAGACAAGTAGGGGCTGGGAATTAATTCTTTGGAACTTCTGAGTCAACATGCATAGTATAAGACTTAACGAGAGGGAAAGGAGAGAAGATCGGAGGAACAATACAGCAGGAGACCAGATATAGGTGGTCACTCTCAGATGAGCATGTTCTTAAGCTAGAACACATACATAATATCACCCCAGTGTGACTGAGATCGAGGTGCCAGGATATGTTTATACTTGAAGGGTATTCTCACAGACCTTGAATTGTACAGTATATAAGGTGGCATATAAATGTTTAAATAAACTGCACACTCTCACACCCCTATGTGCAATGATGGTAATGGAAAGGAGGGAAAGCTGTAGGCATGAGAATTTCTTTCTGTACAGAGTGCATGCTGAACCCCTGTTTCAGCTCCAGTTAAGTGCACTTCTGCCCTGATGGTTTTCCCTGTTGCCTATGGCACAGCTGTTTAGTGATGGCTTTATTTGTCACTAAACATGGTAGAAGCAAGCTGATCCAATTACAGTAAGCTAACTGTGCATCTGATTCCCAGGGAGAAACTTGTGTGCTTCTCCTCTTCCTGCTGACAGTCTGCACACTGGTTCCAGTTAGAAACTCTCCGCTCTCTCTTTTCCAAAAATCAAACTGCAGACTGCACCTCTGCCCCTTTCTCTAACTCCAAGGGTTGTCATGTGCTGAAGGCTGGTTCCCAGGCCATTAGGAAAATCCCCTTCTGTCATTATCAGGACCATTATGATTCTTTGATTAATATCCCTAATCACTCATTCACAGCCATAATGACAGTGAAGCTCACAATATATTATTCTGCAGTACCCTTTGCCCTGTCTTCGCTGCATGGAAACAAACACCCAGGTAGCCCTGGCCTGTTTCATGTTCCAGGAAAGCCCTGCACTTGGTTTCTGTTTGCTTTTTGACAAGCACATTTTTCTGTTGATCTGTTTGTTGATTTTTCAGTCTGTTTTGTGCATGCTGTTACACCCCATGACAGTTGTGCCTCACCGCATTGTTGCAGGTGCCTTATGTCAAACTAGGAAAGAATCCATTCCGAAAAATGAATCAGGGTTTCATGGGGTTGCTGGGTCTCAGGGCCTGACTCAGAGCCTTAGGGATCTCTGAGCTTCCTACCTCTGGTTTCATGATCCTTTCAGTCAGGTTTGGCAAGGAGGGAAGACTTGCTGGCCTGGAGCAAGAGAACTTCTTGCAAGAGGAGAATTTTCACAGAACACCCAGTAGAGGTAGCTTGACGTTGTAAATGTTATTTAGGCTGCAATTCTGTCCATGCATTCTTGGGAATGAGAATAAGTACTATTGAACTCTGTGGGACTTCTGAGTCCCACAATGCATAGGATTGCACAGTAAACTATGCTTATTGGGGAGCTGGGTAGAATAATACTCACAGCACATATTTTTTTCTGTATAAAACTGGGTATTCATGAATGGAGCCTGAAATATACTGGATTGGGGCTAAGACCCCACAGGCTGCCTGGCAATTCCATCCCCGGAGCGTTAGATCTTATTTATTATTTTTCTGTACCATACTTCAGTAAAAAAAAAATATCCATGAAATTTTCAAAAATAAATAAATAATAGAAGTGTACTAAAAAAAATCTACAAAACAGCTACTCAATCAGCAAAATACGGGCATCAATAAAAGCAGAAACATGCTAGGAAAAGGCTAAGAAAGCAATCTTCACCTGTGGCCAAAAAGACATGAAAACAGGTTCGAAGTAAACTTCCCTGGGAAGAGTTCCATACTATAGGGGGTCCAGATCATGTCCCCGCACTTCAAGCTGTGAGACTACCGCTAACCGCACACACTTTTAAAGAGATGTCTGCTTACAGATTAGCCTGCCCATGTACTGCAGTTATTTTCAGCGTCCTTTCTCTAGGTGCTACCTACAATCTGGGGTAAGGTGGGTGATGACCAGAATGAGCCTCCTCTCTCGTATCAGGGCTGTGGCTAACTCTATATTGGCTCAAGGGCCCTATTCACCCTACCCCAATCCTCAATGTAGAGGCTGCACACCCAATGTAGTGGCTGTACACCAACAATCGGGGTGGTAGCCAGAGGGTAGGTATGGTCATTCTACGCATCTGCACATGTGTGTGTGTGTGTGTGTGTGTGTGTGCGCGCGCACACACACACACACACACACACACAAACACCCATGACTATCAGCTGGGAGGGAGGTCATCACCCTTTCCTGCTCAATAAATTATTGATCTGGTAACTAGGAAGGTGTGATTCACATTCTCATCAGGATGCTGCACTGCTCTGTTTTGTTGCCACTGACAGATTTGGTGAGACCTTGAAGGACTAGAAAAATGTGCTTTTTAACCAAGCCTTTGGTTGATATGCCCTTTTAATATTTTTTATTTTATTTTTTTGGAGGGGAGTTATTGAGTTGTTGTTTTTATTTTGAAAATGCATTTCGTGGTTTATATTTTGTGTTTATTCTGTGAACCGCCCTGAGACCTGCGGGTATAGGGCGGTATATAAATTAAATAAATAAATAAGCAAGCAAGCTGCACCAGGCTTCCATACATGGCATTATCTACCTCTGGCGTATATATATACTTATATGTTGTTTTCAAGTCATTTACTTGGTTCTTCTAATCTTATCTTTAAAGTGGTGTTTTGCTTCACAGAAAGGAGCTTAGAGGTATTGTTTCTTTATTTATATTTTTTTGTTTAAGACATTTATATGCCATTTAATCATTAGCTTTTCTAAGCAGCATACATAAAAACAAACCATGCAGAAAATGAAACAATAACAAAATGATCACAAAACCGAACGTGACCTTAAAATGCCTGCTGGAATTTACCACAAGCCAGATGAGCAGAAATCCAAATTTAGGCCATATCCATTATCCCTGCTACAGAGAGACAGATGAAGGTCATTTCTTTACTGCAGAACTAAGGCGAGGAAGAGCAGAACTGGCACAGAGGCCTGATGGCTTTGAATCCATCTTTCCACTTTCCAGAATTCCTATACATAGAGAGGCTTTCTCAGCAGTTTAGATTCGGATGTGCCGGACTATTTCTGGAACCTGGTTCATTGGTATAAATGGTGGGAAGTTTTGGCATCCTAACGTTTTGGAAAATGTGACTCTTTTTATGCTTCTAACAGCAGTATCTGGAAATTCTGGCTCTTAGGGATTCCGCATGCCAGAGATTCAGAATGCTATGTTCTGTATGTAGCATACATTCAGCTTGTGCCTACAATTTATTCCACAAATAGCTTGTAGGAGGACAGCTTTGCAGTTGTCACAATAATGCTAAATGAATAGGTCAGTCAAACTTTCCTAGCAACCTGCAATAATGAGAGACAAGTGGTAACAAGAACCAATCCTAAACTCTTAATCTTACATCATACAAATTTATTTTCTCCCCTCTAATTGCATTTGTTTGATTATGATATAAGGAACTCTTTGAGGTGCAGTTTTTTGGGGGGGAAATTAAAAGAAGGGAATTCAGAAGACAACAAATATATAGAAACAGTCTTTTTTGTCTAGGAATCTAAACTGGCTACAAAAAAACGAGGTAGGATGTAACTTCTTCAGAAGTGCGTGTGCAAAATGCAGTTCGGTAGATCACTGAATGAATGTTAAATGTGTAGAGAAGTTGGACACGCACTATTTGTTAGAAATTAACTATCATGACTTCAGTCCTGGGGTTTGGCCCTAACTCATACTGAAAGCCAGTGTGGTATAATGGTTCAGAGTGTTTGAGGACTGGGACATTCTCAGGGAAATGTTTGTTTACAAAGCTATTGTACTACCAACCTTACTATATGGTGTGAAACATGGACCACTTATAAATGCCATCTCCAACTCCTCGAAAGATTCCATCAATGGTGTCTCTGAAAAATTTTACACATCACTTGGGAAGAGAGGCGAACTAATGCCAGTGTACTGGAAGAAGCAAATATCACCAGTGTCGAAGCAATGATTCTTCAATATCAACTTTGTTCGACTGGTCATGTGGTTCGGATGCCTGATTATCGTCTTCCAAAGCAACTACTCTATTCCAAACTTAAAAATGGAAAGTGTAATGCTGGTGGTCAACAAAAGAGGTTTAAAGACTCTCTCAAGGCAAATCTTTAAAAATGTAGTATAAATACTGACATTTGGGAAACACTGACCTGCGAGCGCTGCAATTGGAGAACAGCCTTTACCAAAGGTGTCATGAACTTTGGGCGCTCGAACTCAGGACAAAAGGGAGAAACGTGCTAAGAGGAAGGCACATTTGGCAAACCCTCACTATGATCAACTTCTGCTCGGAAATCTATGTCCCCACTGTGGAAGGACGTGTGGATCCAGAATTGGCCTCCACAGTCAGTTATTGTCAGGATGTTGTCAGTGGCCCCCAGCTGGTTGCCCATGAAATTATAAAGACAAGGAAAACTTTCTTATAGTCCTTTTTTATTTCAATCTTTACAGAGAGAGGCTATAGAAACCAGCCTCTTGGATAATGACGTTATCCTGAGTGAATCTCCACTTCTCCATCTCTCCCACTTCCTCATTTATCACCCTCATCATCTCCTCTATAGGTGCTGCTATGTGCCGTCTGTCTTCGAGCCCTTTGCTCTCCTACTTTTAAGGCCTGCCAGGTTCTGGGAGATGGAGGGTGGAGACAGAATGGGGAGGGCAGAACCATATATACCACCTTGAGCTCTTTGGAGGGGAAAGTGGTATATAAATGTAGTAAATTAATTTTTAAGAAGACTGAGTGAGAATATTGCCACTGATTTAATGAAAGGGGGTGGGGAGTAACCTTGTAGCTAGGAACATATAGGGATTATATATGCATACTCCTTTGGCTATACGTATATTTATATATGTATACAATGGGGCACAATCTAGTAATAGTTTAGTCCTAGTTGTTCTGCTGATTCCAGTGTGGCTTAACTTAAATTTACTTTTGCTAAACCGTCTCCCAAGCAAATTATTCTTCTCTACAATAGGCCTTAAAATGCTTTGCTTGTTTTTTTTTGGGGGGGGCGGTTTAGATGAAGGTTGCTAATTGTGCCACTTCCCAGTTATACAAAGGATCTACATTGGTTCCTTTTCTGTTATTTCTGATGGGAGTATTGTTTCCAAAATAAACAAGACCACGGTGGGAGCCTGGAAAAGAGGCACTGGCGTGCATATCTCTAATTGCATTTATTCCCTTGACCCTCTCCAGGTGAACTCAGTGCTGAGAGGCTGAAGGATGATGACATGCAGCTGCCTTTGCTAGTGTCCAGTGGATGGAAAATGATCTGCTTCAATGTTGTCCCTGTAATAAGGAGAAAGCAGGATGTTCTGAAACTCAGCAACAATTGGCGAGAAAAGGGTTTCCCACAAAGCAGCATGAGCAAAGTCACTCAGGAAGCTGACTACATCCCTGCCAGTTACTATCACTGGAGGTAAAGTGCAATACTGTGTTGTTGCTATGAATGCTACCTTAGGGGAAAGGAGCATCTTTTAGAGTGTCTCAGCTGTCATGTCTTCTCTAGGATATGCATGTTGTGTAACTAGATTTCCCTTGAGTTGCGTGGAGGAGAACGAAGGGTCAAAATCCTACACGCTTCAGAAATCATATACAATGACCAATGAACTCCATACACCTCCTTTGTCACAAAACTGTTGTGTGCCTCTCTCCAGTCATGAGGCCTACAAACATCATCATCATCATCATCATCAGTACGTTTCCGAGCACAATTCAAAGTGTTTGTGCTGACCTTTAAAGCCCTAAATGGCCTTGGTCCTGAATACCTGAAGGAGCGTCTCCACCCCCATCATTCAGCCCAGACACTGAGATCCAGCGCCGAGGGCCTTCTGGCGGATCCCTTGCTGCGAGAAGTGAGGTTACAGGGAACCAGACAGAGGGCCTTCTCGGTGGTGCCCACCCTGTGGAACACCCTCCCTTCAGATGTCAAGGAAATAAGCAGCTATCCTATTTTTAAAAGACATCTGAAGGCAGCCCTGTTCAGGGAAGTTTTTAATATTTAACGCTGTACTGTTTTTAACACTTGATTGGGAGCTGCCCAGAGTGGCTGGGGAAACTCAGCCAGATGGGCGGGGTATAAATAATAAATTATTATTATTATTATTATTATTATTATTATTATTATTATTATTATTATCATCATCATCATCATCATCATCATCGTCATTATGGTAGGAATTAAATGAACGCCACCAATCATTTTCCTCTCTTTTTGTGAATCTGAAGAGTTCTAAGACAAGGTAGGGCAACAAACACAAAAGTTATTTTGTCAGTACTGCCAATTAACATTATAATCAGTTCTATCTAGAGTGAAACCTTTTTTTCCAGTCCAGGCTCCAGCTTAGCCTAACAAAATATTCAGGCATATTCATTCTGAAATGTGGATTTTGCTTTGGAATGGATTCATTCTTTATTTTATTATAAATATTTACATCCCATCTTTCTGTGTGAGTGTGGGTGGGTGGGTGTGTATTGCCCCTTTTTGTATCTAGCATTGTTTTTAGCTGCCTTGGGCATGATTCAAGCTAAAAGCAATGACAGATGCAACAACAACAACAAAAAAAGATGAAAACTGCTAAACAAGTGACTTTAAACAGCCATTTAGGTAATATCTTGGCCAATTCAGCATTAGGCCATTATCACCAATGAAGCAAAATCCATTTTTGTATTTCCGGTGTTTACAAAACTGAATTAAAAAGCTGTATTGGTGTACATTTAATTGGAGAACTGTGTGTGTACGCACTATGACACCCACAGCCAATGCACTGCAGACTAATGGACATTCTTAGCAACTTGTAATTTTTTAAAATACTGCAGCATGGAGTTTTGGCAAAATGCAAGATTTTTTTCTATTTGTAGGGAAATGCTTCTCCCTTCTGGGTCTGCTTCATCATGAAAATGCAAGCTACATCCTATCTCCTAATTATATACATTGGATACATGTATGCCAGGATGCTTTCAGTGTAGCTTATCCTGTCTTAGAATAGAGTATGAGAGCGATAATTAATTGGCTCCATATTTCTGCAAGAACATTTTATGTCAGATGATGACTCAAGGAATATTGGACCAAACAATGTCACAGAGTCAGTGCACTATGTTTGATAGCCTCTACTTTAAAGTTGTCAGAGATGATCGCTCTGCAGCTTTCCTAGGTAACTTGTTCAGGCATGAGATTCACCAGCATTATCACCTCCTAAAATCTTTGAAGGGTGGGAAGCGAGGAGGAGGCCAGCCTGGGTAGATCATGAGTATTTTAAGAAAGCAAGCAGATGTTATTTTAAATTCTTAATTGCTGTGCTTTTCACACGGGACTGTGAAGCTAATAATTTCTGCGTGGAAAGGTATAAAATATAGTATAGGTATAAAATATAGATTTGTCTGTGGGCCACAGGTTCCCCACCCCTGGACTACAAGAAAGTCCTGTATATTTCATTATAAATTATAAATGGATCCCTTTCGTGCATATTTATTTGCCTTCATCTATGCTCTAGGGCAGGGGTAGGCAACCTAGGGCCCGTGGGCTGGAGGCAGCCTAATCACCTTCTCAATCCGGTCCGCAGACGGTCCGGGAATCAGCGTGTTTTTACATGAGTAGAATGTGCCCTTTTATTTAAAATGCATCTCTGGGTTATTTGTGGGGCATAGGAATTCGTTCATTTTCCCCCAAAAAATATAGTCCGGCCTACCACATGGTCTGAGGGACGGTGGACCAGCCCACGGCTGAAAAAGGTTGCTGACCCCTGCTCTAGGGACAGAGCATTTGAAAAATGGTTCTAGGTGCATTTATGCAGCTAAAATTTGATTTATGCTGCTGAGTACCATAAACCGGCAGTGAGATGAGCTAATGAGTCTTCAGTGGATGCACAAGCAATCCTCGTTGTTTGGGTCCTCTGATAATCTATGTGGTCCAGAGGGCAGTTGGCCCTGACTAACTGCGGGTAATTGCCCTAGGTTTCTAGAATGTTTTCGTATGTCTTCCCATATGCCCTAAGTCATGAACTCATAAACAAGCTATTTCCACCCTGGGATGACCTGTAACCAGTTTTGTCCCTGTGAAGATAAGGGCTTATTCACAATTATGTTTTGCCCTACTCTTTCCAGACACAGGTCCACACTTAGAAGCTCCATGTCCAAGCAGTTTATCTGGGGGTTTTTGCCCTGAGTTTTCACCATGAAAACCTGCTCTTTAGCAGTCAGTTGGAGCAAACGTCAATTTGGATTTTCCATGGATTACTGTTTGCTCCGATTGAGCTTTAAAGAGTGAGTTTTGCAAGGAAAGCTCAGGTTTTGCAGGGAAAGCTTTTACACACTCAAACATGGAGCTTTTCGGCATGAACTATGCCGAAAAGAGTGGAGGGAAGTTAAGTGTGAATAACCCCCAAGTCAGTTCAACTAATATGAGACAGATCAGTGTACCGGTAATCTGCCTTTGTCAGGGTCATTCTCTCTTCTAGCCTGCTCTCACTGCCTGTTTTCTTAGAATACAAAATAGCTGTTCCTTAATGATAAAGTCCCCTGTTGACCAATATGGAAGGAGTAGATGGAGGAAGAAGAAGAGTTGTCTTGGCTGAAGTCAACAACTGACCCAGGAGATGTGTTGAGAATAGTTAACTACAGTATAAAGATCTAGCCGGAAGCAATTCAATGGGAAGGTTACACAGTAGGAAGGGGTCAGTTTGAAAGCATCTTTCTCTTTTAGATCTGTCATGGTGGTAAACCAAATCCCAAATTAATTTTGCATACATTCACTTAATCAATGTGTGCAAATATGAGAACTGAACATTTTGCCCTTCATCGACCCTTGAGCAGCAAGTTTTGAAGCCTTTGCTTTTTTTTGGCATTTGAATTTAAGATGAATTATGCTGTCAGTGTTGGGCGCCTTCAAACTTTACCTCACAAATCAGTATTTCTCCACAGTTCATGAAAGAGATGCATCTCCCACAGAGGTTAGAGGCAAAGCAGAAGAGCTATTTTGCCTGAACAAACTTGAAAGACTGTGGGCAGGATAGCCATGCCCAAAATCCAGACCACACATCTGTGAGGAACATGACTGAAGTATGGAGGGTTATGGGTTTGGCCATCACACTTGTGACTGATTTACATGTTACATCTTTGAAGGAATTTGCAGATAAAGGAGTGGCTCAAACATCTGCATACCTAAAACCAAAATAGCATACAGGGTTGTAACACTGGGAAAAGTCAACATGTGATGGGGAAATGGTATTGAATTGTTCTGACCCAACCCCTGCTTACTATGTCTATATAGCATATACATTCACAGAATCATATGTATATTTCTCTAATAATGCACAAGTGTTATCCCTCATAATTGAGGGATATTGTTCCTGCATTACTGTGCATATACGTACATATAGGACTCGTGAGTATGTTGTATGCCACAGAGACATTAGCAAATGCATGATAGCCCTGTCTATCATGACTTGACTGCCAAAGGTGATAGATAATCTTGCCTTTCGACAAATCTGTGTACTCAAGAATATGGGGATTTGGGGGGACTTGTATATGTCTGTGTAGCTGAGCTCTCTTCTGATGCTTTGCACGTTATGCTTATTTGCTGTGCTTGGAATCGATGTGTCCTTCCTTAGGGGAAAAAATGAAAGTTGGCAGTGACCAGATCACCACCTCTATTGGCCTAATAGCTTCAGTGTAGTCCTCCCCTCAGAGGGGGCTCAGCTTGGGATATTAATGTATTGACACAATCTACATCATGGAATGCCAATGTGAGTTTCATGCATTCCCCTCTGGTGTATTGGTTCCCCTCTGTAGTCAATTCTACCCTGAAATCCTCAAATATTTCAACTTCTAACCATATGTTTCTCTTGTTAGATATTCCACCAACCGTCCCATCCTGAAACTCATTCAGATTGTGAGCACCCTAAAGGGGTATCGTTTGGACAGCCTCCGCCTCCTTGATCAAGTCGCCCATGAGAACTGGAGAGAGGAAGGCAAGAAATGTGGGCTTGCATTTCACCACTTGAAGGTAGGTTTTTCTGGACTGTTAATCTCAGTCCTTTTGATGTGGCTTATTTGCCTTGCAGCAAGCTGTTGCTTGTGCAATGGGAGGCAGAACAGCAGCGTATGCTCCCTGGCAAGTATGCGGGGAAAACAAGCAGCTCTGCCTCATTTGTTATTTTAAAATCCCCACACCCAGTACTAAGAAGTACCAGGGCAGGGTTCTGCTGCTGTTTTTAACACCCGAATCTGTAAACAGCCTATAATATATTATATAATGATTGCTGCCCCCTCTCTGACGCTGTTTCCTGCAGAGGTGGAAAAGCCCATAGGGCAGCATATGTGTGCCATCTAAGAAGGTGAAGGTGGGGAAGCACTGGTCCAGAGCCACAGTGAGAAGGATGCTGTGACCTTTTATGTGCAAACCTGTTGGTTGCTCTCTCTGCACAGTGGCTCATATGAATGAGCTGCAGCAAAGCAGAGATTTGTCAATTACCCGCATGTATTAAAATACATTTGATTTTGGCCTCTCAGCCCTATACCCGGTTTGCAAATTGGGAATAAGGGAGATCTACATCACTTTCAGAATATCTGCTATTGAGTATTCAGTTTGCGAGGAGGTTATGCAATATTGGCTATTTATTAAGCATTAATTCTGATTTGTTTGTGGAAGTGTTACATGACGTTGGGTCAAGTAATTGTTACCCTATACATTCCAGTGCGTTTTTCAATAATTCAATAAAAGTCACATTTAGGAGGGGAGCAGGTTTTGTTGCACAAGAGATCCAAATTCACTTTAGTTAATCAACCTGAATTTTCTGGGATGTGATTGAATCCCAACCTGCAAATAGTGACCCTAATGTGAAGGCAAGCAGGTTAAATATTTAAAACTGGGAAAGTGTTGTGAAACTTGACGTGGTAATAATAATAATAATAATAATAATAATAATAATAATAATAATAAAAAATTTTATTTATATCCCGCCCTCCCCAGCCGAAGCCGGGCTCAGGGCGGCTAACAACACTAAAACAGTGCAACATTATAAAAACATTATAAAAATTAATTAAAATACAAATTGATGGCAACCATAAACTAAAGTTTTGTAAAGATTGCCAAAGGAGGGAGTCAGGCTGCACCCTGACCAAAGGCCTGGTGGAACAGCTCTGTCTTACAGGCCCTGCGAAAAGATGTCAAGTCCTGCAGGGCCCTTGTCTCTTGCGACAGAGCGTTCCACCAGGTTGGAGCCGCAGCCGAAAAAGCTCTGGCTCTAGTTGAGGCCAGCCTAACCTCTCTGTGGCCTGGGACCTTCAAGATGTTTTTATTTGAAGACCGTAAGTTCCTCTGTGGGGCATACCAGGAGAGGCGGTCCCGTAGGTACGAGGGTAGTCATTCTCAGATGTTTTCCTAATGAATCTAGGATCTCTCTTCCCTTCTCCTTTGTTTTACTTAATCCCAAATGCCATGGTAACATTTTGTTATTCTTGTTGTTACAATGAAGGCCAAAGTAGACATGATGTGGGAGTTTCAACTAAGCAACCGTGGTTGGGGTCAGGTGGTGTGGATTTTGTGTTTTTTTAAAGCTCCTCTGATGGTTCTTCAGTGCAGATCCCCCCTCCAAGCTGCTGTTAGTCATGGAGCACAAAACTTAAGTCTATATTTTCCTTTCCATTGTGAATACCTGCTTTGGTGGAAAGGCATGGAGCTAAGGGTTAAATCTCCTTTCCCCATCTACCATAGCTCTGCTCCAAATTGTGCCCCTTCTCCCCATAGCTCCTTTTTGAGAAAGAAGAAGGTTGAGGTTGAATCCTGACAAGACAGAAGTACTGTTTTGGGGGGACAGGGGGCGGGTGGGTGTGGAGGACTCCCAGCTCCTGAATGGGGTAACTGTGCCCCTGAAGGACCAGGTGTGCAGCCTGGGAGTCATTTTGTTCTCACAGCTGTCCATAGAGGTGCAAGTTAATTCTGTGTCCAGGGCAGCTGTCTACCAGCTTCTCCTGGTACGCAGGCTGAGACCCTACCTGCCCGCGGACTGTCTCGCCAGACTGGTGCATGCTCTAGTTATATCCTGCTTGGACTACTGCAATGTGCTCTACGTGGGGCTACCTTTGAAGGTGACCTGGAAACTGCAATTAATCCAGAATGTGGCAGCTAGACTGGTGACTGGGGGTGGCTGCCGGGACCACATAATACCAGTCCTGAGAGATCTGCATTGGCTCCCAGTACGTTTCCGAGCACAGTTCAAAGTGTTGGTGCTGACCTTTAAAGCCCTAAATCGCCTCAGTCCTGTATACCTGAAGGAGCGTCTCCACCCCCATCGTTCAGCCCAGACACTGAGATCCAGCGCCGAGGGTCTTCTGGTGGTTCCCTCAGTGTAAGAGGTGAAGTTACAGGGAACCAGGCAGAGGGCCTTCTCGGTAGTGGCGCCAGCCCTGTGGAACGCCCTCCCACCAGATGTCAAGGAAATAAGCAGCTATCTTATTTTTAAAAGACATCTGAAGGCAGCCCTGTTCAGGGAAGTTTTTAATATGTAATGCTGTATTGTTTTTAACACTTGATTGGGAGCCGCCCAGAGTGGCTGGGGAAACTCAGCCAGATAGGCGGGGTATAAATAAATTATTATTATTATTATTATTATTATTATTATTATTATTATTATTATATAAAATAATGGTGGGAGCAACATCTTTCTGCTTCACATGATTTGACTGGGAGATTATATTATGGGTGAACTGGGGTACTGCTTATGTCATTATTAGCCAACTTCACACTTTGAGAACTTTAGTTTTATAGTTCTGAAGCGCCAGTGTTAGGTTCCACATGCTGAGTTTAGGCTGTGCAGCACATTTTCTATATCGTTGCAAGCAACTTCAGACTTGATGCTTTTACAGTGCTGCAACATGGCAATAGCAGGACACCTACGTTGCTGTTTAGTTTGCATTTCATTTTGTGGGACGTGCTTCATCTCTCACCACTTCAGAATAGAGAACACAAAGCGGCAGAACATGTTTTACAAAATCCTGGATACATGCCATGTGGCTTACGGGCATCTTCTCGGAGTTGTTGCACTTTTTATTGTAGCTAGATGCAAGATTGTTCTAGGAACCAGGCCAATTTGAGAACAAACACATTTTATCTTGTTTTCGTTTGCTTTGTTTTCAAATTGTGTATTTACCGGTAATTGTCTTGAGTTTACAAAGCTTACCTGATTGGCCTTAACTTCATGAGTTGCTTTGGTTTGATAAAAAGCTGTTTGTGCTTCTCTTAATCATTAGAATAAGTGCCTAGGAAACATTAATGCAGTAACACACTTCCCAAGCAACAAGGATAAAGTTCCAGCTCAGCTAGGCCACCAATTTGAGTGTAATTTAGGGCTGACTAAATTGGGATAAATTTTGTACTGAACAAGCAAACCCTAACCCTGCCAGCTTATTCTAGGGGTGAAGAAAGGGCCAAGATGGCAGCTACTTAGAGCACATACACATGGTGCCTCCTGCATGATGCTCTTGCCATAGGTTGAGGGCAATAAGGAAGCAGAGGCAGAACTGTCACTCAGAGGACAATGACAAAAATGTTAAGGGCACCTGAACAGGGAATTCCTGTACTTACTTGATAGATTTGGGCAATCTATGTTGCGTGGACAGGCGGAGTCCCCAGATCCCGAGTGGTCCCCCCCCCGGCATGTGGAATAACGACTCTCGACAACGTGCTATGGGATTAAATTGGCCACAACTTTATTAAATTTCAAATGTGGGTAGACCTTGGCTCAGGCATTGGGCGTTCTCCCTCCCCAGTCCCCAGCCGGGGACCTAGGGAGCTTCAGGGTTATCCAGTGTGTGTGGGGGGGATGGGCTGGCTCTGGAGAACATATGTTCAAGCAGAGACAGCCGCCCCCGTTACGCCGCCGCCGCAGGCGAGAGCAATGACGACCTTTCGGCGTACGGTCAAAGCCTCCCTTCAGAAACCCCCTTTAACGGGGAACCCTGGTATCGCCGCCGCAAAGAGGAAGATGGACTAAAGGATTCCGCCCAAGGCCTGATACCACCAAAGTTGTGACATTTTGCTACGGGAAAGGTGAAACCTGCCAATGCAGGGAAATTCCTTTCCGGCCCTTTAACAGCGACCTTATCATAGCAGCGCCCGCATACCTGTGGAGAAAGGTTAACCTGCAAAACCTGTGAAGAAAAGTTAACCTGCAAAAGAAGACATTAACTGAGGGTGGGTAGGGTGGGAGACGCTCTGGAGCCAAGTGAGGATTACCAGGTAAGATCCTCCCTCTATTGTGTGGGCAGGTAATCCCTCCCCCTACCTGGTCTGGTTTCCCTGGCAATGCTTCCCCCAGGTGGGATTGGACAACTCCCTGAGGTAGGCGGTGACCTCCAGGTATCCCACCTGAGGGAAGGCAAAGCCTATGCTGATGGGGCCACTCCAGATCCAGGGCTGCACGCGTCCACGCAAAGGGCGCCCCCCGTTTTAAGCGGGGAGCGGTCATTCTGTACTTAAGGCAATATTTTATTCTCTTGTTAATTATGCTATTTTAAATGTGCAGTTCACATTTGACTTCCTTTAGTAATGTTTTCTTTTGAAATGGCTAAGATAATGTTTTTTAGTTAGCTCTGCTAAGTTAAATGTGCCTTCTGTAGTTGACCTCCTTTGTAATGTTTTATTTTGAAATCTTAAAGGTAATATTTTGATTTCTTGTTGCTTTCAATGTATACTTTATATTTGACTTTCTTCAGTAATGCTTTGTTCTGGGTTGTTTTAGTTGATGTTTTAATGTGTTGTAAAATGCTTTGAGATTTTTTAAAATTAAAAATATAAAGCGGTATAGAAATGAAATGAGTAAATACAGTGGTACCTCTAGTTACGTACTTAATTCGTTCCAGTGGTCCGTTCTTAACCTGAAACTGTTCTTAACCTGAGGTACCACTTTAGCTAATGTAGCCTCCCGCTGCCACCGCATGATTTCTGTTCTCATCCTGAGGTAAAGTTCTTAACCCGAGGTACTACTTCCGGGTTAGCGGAGTCTGTAACCCGAAGTGTTTGTAACCTGAGGTGTTTGTAACCCGAGGTACCACTGTATAATCATAACCCTTTCCATGAGAAACAAATTTGGGAGGCCAGAAATATAGTTTACTTGGTTCTTAGATATTATTCTATTTAATTTGGCACATCTTACCTGAGAATCTTCTGCTACTCTATTCTATTTAATGCAACAAATAATTTTAGTAGCCGTGACCATGGTTTTATTGTATGTGTGGTGCCCGATGATTTTTATGGTTATTGTTTTTTTCTTGTTGTTCTCCTTCTGAATGCCATGGCCTATGGCTAATGTAATAAAAAGTTTAATTGGAATTGGAATAGATATTATTCAAGCCATTATAGTTAGCAGCACTTTAAATGATGCACAGAAGTCAAAGGCTGTGGCTTAAACAATCCATCCAGCCTCCCGTCATCTCTTATATGTGACAACACCTATTTATTGAAGCACCTATAATCTGTATTTTTAATAAAAGTATATCTAGGCAGTACACAATTTATGGTGAAAAAGAAAAAGAAAGCACAGGTCCATCCTCTAAGACTGCCACCTTTCCTTCTGGTAAATGACTTTATATGTTGTTGTTACAGTGGTGCCTCGCAAGACAAAATTAATCCGTTCCGCGAGTCTCTTCGTCTTGCGGTTTTTTCGTCTTGCAAAGCACGGCTATTAGCGGCTTAGCGGCTTTAAGAAAAAGGAAACAAACTCGCAAGACGTTTCGTCTTGCGAAGCAAGCCCATAGGGAAATTCGTCTTGCGGAACGACTCAAAAAACGGAAAACCCTTTCGTCTAGCGAGTTTTTCGTCTTGCGAGGCATTCGTCTTGCGGGGCATCACTGTATTATTATTTTATACTATTCTAATGATTGTTGAATGTTACTTTTTTGTTGTAGGTTGCTTATTTTAAAGTTTTATTATTACATTTTTGTATTGCTTTTTCAGCTTGTAAACCGCCTTGAGTATTGTAAGATAGAAAGACGGTATACAAATTAAAAATGATGAAATGATGATGATGACCCAAAGGCTGATTTTCATTCCACACCCCCCCCTCCCGCATTGCCTTTGCCTTTGACCTTTTGCTAACTGTTAATACTTCCTCCTAGATGGTGTTGCTCTGGGCCACTCACTTTTTCCCTTCCCCTGAAGACTGGATGGATCTGGAAGGGTCCGTGTATCGTCTTCTGGTGATCTTGCTTTGTTGCTTAGTGACCAAACACCTCCCCCATTTCCTGTATCCAGAGCAAAATATGTTCCAGGGTGATGATGTCTTGGAACTGAGCTCTTTGTATCCCAAAGTGGAGAGTTTTGCTATCGAACCTGAGCATTTCCTGAAGTTCAATTTTGTAAGGGAAGGCAAAACACACCAGCAGATGGACAATGGTCTCAAAGCCTTACTTCACCTCCCAGCTGAGGATAAAGCCTACTGGAGCACTGCCTTCTTTGATATGCTGCTTAATAAGGTAATATACTCACAAACACAGGCTCATAGTTGAGAACCAGAGAGGTTGTCTTCTGGTCTATGAAACCTTCATGCTTACTCTTACACTCCAAATACCAACCACTAACAAAGGGATGGGGAACCTGTGGCCTCCAAGATGTCGCTAGACTACAATTCCCAGATCCCTGGCCAGTGGCTATGTTGGCTGCCAGCAACATTCCTGCATTGCAGGGGGTTGGACTAGATGGCCCTTGGGGTCTCTTCCAGCACTATAATTCTACGATTCTATGAACATCTGGAGGGCCGCAGGTTCTTCATCCCGCTGCACTGAAGGGTGATTCAGATTTTTTAGTTTTAAAAGGTTTATATGATTCTCATCAGTGTTTTACAAGATAAAACACAAATAAAAAAGAGTAAAAGCCTGGGAAAATCAAAAACATTTATGGCGCTAGTTCAAATGGCTGGTTATAAGTCACACAAGTAAGGGCATGATTCATTTCAAATATGATGACATGCTCATGTTGAGATACTCTACTCCAGCGCTTACTACCACTCGAAGTTACAACAAACCCCGTGATAATGACTGAGCCTTGAATCAATACTGTTTGATTCTGATAATTTTCACAATCTCAATTTTGCAGGCTTTGACTAGCATTGTGGTTAAAGTTTTTTTTTAATACATTAAAAATATTATGAAAAACAAACCCATGTCAAAACTTGGAAGCCAAAGGCGCACAACGCCTTGATAACACTTTTTGATTCAAATTATTAAAATATCTCTCTGACTTAATCAACTTGGTTTAGCTGCGTCCTGGGACCTGTAATTCAAGCTTGCTCCTGAGGCTTCAGGGAAGAGCTAAGAGGGTGTCTCTTATTGATATATGGGACTGAAGAGAAAACATACACAATTAAAAGTCAGATTTAAACTAATAGCCCTTTCATGCCTCAGCAGGCAGCCTTTCCTCAAGGCTATTGCATGAAGGCTGTTTCGCTCTCTTTAGTTTGTAAAAGCAGAAGGAAACCGTTTTTTTAAAAGCTATCATGACTTAAATTTATACCATAATAAATTTGTTAGCCTTTAAGCCACCACAAGGTTCTTTGATATTTTTAATAGGTATCTGTTTTATACTCTCCACTCACAGGTCTGACATGGGTAAATTACATGTTACAGTGAGCTGACTATACACAATGAACACAACACCCCCTTTACATTGGCAAAGCACCTTCAGAAGGGAATAACTCTGTACTGGAGAACGGATGAGCGGGGAATGAATGTCACAAGCTGTTCTGTAGTCTTCTTGGCCCATGTCTAACTCACAAACACATATGGGGTAAAAGCATCTTTGTGAGTGCTCTGGGGACAAGTAGTGGAGACAAATATTTTCCTTAAAAATATAAAGCAGTATAGAAATGAAATGAATACCATATTGGCCTGAATATAAGCCGCACCTGAATATAAGCTGCACCTTTAAAATTCAAGGGGTGGGGGGGTGGGGAGAAAAAAAGACAATACCCAAATATAAGCCGCTCCTTTAAAAATCCACAGTCCACCCGTTCCATTTTACAGTTTGTCTGTTTCAGCAGCGATATCGTAAAAGCCAGTCTTTGTAAGATTACGAATTTAAGCTGCACTTTAACTTTTCACAGTCAGAATTTGGGGGGGGGGGGAATGAGGCTTATATTCAGGCAGCGGCGTAGCGTGGGTTGTCAGCACCCGGGGCAAGGCAAGTAATTTGCGCCCCCTAACCCGTGGATTTGCACCCCCTAACCTGTGGATTTGTGCCCCGTAACCCGTGGCTTTGCCCTAACCCCAGATGTTGCACCCGGTGCGGCCGGCCCCCCCTGCACCCCCCACGCTACGCCACTGTATTCAGGCCAATACAGTAATAACAATAGTAGTAGTAGTAATCATTCAGTACAAAGTTACTAATCTGAGTTCAGAAGCTACTGGCAGCTTTCTTTCTTAAAGCAGCAAATCAATTTGTATCTATGGTTTGATTTCTGAATGATTTGCAGTAGATTGGCAACGATTTCTGACTCCCAATAGTACAAGGACAGGAAAACAAAATGACTTCCATTCCTCTTGCCCTAGAAGAATGCTACTGAAATGAAGGTTTTTATGTGGAATGTCTGTGAACTCTGTTCAGTTCTTGTACTCAAAAATAAAAATAAAATCTTTCATACGAAGTGCATGTGTCTTCCAATATGCTCCATTTAGTTTTAGGTTCTCCAGGTTTTTAGCAAAATACGAATGCAAATCCTGTATGCCTGAAGTCTGCCTACCATTATGCCAAAGTGTCTACAGTTCAGAATGTTTACATTGTTTCACTTAACATCTATATTTTATTCAGTTTCAGATGTACCATATCAAAGACACACAGCGGATTTCTGCTATGTCCCAACTCTTGTCTAACATCAAGAAAATGGTGAAGAACCAGAGTTGAAAACATTACTGTGGGATCACAAGCTTTCCTGCCTGAATGGACTTCACTTTGTTTCCTGTGATCAAAATTCCTATCTGTTGTTGTTAATGGCTTATTTTTATTTTTGGCTGTTGTGATAATTGCTTTAACAACAAGAAGAGCACACACAAAATGACAACTTGTAATTGTAACCTGGTGGAAATCACCAGACGGCAATTCCATCATTAGGAATGAGGGTCCAATTTTCTATCCACTGTTTTTTATATAAGAAGTGAATGTCCACAGTAGTGTTATTTTATGTATATAGTGCTCTGTAACAATTAAGGGGAAGGAATAATATATTCACATACTGTAACAACTAGGTGAAAGATTCTGAGTCTCTGCATCTCAGCAGAACAGGGAGGCCTGTGCCTGAGGGAGATGCAAGGTTCCTCTGAAAGAAATATTTTTTATTTTATTTATTTATTGAATTTATATACCACCCTATACCTGAAGGTCTCAGGGCGGTTCACAGAATAAAATCAAAATATAAAACCACAAAATACATAATCAGAATAAAAACAACCACCCAATACCCCCCCCAAACCCCACATTTTAAAAGGGCCTAGGATGTCAATCGAATCAACCAAAGACCTGGTTAAAATGGAACATTTTTGCAATTTCAAATACTCATTTTACATCCTTAAAGTATCAGTGACTTCCTTCCCTTCTTCTCTTTCCATGGTTCATTCTGTAAAACAGAAAATATATAAAAATGTTTTTGACTGGTGCCTAAAGGTGTATAATGAAGGAGAGAGCATTCCACAGACAGGGAGCCACTGCAGAGAAGGTCTGTTCTTGTGTTGCCACCCTCCGGACCTCTCGAAGAGGAGGCACACGAAGAAGGGGCTCAGAAGATGATCTCAGTGTCTAGGTAGGTACATATGGAGATGCGGTCCTTGAGGTATCGTGGTCCGGAGCCGTTTAAGGCTTTATAGGTCAAAACCAGCACTTTGAATTGGGCCCAGAAACTTACTGGTAGCCAGTGCAGTTGGACCAGAATCAGCGTAATATGCTCAAACTGTCTTGCTCTGGTGAGCAACCTGGCTGCTGAATTCTGCACCAGCTGAAGTTTCCAAACCATCTTCACAGGCAGCCCTACGTATAACACATTGCAGTAATCTAACCTTGAGGTTACCAGAGCGTGGACAATAGTAGTTAGGCTATCTCTGTCCAGACGGGGCATAGCTGGGCCACCAGCCAAAGCTGATGGAAAGCATTCCAGGCCACTGAGGCCACCTGTGACAGCAAATGATCTGCTACAAACCTGCTCCTTCAGAGGGAGTGCAACTCCATCAAGAGCAGGCAAGCTCCCACCCATCTGGTCTAGGGAACCACCCACTAACAGTACCTCAATCCTCTTATCTGGATTGAGTTTCAGTTTGTTGGATCTCATCCCATCCATTACCGAAGCAAGACACTGGTCCACTGGTGGGTCTCCTATCTCACCTTTGTAAGACTCATGAAAACATGGACAACAATCTGCTGGCATCTCTGCAAACATCTTCCGGTCCTTCATCCGTGAGAGCTCAATAAGTGAGGAGGAAATTCAAATCTAGAAGGTGGACTTGTACGAATCTACGGCTGCAGAAGGGTGTTCTGCAACTAGCCAGCTGCTCCCTGCTCTCCAGTTCTAAGCCTAGCCTGCAGCCAGTGTTGGCTCAATATAGTTTGTTGCCTGAGGCTGAGAAGCAAATAACACCTATTCCCCCACCAAGTCAAGGTGCATAGTACCCATTAAGGCCAGACAAGTTATTTTGGTACCTGAGGCAGAAAACCTAACAAGCACTTCCATCCCTCCCTTGTAGCAAAAGTACATTAATAATAAATTTTGCAATAATTTGTTGCCTTTCCACGTCCCACCAAAGCAGCTATCACACTTTGACTACTGGTAGGGCCACCCCTCTGTGCAGCGCAGCTGAGGGTACTGTACTGGCTGTAGGCTCTGCCTGTGCGTGTCTATACTTTAAAAACAGGTTTTGGATACTGAGAAGCTTTAATTCTGGAAGTTACAAAAGTGTGTAATTATTTTATTTTTCATTTAGTTGTAAAATGTGGTGCTTTGTTGCAGGCAAAGCCTTACAAAAGCCTTGCTGGACCAACCCATGTACTGTAGTCTTTGTTATTGCCACAGAATATATCTATCTTTCAGGTATATGAAGAATTCATGTAATAGGTTTAAAGTACTGTATATCTTTTTGCATATTTGTATCAAACGTTGCATGTATTTAAGAGTGCTTCCTTATAGTCCTACTTACTTTTAAGATCTATTTAATGTATGTAAATTCTTAATTGTGGGAAAACACACAGTGCTGATATACTTCTGTATGAATTATGAGACCTGATATCTGGTCATTAAATTAATCCCTGCCTTCCAATTCCTGCCTCTAAGGTTTTATTGTAGACATGTAAAAAACACTGGTGAGATAAATTTATCAATTTTCACATCCCCTGTGATAACTAGGATGCCGGGGCAGTATGCTGCATTCATGAAGTATGTGATGTGTTTGCCACCACACCGTAAAGACATCTGCAAATATGAAATAGTTAAAAATCCAGAGATGCAGTATGTCCAGAACCACCTACCCAAATCAATCTTCTTTAGTCTTTAGCACTCACCAAAATCCCATTTCTCTACAGCATTTCATATTGTCATCTGAGAAACTATGGAATAATCTAGTACCATGGAAACATACTCCTTGATTCTGTAAATAATAGCTCCAACTGCCATTGTGAAGTCATGTTCTGTAGATTCTGTCAAGTATCTCTCTCTTGCACATACACACACATTAAAACAAGACTGAGCCTCTATCCAAGAAACACAGGTTAGTGCACGAGTTCCTAAAGTTAATGTTGTTCAAGCTTGCCAGATCAGGAATCTATCTTTAATCCCTATCCATCCCACAAATGCTTGGCTTTAGTGATTTTTTTCCAAATGGCACATTTGGATCCTTCTTGTTTTTTAGGGCACATTTCATGGTATTATTTATCTGTGAGAACCACAGGGTATAAAACTTGTCTGAAAGGAAAGTGTGAACCTTCTCATACAAGCACAGAAAGGACTCCCAGACACCCAAGCATTGGTACATTTTATGGTAAAATAATTTGGGCCAGCATTATCCTACAAACTTCTGTACCAAATGTAGACTTTTGGTATGTCTTGCCAGTATTCATGCATGGGGAAAAGAAGTCATATTCAGACCATTTGGTCCTTCAGCACAACATAGTACAAGGGATCAAGTGTGATTTTGAAGCCTTATTTACCTAGGGATCCATTAGCCACGCCATCCCCTGGACCTCGGAGGGAACAAAAGTACCAGGAAAGCAAAATCTTCTTTGGAGAAAAAGAGTTTATTGAGATCTGTGCACAGAGACAAGGTCTGTACTCAGAGACAACCAGCTGGATAGTTCCTAAAAATACACTGGCTGTAAAGCAAGACACTTCAGCAGACTTTCTTATACCCCCAGACTTCCCCAATCGGCTAGCAAATATTGCTTGCTAAACACATTTTATTGCTTGCTAAGCATTCCTGTCTTTCTGCTAACCAAGCAATCCCTCCCCTCTCCTTCATACACGTGTCTTTTCTCATTCTTGCATTAGTAAGCATAAGACAGGAAAAGGGGCCTCTTTAGCAATTTAGCAGGTCTGGTTGGTTATTGCTTACAGCAGCTAAAATATTTTGCAACCAGAGAAATGGACTCTTGACCTGTTTGCCAGATTTAGCAAGCAACCGCTTTTTGCTGACTGACTGTGTACATTTTGCAGAAGTAGGATTAGCACAAGATTAGCACAGAAATTTACTTAGATCCAAGACACAGAGAATATAGAAAATCCTTCTTAGGTACAAGGTACAGAGCTTAGGTGCGGATTTCTTAGGTACAGAGTACAAAACACAGAAAATATTGAGAGAAACCTTTCCCATCTCCCTTTACTCCCTCCTCTTCTTTTGAACAATCTATTACTTAGATTCGTTCTGGGGTAAGGGTCTATATTCTCTCATTACAGCAATCACGCGAGGTCCCATCATGCGAGACATCATCTTTCCCATCATATTCTGCAAGCATTGCATCAAGCAGGGAATACAAAAGCAGAAAAGCAATAGAAGCATTATTGGGCTTATCACCATAGTAAATATCCTCCCCATCCATCCACCTGGGAAGATGCTATCCAACCAAGACATATCCCAGCCCTCCCAAGTTTGTACAGGGACATGTGCCACCTTTTCAATGCTAGCCGCCAGATCACGGATAGCCTCGCCATGGTCTGAAACGTTGAAACAACATGCTCCATTTCAGCCATTTGTAACCACCTATTGTAGGAGTTATGGGCACCCCACTTAGTCATCAAACGGGAAATGTCGGCAAGGGAGGTCGGGGGACTTTTTCCTGCCTGTGCCAATACACATGTGGGCTCTCCAACTAAAAAGAAAAGAGAATCATCACAGGTATAGATGGATTACGTTTCTTCCCACAAATACGATACCGTTCATGCCAACAGAAATACGAGAGCATCCATATGACAAGGGCGGTACATATCACTTCTACCCAATATCTCCATGGTTCCTCCCACCAATACTCGGGGGTCATTTCTAGTTTTCTTTTACAGCTGAAGGGCCCACTGATACTCGTATTCAACTATTTCCTGGGCCTCAGGGGTAACTTTCCACCTTTCTGCTGAGGCACCTACTACATGGAGCAATTTCCCTACAATCCCTTGTGGGTGGACTGGGCTCTCGTGTTGTCTCTTCAAGATATTATACCCAAAAGGGGCTCTTCCCTCTTCATATATCAGCATGCACCCACAGGAATATGTCCACCCCTGCAATGGCCTGACACTTGGGGTGACTATATCAAGGGGTTCTGGACCCAATACCAAAAGTCCCATTGGTGCCTCTGAATTTGCTGGAGAGCAAGTTTCTACGTTGGGGACGCTGCCCGCGGGCGCCCCTCCCATCCAATTTTTCAGCTGTGCGTTGAGATATCAGCTTCCAGTGTGATATCAGCAGAGCGGTCGTCTGCGGAGGGTCTGCTGATGGTCAGCCGAAGGGGTTAATCAGGATTTAACTGCACAGTCCAATCTGTAGTGGTCACTCTGGTGTGGTGGACCCAAAGGGTGATGCCGGCGAATTTCACGGCGGTGGGTGTGGAGAGCAGGACGATATAAGGTTCCAGCACGGTTGTAGCTGCGTCCGTGCCCAATCGTTTACCCACACTTCATCACCTGGCTCGAACTGATGCAGCCAACACACAGGGGTTGCGAGCCTGGGTCCACCTGTCGAGACAAAAGAAAACTCGGAAGAATATCTGGACTTAATTATTCAATTGCATATCTGACCAGCATGTGGGGACAACATTCTGACATATGGGACCGGTCTCCCAAGCACAATTTCAAAGGGTGACAGGTGGGTTCGCTTTGACGGGAGACTGCGGACCCTGAGTAATGCCAAGGGCAACATGGTCACCCAATTA